GTCCTTGCATATTAGACACCGTTGAGTACTCTTTCAAGGGAAACGACTCAGGACAGCACATTTCGTGCAAAATGTGGTGTCGTGGATCATTGACTTTACCATCACACTGCTATAGTATACCAGACCAACGATGACACTGTCGTAACTCAACCCGCTTCAACTTCGCATTCATATCTCTTCCTGAGGTATGTTCAAGTTCTTCGGCTTCTTCAAGTTGATTATGTTGAACTTCGAATCACTCACGATTGTTCTAGTGTTTTCGCAGTCACCTTCGATTGAATAGATTGATCATAAAGAACGACTATCTTCGATAGGTCCGTCTTCTGCTCTGTCTTCCACATTGGCTTTGGTCCCTCTGTCTTGTTTGTCACAATGGATCAGCAACTCGCAGGCGATGCTGTGTCTGTTGTATCTAAGCCTGCTTCGCATGAACGAGTTTCGCGTTGACCTCTCTATTGATATCTCCGTCCAGTTGCCCGGGGCTTGCTGCGGCTATCGAAAGTATGTTCCGCCCCGGCATCAACACAAAATAATAGGAGCGCACGCAAACTACACATATCAGAATGATATGGCTCGGTCTGCCACTTTCAACTCTCCTACCTTTAGCTTTCGAATCATCCTCGGTCGCTTTGGAAGAGCCAACGACCGAAGGAGTGTTCATCGGTGAGACTTAGCGAGGCTGAGGAGGTTACATCATCTGCCCGACCATCAGACTCACTTTGTCCTTAATTTGCGTGCATTCTTCTGGCCTCCAGCTCCATCAATGTTTCATTTGGTGGTGAATCCCGACAGTTTTGGACCTTGGTTAGTCCGTCGAGAATCTAGGTTGGCACGTACACATCTCAGGGATATACCTTATGTTTCTGAGATCCGCACGAGGCGTGAAGGTGAATTCTATTTCATGGACAGACTATCACTAAAAAGGAGGTTTCGGCGCAATGACTGGGCCTAGTTAAGACGGAGCTCGAGGTTCTGAGGATCTATACACTGCAAAAATGTTGTCAGCATGTTTCGAACCAACTGCAAGAGAAACAGATTTGGATTCTGTTGGGGTAACCACTCGGTTAAGATCAGTTAAGATGGGCCTCCGAGGAATCCATCCATGGTGAATGTCAAAGTGTGTTCCGATAAAAAAAACCTTGTGGTTGGCAGGCTTCGAGCTGCGCAAATCCGACAGAAACATATTTCGATTCTGTTATAGTAACCACTTTAGCCAGGCGAAGTTGAAATGAACCTCCGACGAAGTGTCCATCGGTGAATCTTCAAGGCGTGTTCTGAGAGAAAAAAACCTCGTCGGCAGGTTTTGAACCTTGCGCAGATGCAGTCCAAGAGATAGATTTCGATTCTATTGGAGTAATCACTTTGGCTAAGGCGAAGTTGAGATGAACCTCTGAGGAACTGTCCATCAGCGAATCTTCAAGGCGCGTTCGGATAGAAAAAACCTCGTCGGCAGGTTTTGAGACCTGCACTGGTAGTGACAGTCCAAAAGACAGATTTCGAGTCCGTTGTAGTAACCACTTTGACCAGGGCGAAGTTGAGATGAGCCTCTGAGGACTGTCCATCAGTGAATCTTCAAGGCGTGTTCGGATAAAAAAAAAATTCATTGGAAGGTTTTGAACCTGCACTGGTACAGTCGAAGAGACAGATTTTGATTATGTTGTAGTAACCACCTCGGTCAGGGCTAAGTTGAGATGCACCTCCGAGGAATTGGGCGTGTTCGATAGAAAAAAAAAACCCTGTTATTCGGCAGGTTGCCAACCTGTGTGGTCCAAGAGAAACGGATTTTGATTCCGTTGTGGTAACCACTTTGGCGAGGACGAAGTTGAGATGAACCTCCGAAGATGAGTGAATCTTCAAGGTGTGTTCCGATAGAAAAAAACCTTGTTATTAGGCAGGTTTCGAACCTGCGAAGTACAAGAGAAACAAATTTTGATTCTGTTGTGTTAACCACTTGGACCAGGACGCTTCTTGGCCAAGTTTAGACGAACCTCCGAAGAACTGTCCATGTCCGCAGGTTTCGAATCCGCACCACAAGAGAGCACATTCCTAATCTGTTCTGGTGCCAAACGGTTAGCTATGACTACTCAAGATAGGCCTCGAAAAATCCATCCACCAGTGAATGTTCAAGGCGTGGTAAAGGGAAGATTGTTTGTCCTCGGTTACGAGTCGAAGACATCATGCATTGACAGTAGAATCACATGTCACATTCCTACAGCTGCAAACGTACACTGTTGCAAGGTGCACCTCTTCCACATATCTCGACGGCCGGTAGACAGACTGCATCCCCTTTTTGCAGGAAAGAGGGGTATTAGCGCAAACCTCCAAGCAGGTCTGAGCATCATTGGCGGGAATTGCGTTCAACCCCAGCGAAAGCGGCAAGAACGGCGAGGTAGACGAACCGAATAGGCTTCATGGTACTTGTCATAAACATGCTTTAGTGATGGCGCTCAGTACTAGGAAAATACCCACCAACAAAAGTCTTGTCGTGCGAGGTACGCAAAGTTGCTATGGCAGGTATTAGAAGAGTTCTATGCCGGTTTCAGTGATATGCGGATACTGTAGCGCAAGAGAGCCACTCACTTGAAACGAGGTGTTCGTTTCTGAGGCTGTTGAAGCTCAACCGCGTTAAATTTATATTATTCTTGAGGTTTGTGCTGGTGCGACGGGGCGGACCTCCAGAGGGAGTTTTGCACCCTACAATCAGACATGACACAATGCATCAGTACCCTTTAGACTAGATAGTACTGACCGACATAGGGTAAATTACCCCAACTGGACATAAAACTGGACTTTTTTGGAGTAGTACGACATACTGCTACATGGTCGCACCTAGATCTTGATCTTTGACACGCGGGAGAAGTATGACGCTACGTGGTGAGAAGAACTGCTTGGCAAAGGGGTTCGTTAGCTGAGGGTCGCTCTAGGCTATTATAGTACTCGTGTCCACTCGAAAGGCTGGCCATAAACGGTTCACGGCCGTCTTGGTTTCTTCGGAATGGCTCTCTTGACAGAGGAAAAAAGTATGTCGAAGGTGAGCACAGCACACTGGTCAAAGCATGATATTATTGTTTACCGTTGTAGTGCTGGTGGAGAAGGCCGGTAGCCTGACTGGTGAGTGGCTGGATGGTCCTGGTCAAAGGGGTCTCGCAAATATTGTGTGACAGTAACGTGACTATTATTATGTGACCCGAGAAAACAAAGTTACGGTATCGCCAAGGTATCGCAAAGTTTAGTAGACGCGTCTGCTCACAAAGGGATTGATAGTCCAAAGTCCACACCATCCAGACATATAAATTCAGTGCTCAACATGCAATCTCTCATCAACTCACCCAAATACCAAATTCACAATGTCCTTCACTACACCTGTCCCAATGGCTTATCCCTATTCCCACTACCGACCGCTCCCCTTCGCTCTTGATCCTTATGCTCCCCAGTATAACAGAGAGCGACGTGAGCGCGCACTGGCCCTGTATCCACAGCAGCAGCCTGGGGGTCAGCCTACCCCGAATGCTCTCCATGCACAAGAGTACAATGAGTCTCCCAACCAGACCCGCATGATGCGAGATGTCCTACGTACCCGTATGTCAGAGGATGAAGATTTCGACACCCAGTTCCCGTTCGACGGCGACATGGCCCGCAAGCAGGCTGAAATCAAACGGGCCAACCGTGCCATCCGCGATCAGGACGTTCGTCACCACGAGGCCACCCGAGAGTGGCAAAATTCGGCTGCTTTCCAGGCTCACCTCGAGGAGCAACGACTCTTTGCTCGCCGCCGTTTAGATGCTGAGAACTTTCTCAGGGGAACCGTCGATCCTTGTATGTTCTCACTTGTTCGGTCACTCTGCTCCGTGCGACTTACCACAATCCAAGGTCCCTGTCCAAGACGAGCCCTCGCTAAAGGACATGATCTCTTCCCATCTTATGGACAGCACCTTATGACAGCACCGGTCTGAAGTGCGCGATACGCTCCAGGCGATCCTTGCCCGTCTCTCTGAAAGGCACTACGATCAAAGCTCCTACCGAACTTCAACCCGATCCCGTAACATCCCCGGCTGCCACCTCTGCGTCAGGCGATGTCAATTCGAGGAGGGACCCGCACCTTCACAAGAGGGTGAAGGAAATGTCAAGGAGATCGCTGACTCCGACACCCAAGAAGAGCCTTCTGCCTCGCCAGCCCAGGTCGCCTCTTCCCTCTCCCAGATCTCTTCCGTGACCGCTCGTCTCGAGACCCTCCTCGCTGCCTTCCAGTTCCCTGCTGAGCTTGATTTCTCTCCAGCTCTCGGCACCGCTGATGTATTTGCACTGACCTACACCCCAGCCAACGCGCCTGTTCGCGCTCAGGAACATGCACTTTCATTGCTCTTCGCAGACTTGGACAACATTCCCAGCTTTGGGTCAGATGTAGTTAGGAACACAAGGCGCACAGTTGTGACTCGCGTGGACCAAGCGCTTGAAGAACTTGATAAAGGTGTCGAGGAGCGAAGGGGCCGTGCTCGTGCCAAGGCAGACCTTGTTACTATGCCTGTCGAGTAGCCAGCTCACCCAAATGATGGCGACCCCTCGGAGCCCGGGAACGTTACCTCTGCGGATGTTGCGCTCACTAAGTCCCCGTTGTAGATGACCTTCCCATTTAGACCTGCTGTCATGAAATTTTGATTTTGTCTCGGTGTTTTCTTTACATTTCACTTATATTATGCGTTTTATGCGTTGTACATACTCTATATTCATTCATAGTTACTCAATTACTGTACTTCAGTATGTATAATGAGTCAAACCAAGTTGCCAATGCACGTATTTTGTACAATATTGTCGAGCTGGAGTGACTCCCAGATAACGCGTGTTCGGGTATGATCACCCCGGTAGGACAAAAGACTCTAATGTCTACTCTCCTCGAGGAAAAACTACCCAATACATATAGTAGGATACTGTATTTATCGCATCTTTAGGCGCGCGAATTTCATGACCGTTCCTCAGGAAATCAGCTCGAATACATTATATATACGATTTATCGCTACGGTACAGTACTAGTGTTCATGGCAAAGCTATTGTTTTGTTGAGCTGCGGGCGGCCCGGTACTAAATGCACGCTGGCCAGCTGGTGACGTAGAAATACTCTGTCAAACAAATGACTCACGTCCAGGTCAAACTGCCAACAAAAATCAACGCAACATCGAAAGCATACTCAAAGATACACCGAATTTAGACAGGCCACCAATATTCAGCCCAACTAGAATCGCCCGTAGAAGGAATATTCAATGATAACAATTTCGGTTCGATTTCAAAACAGTTACAGGTGGTACGTTTCATACACGTCACTCTTTGCAAATTCAATTGGAAGGCGGATCATCTTCAGTGCAGCAGGTCCAGCATTGGGGGCTCACAAGGGTAGCTGTCGACCCATATGGGCAGACAATAGGGGATTCGGCGCAGGGATCCATGCAGGTTCGGATGTCATCAACTGCGTTCACCCCGGCAACAGCGGCAAGGATGGCGAGGCAGGCGAATTGAATAGGCTTCATGGTACCTGTCATAACCTTTAGTGGCAGCGGCGGGTACTGGGAAACTGCCCACCAACAAAAGTTTTGTGGTGTGAGGTACGCAAAGTTGCTATGGCAGGTATTAGAAGAGCTCTATGTCGGTTTCAGTGATATGCCGATACTGTAGCGCAAGAGAGCTACTCACTGCAAACGAGGTGTTCGTTTCTGAGGCTGTTGCAACTCGACCGCGTTGAATTTATGTTGTTCTTGATGTTGAAACTGGAGCGATGGGCCGACCTCCGGAGGGTGTTTACACCCTACAGTGAGGCATTTGCGAATTCAGTGATATGGCGCAGGGCACAAGCGCTTTTTAGACTAGATAGTGCCTGTCCAACATGGGGTAGATTACCCCAACTGGACATAAAACTAGACATTAAAAGAAACTACACCGACAACTAAATCAAGGCAACGTTCAGCGTTGGTAAATCACCAATGATTCTTTAATGTCCGTGGAGGCGTGTGTGTCCTGGAGAACATTAGTCCGTTCAGTGGTAATTCGATTACCAAAGGACAGTCGCAAGATCAAGAATGGGTGTAGAACTCCTGGTTGTACAGTAGTCCGAGAGGCTGTTATGCGCCTCAATATGAGCATTATGACTCAGTGTGCTGGATGTACTAGATTTCAGTACCAGCGTGGTCTCTTGAGTGTCCTATCTAGACAGACCATAGACGAATGAAGATGATCGTGCCTATAGTGCCATCGCTGGAGCTTGTCACAAATGAAACACCACTTGTCACTACACACGAATGTATATGAAGACCTACGGAAGATACTCGCTCCGTCTAATTAACCCGCAATGGACAGTTTTGCTGCCAGTGACGAGTCTATGTGTCACGCTACAACATCTCTTCAAAATCCTTTATGGATGACGGCCAGCCACAAACTCTGATCTGCAAGTTTTTAATGTAGATATCTCCCGCGATCTCGGTCACTTACCAGTGTGGTGCCAAAGGGTCACAACCATGAACGGTTGAACAGTTCTCAGCCAGGACCAGTATGTGCTGTAACGATTTTCTCTCCACGCGGAACTTCGAAACCAATGATTATAACCTCAAATGGTGGCAAACTCACAAAGGCTACGGGGAGACCCATACATATGACGCGGGGCTTACGTGGGTAGAATGTTGCTATAGGTTTAGGATTCTATGCCCTGTCTTCTTCACTGCTGAGAAGCTGTATTGCTTCCTTGCTAGATTGATCTCTTGATGATCTTCTCTTCTCACGGAGGGTAATTCGATGGAATATCCTCGATCTAAAGTTAAATGTAAAGAACAGCTGACCGGATGTCATGGCGAAGCAGCGTCGACCAGGTCCGTTCCTGTGCGACGAAGAATTGACTGTGGGTGTGCACTGTTCCAGACATGGATCCATCCAGAGCGATGATCTGAAATGAATGTTGTGCGAGGCGAGCGCTCGAGAGGATTACCAAGTTCGAGGGGGCATTGTCCGACTGGAGAAGACGAATGACAGGGTGACTGCACTTTTGGCAATGTGCTGCATCGTAGAGCCTGGTATCGTCAGCACAACTTCTCACGGCGATCAGAAAGAGCTCACTGGAGTGATTAGCAGCCACTGCAATGCCATGGATTTGACTCCGCAATCTGATAGCACGATGGAGTCGCTTTGAGCAGGTCAACGTCGTGTAGCATCTTAAGCGAATGTAATAAGTCGAAGAATGTGAAATGATCGGTGGGGGGCCTATGACATGGCTAGAGCTGGCTGCCTGCTAGAACTCACCTTCCTCAATTAGTTCGCCCCCACTCCCAGTTTGATTTGGTCTCAAAATATCATTCGCAGCTGACCGTCCTTCACCATCCGTGTCACAAATACCCCACTCTATTTCTCCAGTTCCTCGATAGTTTGTGGGGCTTCTTTCAACGACTCCTTTAGAGCAGCGACGGTCAGCGATACCACCGCCCCTGCTACGTGCCTGCCCTGTATTTCTGACAGGAGCTCTATTGAACTTGACGTCTATGAGTCAGATCGAGCATCATTTTGAACATGGTATAAATTGCCAAGAGTCGGCAAAAACTCAAACTTAGTTGAACAAGGTAAGCTAGCGATCTATTGGAAGTCGTCAAACGCGTTAAGACTCAACTGACCTGTCATTCAATACACCCAAATAACGAAAGTTGTCTATGTTCGTGTATTACACTAGAAAAGATACTAAGTAGATGGTAGTAGGGCACGAGAGATTAGACGGCAATACTCACGTCGCCGATAAAATAATCCTGAGACCAGGTACCAATACGACGAGGGGTAGATGGGATATAAAGGTTACGAATACCACGCAAAGATTATATCGGATGGTTGGGACTTCACCAAGTCAGGCGGCATGGCCACATGACGAAGAACACTTGGAAAATGGAAGTGAATCAGTGACAGCCTGTGATGGATGGGTCTGGCTGAGGTTTTCCCAACAAGCAGAACATGGACCGAACCAGAGTCCGTTCGGTCTACCAATGGTCCAATTCCAGTCAACAAGGACCTGAGAACCAAACAAAAAAGACATAAAAATTGATTGATGTACCGAAGAGCTAGATGTCATGCAGGTGACCTTGGGAACATAGTAATTGGAGGCAGACTCGACAGTGTCCCCGCCCAGTGACGTACTCCAGTCCCGACTCTACCTGCCTTTTTCTTTTCCCTTTCTCACGCCGTTGTCCCATTGCAAACCATGCCAGACCCTGGAAAACCCTTCAACTTCAAGCTTCAAGTTACTTCGACAAATACCAGGCACCCCCAGTCAACTCTTTGACAACGATTCCACATCTCATTTGCTTCACACAGCTCCGAACTCTTAGGCTCACTTGTGGCGATACCTTGACGATGACCTTTCTGTTAGAAGCCATATCAACTTGGCCGCAGTCACATCCGCACTCTGGAAATAGATGAGCCAATGCAACATCGCTTCCTGGAAATTTTGCGGATGGAGCCATCCAAGTTTTAATAGCACATCCTGAAGTGTTTGCTCGCACCATTTTCACTTGGTTCCCTTCCTTGACAATTTACTCATGGATGGTTTCGTCGGAGGTTCGTTGATGACTACTACGTCAAGTTAGAACCCACCCCCTGGAGCAGCCATGGAGGAGAAGACGAGTCCTTAACTAGCCGACACTAAGTCCCGTTCCTCAGCCTCAGCCTCAACCTTCTTCATCTTCTGCACAATTAGCACACAGGGAATCCACCGCCTGTAGCAGTCATGTAGGAGAACATGAAACATGAGTTCTTAACTAGCAGACATGAAGTCCCGTTCCTTCGCCTTTTTCCTCATCTTCTGTACAATTAGCACATAGGGAACCCACCGCCTGTAGCCGTCATGGAAGCGAACAAGAGTCCTTGACTAGACACCAAGTTCCGCTCCTTCGCCATCGCCTTTTTCCTTGTCTTCTGCATAATTAGCACACATGATATGAACACCTCTTCGCGTATGAGATCAGCTTCAGCTCGTAAATCCAGATGAGCACGATATGTTATCCTTCCCCGATCGTGCGTCACAACGAAATCGGAAGGGTAGAAGCGAGCGATTGTACTGGTACTAGAGCCGCTTCCTTTGTACAACTGTTAGAAGATCGTCAAAACTCGTTCACATTTGCTGCAGATCGTGATGAACCCACTTTAATTCCACCGTCCCGGCCTTCCTTCCAGAGGTACGTCTCTCTCCCCTCGCTAAACAACGCAGGACTAGATGATCAAATCTTGTAAAAAATACTGCATGCAAAAGCTTATTGAATCCAACATACAACGATGAGAACATAGGTGTCTTGAGCCAGCTGCGAAGGCTTATAGTTTCACCCCCTAGCGTGAGCAAATCTGGGATCATATCCCTGCGTTGCACCGTTGCCAGTATCCCCTCCCCCTGGCTAAAAATGGTCTTGAGGTTCATTCCTGCCAGACCAGCCTTGACAGTCCTGACAGAGTATCGTATTTGACTCTGTCCACGCACTGTGGCATTCGTCGATATCATGTCATCGCGGTCGAAGTCTAGTATTGTTGTTGCACCGAATGCTGGATCTGGAGTGGCGAGCTCAAGATCTTCGGGATCGTAATTGCTGTCGACGAGAGTTTCCTGGGAGTCCATGGGGTGGTCAGATGGAGTGGTACTAGACACTATCAAATAGAGATCTCACCTTTTAGATAGATGGGCGCGTGCGCTGAGGGTGTGCGGTTGACAACTTAGTATGTAACTGTGTTCTACGCGGGAGATGCCGTTTGAAATATGCACAGCCTTCTTCGCGTAAAATGGAAAGAACACAGCCGGTCGTGACGGGAAGATTTCAGGAACACCGTATTAAAACTTCGATAACGAGTCAACTGAGGTCAACTGACAACTTGAACAAGGTACAGTACTGCGCAAAGCGAATGTAGAATTGAACTTGGGCTCCGTATGTATTCGTCCAGCTCGTCATCCCTGTCAGAATGAACACGTCCCTGTTCCCAAGTATGAATGACAGCCAAGTCGAACACTGCGGTGGAATCAGTGACCAATTACTAGCTCCTCAATAACGATGAAGACCAAACTCTACTTTTATCAGAAAGCTTGGTCATTATCGCTATTGGGGAGTCGCAGATCTGCTGCGTGCCTTACTTGGTGGATATGGCAACCGCAGAAGATTCACTGCCAAATCTACGAATGAAATGGTTAGAAGAGAACGGTGCCATGGCTCGGAATGGCTTGGATACCGATCTTTATTAAGCAATCGAAGAGCCTTTACAAGGTTGCGTTTCCCGCAGGAGAAGAATAAGCATCAACAGCTTGTATTGAACGGGAGTGTTGGAATTACACAGATGGGCAGAAATGTATCCCCGACATCTATGAAGATCCAAGATCGAATGGAGAAAAAAATGACTGTGGTCCTCGTTACATACCTGCGAATAGGTATGCACAAAGACCTAGGAGGATAACCAGTTTCAGTTCAAGGATACAACAGAATTCGCCAGCACCTTTGGACCGGTCGGTTTAGAGTTGACGATCTTGGAGGGCAGATATGGGTTAAAGTTGAGGACAAGCGGAGAAAAGCTCACCGACAAGCAGAGGTCGAAACATGCGAGAGCTTCTACACGGTTTGTGATTCTGGCAGGAGAAAGAACACAAACGGCTTGTAAATGTGGGCATGGGATCTATGTACTATGTAGTCAAATTGACGGTGTTCTAGAATTCTCGGATGCATAGATCCCGTGTTCAGTTGGAACAGTTGTTGATTATTACTACGTACCTTTGAAATGCGTGAAGACCTAAGGAGACGGCCAGAGTCAGTTCAACGCAAATTCAAAGATACGACAGAATGCTCGGTCTAAAGAATCCCATATTCAATCGTAATAGCTGATGATTCTCGTTACATACCTTGTAATAGTATATACGAAGATCTAAGAAGATCATGATGACTTCAGTATTGTATAGCCGAAAAATGGTCAGATGCACTTGCCTGACCAGTGACCGGTACCGCCAGTACTTTCGGAGAAAAAACACCAGCAGCTCCGAGTCGTAAATGAGACCACGGAATCTGCATATCCTAATAGACTGCTATGAGTCAAAATCTGATTCACAATCAATATTTAATCTCAACACTCCGTCTTCGGCAGAGGCCGAGCAACCTTTTCGTGCGCTGTCGGGCCATTGCAAAGCAAGCCAGACCCTCAGTGAAAACCCTCCGTTACTTTGAACGACAAATACGAGGCACCCCGGTCAACTCTTTGACAACGATTCCACATTTCCTTTGCTTCACACAACTCCGAACTCTTAGGCTCACCTGTGGCGGTACCTTGACGATGACCTTCTGTTAGAAGCCATATTAACTTGGCCGCAGTCGTACATCCGCACTCTGGACAGCGCTTCTGTCTACATCCACAGTTGCATTCGCTGCGAGTTGCAATAAGTACTGTGAATATTGATATTGGTACTAATGTTGAGCCAATACAACATAGCTCCGTGGAAATTTTGCGGTTGGAGCCATCCGAGTTTTTAATAGCACATCCTGAAGCTGTTGCTCGCACCATATTCACTTGGTTACCTTGCATGAACTATGTCTTCGGGTCTCCGGATGATTCGGACGATTGGAATGAAGTCAATAAGTGGCTCATATCTTTGAAAGCTGCTGCTTGCATGTAACAGGAGACCTGAGCCTGGCGTATATTCCTGTTCGAGAAACATCCTGGAGTTACTTCATTTGTTAGTGTTCGTTCATGCCTGTCGTTTTCGTTATAACTGCTCATGTTGACTAAGGTTGCAGTTATTTTTCTCATCCCAAGACTCAGGAGCCTTCAGGCAGCTCTGCCACAGCGATTCCACATCTCCTTTGCTTCACTCAGCTCCGAGATCTGCGGCTCAATTGTAAAGATCACTTCATCTACCTTGATCATGGCTTTCTCTTGGAAGCCGTGTCAAGTTGGTCGCACACCCGCAACCTGGATCCGAATGGACTCGTATCTTCATCCTTCCGTTACCTTCCCCTGATTGTCCGCAGTGCTCCTCTATGTCCACACCTGCATACGCTGCAGATTGCAGTCGATATTGTGAATCTCGATATTGACTCTGAAGCTGAACTAATACTATGGAAAGCCAGACAGCCGCGCTCCCTTGGTCAGTGTCACGCATCCGTAATAGGTAAGAGGACTTCATGCACCTTCGAGTCATCCGAGTCAGCATATTTTTTCCATTATTCTAGGGTTCGGAACATTGTTCAACCCATACTGTAGATCTCTTCGAGTCTCCATCATTTGATTGATGATTTTCCTATGATGACTCACGCTCATTCGCTGTCGGTCAGAACGCTGATAATCGCCACTACTACTACTAGTATGTGCGTGACCTCCTGCGTGTCCATCTATGTACCGAATATTGTGGTGACTTGCTTTTCATTTCTACACAATAACTTTGCTACTGAACTTCTCCATGAGCCTTTTACTCAGTCGAGCAAATGCGTGTGCGCTAGTCTCGAATTCCTCGCGTGCCAAACTCTCCGTCTAGACAGACCAGACTGAAGTTGCAGTTGTTCCTAGTTGTCTCAGCCCTTGTTCCAATTTCCTTACTAATGCTTCTTGAGGGGCGTTCTTGCCTTCCGTCGTTGTTCACCTCATCACATAGCCGCGTCCTCGTCTTCTGCTCTGTCTTCGCCATTGGCTTTGGTCCCTCCTGTCTTGTTGGTCACAATGGATCAACAACTTGCAGGCGATGCTGTGTCCGTCGTATCTAAGCCTGCTTCGCATGAACGAGTTTCGCGTTGACCTCTCTATTGATATCTCCGTCCAGTTGCCCGGGTGTTGCTGCGGTAATCGAGGGTATGTTCCGCCCCGCATCAACACAAAACAGGAGCGCAGGTCTGCCACTCTCAATTCTCCTACCTTTAGCTTTCGAATCATCTTTGGTCGCTTTGGAAGAGCTAACGACCGAAGGAGTGTTTATCGATGAGACTTCAGCGAGGCTGGGGAGGTTACATCATCTGTCTGACCGCCAGACACACTCTGGCCTCCAGCTCCATCAATGTTTCATTTGGGGGTGAATCCTGATAGTTTTTGTTAGTCCGTCGAGAATCTAGGTTGGCACGTACACATCTAAGGGATACACCTTATATTTCTGAGACGATCCGCACGAGGCGTGAAGGTGAATTCGATTTCATGGACAGACTATCACATAAAAAGGAGGTTTCGGCGCAATGACTGGGCCTACTAGTTAAGACGGGGCTCTGAGGTTCTATACACTGCAAAAATGTTGTCAGCAGGTTTCGAACCGTCTGCAAGAGAAACAGATTTTGATTCTGTTGTGTAACCACTTGGTTAAGACCAGTTAAGATGAGCTGCCGAGGAATCCATCCATGAGTGAATGTCAAAGTGTGTTCGGGTACAAAAAAAAGCTTATGGTCGGCAGGTTTCGAGCTTGCGCAAGTCCGACAGATGTAGTAACCACTTTGGCCAGGCGAAGTTGAAATGGCCCTGCGAGGAAATGTCCATCAGTGAATCTTCAAGGCGTGTTCTGAGAGAAAAAACCTCGTCGGCAGGTTTTGAACCTGCACTGGTACAGTCCACGAGACAGATTTCGATTCTGTGATAGCAACCACTTTGGCCAAGGCGAAGTTGAGATGAACCTCTGAGGAACTGTCCATCAGCGAATCTTCAAGGCGTGTTCGGATAGAAAAAATCTCGCCGGCAAGTTTTGAACCTGCGCTGGTAGTGACAGTCCAAGAGACAGATTTCGATTCCGTTGCAGTAACCACACTGCGCGAATTCGAAACCTGCCGATGATAGCAGTCATGTAGGAGAACATGAAACATGAGTCCTTGACTAGCTGACACCAAGTCCCGTTCCTTCGCTTTCGCTTTCGCCTTCTTCCTTATCTTTTGCACAATTAGCACATAGGGAACATGCCGCCTGCAGCAGCCATGGAGGTCACGGTGAACGTGAATTCTTGACTAGACATCAAGTTCCGCTCCCTTGCCTTCCTCCTCCTCTTCACCTTCCTCCTCGTCTTCTGCACAATTAACACACATGATATGAACACCTTTTCGCGTATGAGATCAGCTTCAGCTTGTAAGTCCAGGTGAGCATGATGCGTTATCCTTCTCCGATCGTGCGTCATAACGAAACCGGAGGGGTAGAAGCGAGCGATTGTACTGGTACTAGCGTCGCTTCCTTTGTACAACTGTTAGAAGATCGTCAAAACTCGTTCATATTTGCTGCAGATCATGAACCCACATCAATTCCACCGTCCTGGCCTTCCTTCCAGAGGTACGTCTCTCTCCCCTCGCTGAACGACGCAGGACTAGATGATCAGACCTTGTAAAAAATCCCACTTGCAAAGCTTATCGAATCCAACATACAACGATGAGAACATAGGTGTCTTGAGCCAGCTGCGCAGGCTCATAGTTTCACCGCCTAGCGTGAGCAAATCCGGGATCATATTCCTGCGCTGCACCGTTGCCAGGATCCCCTCACCCTGACTAAAAACGGTCTTGGGGTTCATTCCTGCCAGACCATCCTTGACGGTCCTGACAGAGTATCGTATGTGAGTCTGTCCACGCACTGTGGCATTCGTCGATATCATGTCATCGCGGTCGAAGTCTAGTATTGTTGTTGTATCGAATGCTGAATCTGGAGCAGCGAGTTCGGATTCGGAATTGCTGTCGACGAGAGTTACCTGGGAGTCCATGAGATGTTGAGATGGAGTGATGCCAGACACCAAAATAGAGGTTTTTTCCTTTTAGATAGATGGGCGCGTGCACTGAGGTGCGCAGTTGACGATTTGGTAGGTAACAGTGCCGTGGAAGATGCTGTTTGAAATCTACAGCTTCTTCGCATGAAATCAAAGAACGCAAAATCAAATGAGCCGTGACGGAAAGATTTCAGGAACGCCGACGCCGTATTGTCAATTTCGATAACGAGTCGATTGACAACATGAACAAGAGGGTACTGAAGCGAATGTAGATTTGAGGTTGGGCAGCCCTCCATATGTATTCCAGCTCGTCAGCGATTTCAGAATGAGCACGTCCCGGTTCCAAAGTATGAATGACGGCCAAGTCAAACACCATCGAGTGAAACGGTGGAATCAGCGATCAATGACTAGTTCCCCAATAACGATAAAGACCAAACTTTACTTTTATCAGAAAGCTTGGTCATTATCGCTGTCGGGGAGTCGCAGATTCGTTGCCAAAGTGAGAACAAGATCTACAAATCAAGTAGTTAGAGGAGAACGATGCCGTGGCTTGGAATGGACGACCTTGGATAACGATCCTGATTAAGTAATTGCGACCGCTGACGGACGAAGTGCGTGAGAACCCTTACAAGGTCGCGTTTCCACTGTTCCAGCAGGAGAACAATAAACATCGACAGCTTGTACTGAACAGTGTGGGATCGACACATATGGGCAGAAATATATCCCCTACATCTACGAAGACTCAAGACAGAACGGTGGTGGAATCCGAGAGATCCGAGACGAGGAAGACCGACGGATCCGAGATAGGAACAGAGGATGAGTGAGAGGTACGAGCACAAGCCAAAACGGACAAAGGCGAGCGACGTATTGACGTCGGCTCGCGTCCTAGAATATTTTATGTTTCGCTTTCATATCTAACCGTAGTCAAGCTACTTACCTTAAAAGCGCCAGTTGTAGCGCCCGGGCATCTCAGTTCTTTCAAGAGACTGAGATTGTACTTGTCCTTTAGACTCCTCGTTCCTCTCGCTCGTCATATCACCGCAAACGGAGAATAGAATAGCTGGTGGTTCTCGTTACATAGGTCGTTCTGCATACCCACTCCGAATGGGTATGGAAAATTACCTATGTAAGAGGATAACCAAAATCAGTTGAGGATACGGCAGAAAATCCGCCAGCACCTTTGTACCCGTCGATTTGGAGTTGAGAGTTGACGATCTTGGAGGACGGATATGGGTTAAAGTTGACAGGGAAAAGCGGAGAAAAAGCTCACCGACGAGAAGAGGAGGTCAAAACATGCAAGAGCTTCCCCACGATTTCTGTTTCCAGCTGGAGGAGAAAGAACACCAGCGGCTTGTAAATGTGGGCATGGGATCCATGTAATCAAATTAACGGTGTGCTGGAACTCTCGGCTGCATAGATCTTGTGTTCAATGGGAATAATTGTTGAATGTCACTACGTACCTTGGAAATGCGTGAAGACCTAAGGTAGTTGCACTTCCAGCAGGAGGAGAAAGAACACTGGCAGCTTGTACATGTGAACATAGGATCTACACAGCGGGAGAGAGAGACAATCCCGTAGTGGAGATCCCATGCTCCAAGGAAATAGCTCACTACATACCTGGTATAGTAAAAGTATATAGTCAGTGGTAGTTGACGGATGGGCAGAAGACTCGCCTCTCCGCCTTTGGACAAAGAACATCAGCAGCTTGTAGGATAAACCATAGGATCTGCATATCCGTATGTTATGTCTCCGGGTCTAAAGAATTCCATATTCAATCGTAATAGCTGGTGATTCTTGATACATACCTTGTAGTAGGATATACGAAGATCTAAGAAGATGACGTCAGTATTGTATAGTCGAAGGATGGGCAGATGACTTACCTGACCGCCAGTACTTTCTGGTTATTGTCGTCATATGTGAGGACCTAGGTCTTACAATCCAAGCTTCTCGCACATGGTGCCCACGGTATCAGATGCATGTGGAGGTTCTAGGTCCGCGCCGAAGAATAAGTCACTTTGAATCGGAAGAGACAGATGGACTCATCAAGACGCTGAAGGAGTTTAGCCTTGAGTGTGAATCTTTGGAGGCGCGACGAGGTGGGCTGCACTAATATGCGGAGGGAGCGAGGAGGCGGTTGTGCCAAGGGAATGCAACCAATACTGAAGGGCACGTTAGTTCAATTTGTTGATTTTGATGAGAACGAGACACACTTTGTGAGAAAGGAAGTCTTGGCCTTCCATAGGGCCGATCGTGGAGGCACGGGAGCTGAAATGAAGATCAGTTCTGATTGGAAGGGATCGCAAACCAGATATATTGAAAGTCGAGGATTACGTAGAATAGACTGCGAATACATATTTGTTCTCTTCAAATGAGACGAATCGATGTGCCATGGTGCATGAGATCTGAGACTGCATATATTCACAGCGTCCCCATATGCGTAAAGGTTTGAGTTTGGCGTGTGCAGCTGCCAACAGCCTGTCATCTATGCCAGGTTCAGAGCGCCAGGGCGATGCAGTAAGGCACCTGGTCTACAATCATCCTGAGCAAGAGATAGTACCTGACAGATAAAGCATGACATTACTGATAGGATTTTGCGCAGACCTCGGGGCTGAAGCTAAGCACAAAACACACTGATATGAAGGTGAGATGGCGAGTGGGCCGAAAAAAAACGTACCTACGTGCGTCGCGTCGCACGCGGAGAAGAGCGCTGAGAAGAGGGGAGCGGAAAGATAGAGACTGTTTTTCAATTTGCTGGTTTTATGAGGCGCGCGCGGAAGAAGCATCAGGGATGGCGAATCTCCACGTGAGCGCTTGTCAAGGCCTAGGCCTGATTTGCATCCCAACGTTTCAATTTCAACGACGGATCCGCGTGAAACCCACGTTGTATAGAAGGACAGCTGCGACTGGCAGATATCATCGTGGCTTTTCTTCATTAATGCCTAGGCCTTAATTACGGTCAGACTTGCGTGCTGTTGATCAAATGTACATCACCTACCTTCAGCTGCAGACAAGTATGAGATTCCTGCAAAATTCCATTCATAGTAGTAGTTGTCATGCTCGATAATACGATAGTTGTTACCATCAAGAACGCGTTGGAGAATCAACGGAGGACCCTGCGCGGTCTGCAAGATAAAGGGCTTCTACTCGCGGATTAACTGAGGTGTTACCTCAACGTGGAGTAAGCCACATGCAATATAGACCAAAACGCACTCTTATCGGTGGCCGGGGCCATATGTGTTATCAAGAGACGTGCTCAGACGTACGTCACTTTGTCCTCCGCATACTCAAGCTCAAGCCCCGGCGAAGGGAATCACCACTCGAGTCTCGGGAATAGAAAAACATCTGCTCAGCTCAAGGAAGAAGGAACCAAACAACAGTGCTATCTGACCTTATGGGGGATAAGGTACTGTTGTCCGATGATCGAACTGGAAATTGCCTGCTATCAAGAACGTTGGAGCATTGGAACCTCGCTAGAACTCACTGGAGGGACATAGATAGGCTCACACATATACTGCTCTCCCCGAAAGCAAGGTAAGCTTCTCCCGAACAACTTAGTGCCCATTTGAAGCTACGGCACACGCGGCATGTGTCAATTTTGCATATTATACAGGAACCAATCTAGATTCATTTGATGGAAGTTGATGAACTGGACCATATACGTATATGCAAGTCTCGTGAGTGCACTGCCGATAAGATTCTGGATTGGCGTATGATGGTGCACAGCCCCGGGTCCGTCGTAAGAAGCGTACTGCCCATTGACAACGATGAAGAGACACAAGAGTCCCTTTGAATAATTAGTTATTGATAATTGTAGATGCGAGCTCGAGCGACGAACAAAAGGAATGAGAAAACAAAGAGGATGAGCTGAAATTGGTTGCAGCCGCCAAACCATTGTGTTCTTCATTTGGACAACCTTAGGAGGCTGTAACTTGTGAGAAATCGTTTGATCACGTTCAAACGTTTATAAATTCCTCTCCCCGGGCTCTGTCCGGATCCTCAGCTGGCGTCCCTCTTACAAGTATATCTCTCCTAGTCCACGATAACTGCCTTGAACGATGTCTGTCCCAACTCACAGTATTCATTCAATCCACGGCACTTTCGCAGGCGTATCCCCCTACACTACATTCTCATCGAACGCTGGCGTCGTAATTGAAGGCTCTCCAATGGATAAAATTCCTCCAGGCCTTGCCAGAGTTGCATGGCGCTCAGCGCCCGTATCACCCCCTAGCACCTCTCGTCGTCTCCCATCCTTCCCTATAGCTCGTCGTGTCCCACCACCACCACCACCTCGCGCTATCGCACCACAGACTATCCCCTTCCCCTCGGAAAACCCATTTAATGACTCAAATGCATGCGTCGCACCCATACCACAGCGACCCATTCCCCAGCGCACGCACCTCGCCTCACAATCATACACCGTCAGACTCCCCGGCTCAAACCCAATTGACGTCCTCGTTCGTCAGCGAACTGCACAGCGAGCCGCACAGGAGCGCGAAACCCGATGCAGGGTTGTCGCAGGTATTTTGCTGAACAGGGTGCATGCTGTGGGGAAGCCTATGCGCCGGCTGCCTCCAAGTACGGAAGCGCCGAGAGCATATAAACGGAGCAGACTATCAATGACTACTACTGCGGAAGATGTCTGGTATGTGGATTCGCACCCTCTTGTTATTATTAGCGCTTACATGGAGTCTTGTCCTTGTCAGTTGAGTGTTTGACTGGTCACCGGAAGATATTGATTTGTGGGGCTGGATTTTTAAACATATGTTTTATGTGTTGTATAACAAAATTTTAATGGACAACTGGGACTCGGGAAACAATCTATGACAAGAATCAATGCACGGCTGAACATACTTGTTAGACTGAACTTGAACTTGAACTGAGCGCTGAGCACCGACCTTCGAGCGTATTGAAGCGTTTGAAAGCCTAGAACACACTAGAACAGTTGGATTAAAATCCTCGGTAAACCCCGGAAACAAAAGAGCCGAACCTAACCGAATGGAAGCATGATCGATTCCCAAGGGATTCCATCCAATCAGAGTGTCACTAGCACACTGCCTTTGCACGCGTCGCAACACGAGTAGATGTGGACTTGATGGGTTGATCAACGTTGTTCTAAGCACCCATGTCGACCATGACATCGTTCCTCAGCTCTCATGAATGAAAATCCTAAAAATTCAACGCTACATGTCGCGCCCGTGCGCACGGAGACAGCTGGCGCCCACCGTGGCAGAATCTGGGCTTCTCTCGGCACACGCTCTTCAGACTGTGCACACACCGATAAGTCTAACTCATACAGCGCCAAAACTGAACCGGCTGTCCTCACCGTAGTACTGTCCCAAACATGAACTATTCATTAGCTACGGACAGCCCGTTTAACACTACCTTGTTGTCCCCAGAGGGTCGTGCTGTGTATCGCATTGATACATATCTCAGCTCATCCACGACTACTGTTAAAAAGGTCGGTGGTGGGCAGAGTGAAGTGGAAATTGGGAGAGTAGTGTGGCAATCTGGTAGACCTGGAACGGCTGTGGTCCATGGACACGAGATATATGTCAACAAGAGTAGTTTTTTCAGCTCGTAAGATCTTTTTTTCTTCGTTTTAATCCTGCCCCAGTTGTCTTATTTTTCCCTTTCGTCTAGGTCAAGAACATTTACAGCACTAAATGGGCAATCGTATAAATGGACGTTCAATGAAGGATCAGCATTGGTGAGAGTCACTACAGCAGGTACCTTGCTGTTACTGATCTTACTCTTAAAGATGGCGAGCAACGACAGCAGACAAGCCCCAGTTGCTACCTACACACCAGCAACGAGATCAAATCCTGGGCTACTACATATAACCCCGCATGGTCTAACCATCACCGGAGACGTCATCCTGAGCTTCGTCTGCGTCGAAGGCGAACGACGACACGCGATGAGGAAAAGTCTAAGATGATGTCATGCGGAGGAATTTCAAACCTTCAAACGTACACTTCCGATCGTTTCATTTTCATTTTTTGTTATTTTCTGGTATTTCCATGCTACGTCTAGCTTTCATTCATTCATTGGACGCAGTCATGGTTCATATATGCATATATGCACGCTCTTTCTTTTCTTTTTTCCTCTTTTCCGTGTTGTTTCTTTCGCTGATTCCTGAGATTATACCTTCGGTTTATTGTCGGTCTAGATACTTTTATAGATCTAGTTATTTGGACATTCACATGTATCATTTTGATATGGACCCACGTGCGGGTACTTACCTTTGCCTAGTATAAATACCTGTTCATGTTTGCCGCTCTTGGGGACTATATCGAGCTGCAATCCCATATTGTTGCGTACTTGTTCACTGGGATATCCCATACATACCCCTTTATATATCCTGGTCCACATGAACGACTATACCGCTAGTAGGAAACTAGGCCCACCTCCCAGAATAAAAAGCATGAACTGATTTAATCCCCACTAACATCGTATACACAAGCCTGCCCGATTACTAACGTCAGCTTGAATGTACGAGTCGGCAAGGCAACCAATTGCAACTCGTAAGTTGGTCTTGATTTTCTTTATAATCGTACTATAGATAAAGTTCACAGAGCACTTTTTTTTACATAAACATCCACATGTAGCTTTTCGTCGATTTGGACCGACGGGTCCAGACTCCTGGTTATCTCCTGGACGCCCACGCGGCGGGAATACTCTCAGCGCTGCGTACTAGTTATTTTGCGGGATACTTGCTCACGGATGTTAAGATTCGTGCCACTCAATATCATGTTCCTTGTCAAACGAGTCAACGCCCGCTTTCCGATCCACCCAGCTGGTCTACCTCTTACTGTGAGTGGGTCCCTTGCTGCGTCCTACACGGTGCACACGCCCACCTAGTTACTAACGCGAATGTGCGAAACCCAAGTTTCCTACTTCTGGTCTCATGATCACTGATTTTTTATCATTGGACTATAGATAGTTTATCTATAAGGAACATTCGTGTGTACCATTTCGATCTGGACCATCGAGAATCAGACTGTTTGTTACCTGAACTGTTGGCGACCGGAAGCAAAACAACCAACTCGTAAGTTCCTACTTCTGGTCTTATGATCACTGTTTTTCTTCTGTTATACTAGATATTTGTGTCCAGAGTACTTTTCGACCTTCATTCCGATCTGGACCATCGGGATCAGACTGTTTGTTCTCTGAACTCTTGACAACCAGAAGCAGCCCTCCTCGCTGTAGCAGCGCACTATCGTTGTTTTCCAAATCTAAATCCGCGCCACTCGATATCTTACTGATCATGCCCCTTATCAAGCGGTTCAACGCATCTGATGAATACTCCCGCCTCCTATCCACCTCCCAGAACCGTGACAAAGAGCGTGAGCCACTTCCATTCCCTACTGGTGTTGTTGTAAACAACCCGATTCCCAACTAACGCTACAAGCAGAATCAAATACAGAACAAGAAACACCGTTACACAACGCACTACCCCTCCTAGAAGAAACACAAGCAACGTTCCAACGCCTCCGACGAGACTCTGATTTCACCCAGACCAACATCTTCCGATTCAGCGCTCCATTCTTTACATTTGCATGCGTCTTAGCGTCCGCCGCCACGGCTCTCCGAAAGGATATGATGCCTTCCCCAAGCGCTGTGTCACTGAGTTTGGGCGTCTTTGTACTACTTGTGGGCGTTTTGGTGGCCTTGGCTATTTTGAGAGCGATTATATGGGGCGGAGCCGTGGTTATTGATGGGTTCCTTACTTGTGGATATCGGAAGCCTGGGTGTCACGAGTCGAGACAACAGAATATCGAAACTTAATCAACGGAGCATCTTGTTTAGTGGGTTGTTTTCTTAAGAACGCTTCTCTACTTCTGCCACGGGTCCGACTGTCGGGACGAACGAAGAGATATTTTGGGCTGCCTTCTCGCACTAGCCTGTGGACCGCCGGCGCGCTTGTTGTGTCTTATCTGACCCCTTGTTTTTTGCCTGCTTCCTCTTCCATCATTTGAATATTGTTGTTGTATTACATATGTTAATTTGCAATAGCTGCATACCTGATCAGACAATCACGATGGGACGAAAGCCTGATTTTTCTCAGTTTCTGCCCGAGACGAGTATGGGGTACAGCACCAACATTGAAATTCCGAGGTTCGTTGTACTTCTTGAAAAATACGGAGTACAGCTAAGTGGCGAAGCCACAGGAATCAGCTAGCTTAGTATGTGTGGGTGTAAGATGACATAAACTGGATGTCCTCCTACTCTATGCTTGGAATAAAGGATAACGCTATTGATATTGATGCAAAGTTATCGCTGTCTGGCTGAGCCTCCGATCGAGGCGCTTTCTAAGTCCTGTGTACCTTCTGTTGGCTCGAGGGTGGAGAATCTCCGCTCGCGTTTAGAAAGCAACGGCCGAGTGTTCTCATTCCCCTCATTATCCATGGCATGGTGACCATTGGCAGGAGGCAGAGCTCTTGATTCAACTCGGGGACTAATGGACTTGGGTCGGGTATCGGTCTCCTTAGGCCGACCGTCTAAATCCTTCTCAGGAATCTAAATCGCGATGCCATCAATAGATAACCGAAAAATACAACAGGCTGGAAACGTACAGGCAATCGGACGAGATACGCTAGCAGCGTGGAGCATGCAGCAAGCGTGAACACAGCGCGGAGACTGATCGCATATGACTCTCTTGCTGCGCGTTGCAAGTCCGGCGGCAACCTGCCCACGAGGGTAGTTGAATGCCTGATCTGATTCACGATCTAGATGAGGAAAATGAAGCACTGAGATGTACTGCTTAAAGGGTAACAATTCACCTCTGCTGCGCCATCACCGTGTATTCTTGATCGAAGCTCGTAGTCAAGTTTGTACTGGAATAGCGCCGATGAAATGGCAACGCCCCCTACTTGACCTGCGGTAGCAGTCAGCATTGGCGACAAGGAGCCGTAAGAGCGACTTACCCATGCCTCTGAAAACCTGGCCAAAACCAGTGCCAACGGCCATCGCGCTCTCTGGGATATGTTGCATCATTAGAAACTTTAGCACAGGAGCTATAATTACGTACCAGGGAGATGTGCGAGCAGGGCAACTGATTATTGGTGTGTGACATGATTAACCATCTAAAACACAGCTGATTACCGACATCCTACACACCAAGATTTGTCTGTAAAACGACGGCGTTGCCAAATCCGAGTGGGACCTGATATGATATTATAATTCATACATCAATTGAAAAATACAAGATAGCGCTCACAATGCTCAGCCACATTTGCAATGGCCCGGAGTCCTCCCGCATCAAAGTGATGAGAGTGATCCCGATGAATGGGAAAAAACCAAAAATAAGGTTGATAAGTTTATACTTCCCGGTGCGGTGCATCATCCATCTAGCGCTGATGTGAATAAACGAAATGACGACGACGCATCGACTAACCCGGCAAACAAAGACCCAGCGGACATGCACACACTGTTCGGCATCAGATGCAAGCCTATCCATAATCCAGGTTGCGGTTAATGCTATATTGAAACAGATCAACATCAACATACCCGCAGTTGATGCACTTGTGAGGGCCACTGTCTGAAACCACATCGGAAAGAAATACATCACGCTGAAGTTGCACAATGCTACAAGGAAGTTGTTGGCTCCAACGAGAACAGGGACCTTCTGTTTCAAGAGGAATGGTGCCATGATAGGCTCTGGGGAAACCAACAACTCTACCAAGATAAAAACTACAGAGGAAGTGCAAGCGAGAGCTAGCGGTACGTGTACCCATGGGTTCGACCACTGGCCAAGGGTCAACCAACTAGACATTTCATGTGAATGATCACTCACTGGAAGATCCTCATTGTATTTCATACTCAAGAATACCAAGCATGATCCAACCTGCAAGGAATCAAGAACATTCTACACATGATAGTATCGACTCACAGAGAGTAAAAGGGAAAAACTACCGCCATAATCAATTCTCTTCAGAACGTCCCTGGTGTTTCTGCTTTTACCCTAACATCATATGAGTAGGTGACAACTTTAGGTTATTTTTCAAGCGCTCACGGGGGTGACGTATCGCAAGTTGTAGGTCGTAAGAGCGAGCGACAATACAAATAAGGGCATTTGAATCAAGAACGCCCATCTCCAACCAAACCTAGAATGTATGGTAGACAGGGGCAACAAGATAAGGTGCGTGCGCTTACCGGTCACTTATAAGACCTCCTATGGGACCTCCTAGACCCATGCCAAGCTAAATATAAGTGATAAGTTTCCAGGTTCAAAAAGAGGTGGAACCAAACGGACGCCATTAAACACACTTTGTACCCCTTGTGCAAGCCCTCTGGACTATAGATTTTTTTGAGATAATGATAATGGTGAAGGCGACGGAGTAGAACGTACCCGCATGGAATACATGTCACTCGTAGTGATCCTGAATTTGTCATGGCCACGTTTAGTAATGAACTGAATGGTTTAGCTGATATTGGTCTCACGTGCAGGTCGTAAGAATACCACCACCTCCCATGCCAGATAGCTGTAGGAATATGTCACAAAGGAGTGAAATGAAATTGATGAAGGAACGTACAAATCGCGCAGCAACCAACATCCACATGCTCGTAGAGAAGCCACACCACAGGGTACCCAGTGCGGTAATACAGACCGCCAACTGGTTTGCACCCCGTCTCCCCATAATATTGCATAATCGCCCATATAAAGGTGTAAAGGTACAGACAGCAAGCAAATACCTAAGAAAAAGTTCAAAATAGAACTTCGAGCCGAAGAATCCGATATTTACGATGTACCAAGCCAGCTAGCTTCATGTGACTTGTTAAAGTCAGAGGAGATGGATGGCAACACTGTGACAGAACTGTCAGATCAGTATTCGGATAAATGCGACAGCCAGAACGCCGTACGGGTGGCGACTAGGGTTGCTAGATGTGTTTTGGTAAGAGTCACGACTCATCAGTCGGAATGAAAACTTTGTTCAACGTACTGTTCAAAGACTAACAAGCAATCAGAAAATCCAGAAAAATTGTCGGATGAAACAACTCACCGAAAGGAAAGTCGCAGACCACAGACCAACTAAAATCCCGTAACGCGTCGACCTTGAAATGTCTCGAGGGCCAGGTGGGCGATGATCTTGTATTAGATTGCTTCCATTCACGATTAGGGGATCTCTTTCAGTCGCCATTTCGTGCGTATGTAGTTGGGGTCGGAAGTCAAGAGTGCCACGGAACCAATTCCACTTTGGAGCCTTCTTAGAGATCGGACTTGTTTCCGACTCGGAGCAGGGAGTCCGTGGAATTCGAACGCAACGGCATTTAGACACAATTGTCAAAAACTACAAGGGTCATTAAATATGATGCCGCCGGATTACAAGTTTGGCTAGCTCAGACTAGCTCCTTCAAAGTGCTCACAAGACCTTACCTTACATGCAAGGCATCGAAAGACTACAAATTTGGTGCCGTGGTGGACTACGTTCAACGTTAGGCCGTTTAAAGGGCCTTCACAAATGCCTTATAATGCCCATTAAAAGATTATCGTCATCAGACTGCTGTAATCTAACGATGTATGAACTTGAAATATATTACATGGTTTCGTAAGGCTAAATAATTGATCACGTGAGGTCAGTTTCATTGGTCATCATCGCTGACAGCGACCTCTGAGTAACAAACGACGATGAGCACACCAAGATTTGCACTTTCGGTGCTCGCTAGGGCGTCGACATGTATGAGACATGCCGCAGACAGTTATATGCGCTCTGGCATAGTCTCAACGCCGATAGCGAGTCTGAAGATTGGCTCTGCCCTGCACAAGACGAGGTCGTTCGCATCCTCCTCAATCGCGCATGCAGCCCCGCCGACACCCACCCATGTTCCAAAATCCACTGCATCAGTATCTTTTGCTCCAACTTCAGATGAACTAAAATCACAGGAGCTTGATTTAGACATAATACCCGAAGAGGATGTCAAGCTAGAACTTACAGACCGAGCTGCCGAGGTGTGTTATGCGCTTCTCATCAACTCTTAACGTCTTCTGAACTGTAATGGAACCGAAGCAACTGAAATCTATAGCTACGCGGGAGCACTGTCCCAATGCAGGCCTACGCATTGCAGTGGAGTCGGGAGGATGTCACGGCTACCAGTATACAATGGAGCTTGCTTCTGAACGAAATGCAGAAGACTAGTGCGTTAAAAATATAATAATTGCGTGATTTCTAATTGGTATCATCAGCCACTTCACACATCCCGCCATAATTCCATCAAATATCTATATTGATGCTGTCTCACTCGGACTTCTCAACGGCTCTACAATAGATTTCGCTACTGAGCTCATAGGGAGCTCGTTTCGCATTGCGGCGAACCCGCAGGCGAAGGGTGGATGCGGCTGCGGGATTAGCTGGGAGATGAAAGATTAAACTTGTATGGGACGGAACACAGTTTACCAAGCAAAGATGTTACAGGCATATGATGGACGTATTTATGCAACTCACATCTCTTGTACGCCTACTGCTCCATCACTGCGTCTGTAGCTGACGATTTTATTTTTGCAGATATACTGTCATCGTATCGCCAATCTACCTAATTTGCTGTACGCTGCATACCACCACTCCCGAAACAAATGCTACAATACCTGATAATGTCATAAGTTAAACAAGGTTAACTATTCCTGCAAGCAGCGCCCGCTCGCCACAATTCTGGCGCTGTACGTCAGTGACGTTGGGACGCACAGGTAATAATTCAATTGAAGTTGAAGAGCGGAGCGCCTTTGACTGAATGATTGGCTAACCTACTATTACTTATGCGTACAAGTCTGGGCCATGTGTATATCACCTGATGAACTATCGGCAAAGTCCTTCCTTGTCTTCCATTTCAAACAAAATGGACCAGTGCAACTGGAGGCGCGGGCTTCAGCTGGATCTCGGCAATATAATTGACACTTAGCATCATATCTTACGGGAGCAGTGGACGCCTTCAATTCAGTCGAAAACAGTAGCGCGACATTGAGACGTAAGCCTCAGCTGTTCAGCTGTCTGTTCTGTTCTGATGCGATATTGTCGGTTGGCGATGTGCGGAGAATTAATAATAGAAGGGCAATGTCAGTCTGTCCGACACTTCCGTCTCGCCGGATAGTCGCATTATTAATAATATTGCCTTGCACTTTTCCAACGTAGGGTTAGAGGCTGCAGTCGAGATCGAGGGTAGGAATCTCATGGAGGCTATCGAATTCATAACCTCTTATTCTAGTGCGTCCAGGTGTATCCATCCTCCTGAGGCCGCGTTCAGGGCTGCCTAAAAAGGTACGTAAATCATCATGCCGTTTGTTGTATCTAAGTACAGGCTCTCTCCATGGTACCGGTTCTGAGTTGCTACAACTTCAGTCTCCGCGGCTGTGCAATTACAGCACGACACTTAGTAGTGAAGGTTTGCAACACAATCATAACTACTTATCAGAACCTGTCAGGCTCTGTCAGGCTTTGCTCAAAATTACTGGCGCAGTCCAGGCGATTACTCAACTGAATCAGCCAAAGTAACGGAGACCCCATTAATGGCTATCTGCTGTCAGCTCGGCTAGCCGGCAGTTCACGGACGTCCTGAGATGTGTATGTGAATGGAAACATTGAATGTTGAGTAGGTTTACGGATACGGACCCTCAGGATAAGGCTCGGCGCCTACAGAGTTCGTGCCAGCGTTTCCTTTATTGATACTAACCTGTCAAGCGAGTCTCGTGCTGGTGAAGCACTTCATGCAAACCCTAGATCAAGATAAACTGGCGGCCGCACCTTAACGTCAGTCCCACCGATGCAAAGACTAATCAACCTGCCATGCCCAAATACAGTCTACCACGTGCCCTGACCACACGACGGCCGCCGACGTGGACTAATCAATTTACGACAATTTTCAAGGGGGGAGCAAAGTACCCGGGATAAACTGCGGGAACAGCATTACTTCACCGATAAAATACCACATGGCACTGTACGAACTTAATCTGACGACCGGCTGAAGAATGATCAAACTGCGGTTGCGACCTTGAAAAAAAGCTACTTTCCATTCGACCATCGTGCGCCACGATGAATTGACTCATGGATCATTATATTTGGTTAAGGGACCATGGTGATCATCCTGTATGTAAGTGGCCTGAATTTTATTTTTGCTCTTAGGTTTCATTTGTTGACTCGGCGAGCTGCGGCATACCCCGTCTCATTGAGTTAATATCTGGGCTCCATACAATGTTTCTCGATCGGACAAACTTTGACAAATTCCAGATCAATCGATATTCAGTTACAAGAAAGCGAATTGTACACGTATGTAGCCGATCCCGATGTTAGGTGATACACTATAAATAATATGACACATGGAATAATTAACGAAACGGCTCTTTGGCCTTGGCTCTAAGAATTAAAGGCGCGGAATAAGATATTTACAGTTATATTCGGCGCTCAGCGGTGCCCAGCCTGCTCGCATCCAGGGCAGAATCTATTGATGTTGGGTGCTATCATTTCTGCTGTCAGACACAACGGCGAGGGATAGTAATCACGAGCTTACAGTACTGCTGAGGGTACTGACGACTAATGATCAGACGAGTCATCAGAGTAGCGGTGATGTCCGAAATGTGAGTGGAGCGGGAGTAAGAAAGTTTCATCATCATGCAAGTCAGTTATCGTAATCGCAAATGAGTCGTGCGTACGCACTATTGCGAGCACGTCTGCTTGCAAGTGGGCGGAAGGCAGCTGGCAGGGTGGTTGGGGCTGAATCGGCACCTGGAACTGTCGCAGACGATCTGTAAAAGCTTTTAGACGTTGCTTGTATTGTTGTGGTGAGATGTCTCACCAATTCGTCCGGCTGACGTAGGAAAGTCGCTGGTGTTAGCCCCGTTGCTGAGAATCATTTGTGTGATGCTTACCAGGTTGAAAGCATGTCCACAGCGGAGGTAAACGTTGCGGACACTGACGAGAGGGTCAGTAAAACCCAAGGTGATTTTGCGACTGCACATACTGGCGCCAGCAGCACATGTTTGATAGTGGTTGATAGTGGTTGGTTGGTGAATAGAAGAGTGTTGTAGAAGTGATCTAGTCGATGGTGGGTGATCCTTGACAAAGATTCGTCTGCCCTTTTATCCATCCCCCAATAGGCTATGTAGCAAACACGGCAATGAAACGAACGTAGCGTGTCTGCTCAGGGCGCTAAAGCGGATTATGCATTTTTGAATTTGGTGGCACATCTGTGCATAAGGAGAACTTGAACAGGTTGCCCAGCCATCCAAAACGAGAGGTGTTGCCGTGCGTCATTTGATAGCGTTTTCGCAGGACCTTTTCTCGAGAACGACTAATCGTATGAGGAACAAGGCCCAGACGGGGACAAATTTGAACCCGGGGATCAACTCCAGATTCGGTCACACCTGCGGCATGAAGTAAGTAAAGTTGGTGACACCATATATAAGGCTAGATTGCGTACTGTCAATACCTGAAGAAAGTTAAACTACTTCAAGTTGATTTGCGGGAATGACTACCCTGGTATAACAATTGAAGAGAAATCTTGAGCTGCAAGCATGAATTAGGAAGCTGTCGTACTGTTGGCGACCCTCTATTGCCGGCATTCATTGAGGATGCACTCAGGCTGTCCCCTGCATTTGACTGTAACGGGACCACAGATAAATAGATGCTGGAAAAATAGTCACATAATCCTATGAATCGTTTCCATTGGAATATGGTTGTCTACCGGTTGCCTACCGGTGATATTAGTTGCTTTGCGCCAATCCCCTGTTACTTCGTATGATGAATAGACACTGACAAAGGATAAAATTAATAGCTGGTACCCGGTGCTTCAAAGGCGATTGATTGCGAGAAAGGTTGTGACGTTACTATCTTTCTGCTGAGTCATCGGCTCCGTCACGGTGGACTTGAACGCCTCCTTGTTCCGCGCCTTCGTTGACACGGGAAACCCATGTTATGACGGAATCAGGACCGCCTGTCGTGACACCCCCATTATCAACATTGAAGCAGAAGAAGAGGAAAGTTTTCTATGAACACGGCAAGGTAGGGCGCTCGTTCTGACATAACGCTTCCATTATTCGATCTTCGGCCAGAGATTATCTCATGAAAGTCTTTACGGTTAGGATTCTTTGGAGCTAGCGGTGTCAATCGGCAAGACACAGGAGGATAAAGCGTTGCTTAAGGCTGAGAGACATCATCAACCGCAGGTGGGTACATCACATTCGCAGCCTGCAAATTCCCCGATACATCCCTCTCTCATCATAAATCATTCCGATTCTTAGGCTGGTCAGCCCCGATCCGAGCGTACACATCAAAAAAGCAGGACAAAAAAGAAATTGGTAAATCATCAAAGACTGTGCGTGGAGTGCAATTAATTTTACACGGTTTCCAGGAGGAGGTAAAAGCTACCATTGCGAACCAGCGGGCTCGGCTGAAAAGGGAGAAAATAAAAAAGCGCAAGGAGCGTCCGGTGCCCGCGGTCCATCAAAAGTCAAGCCCGTCAAGTAACGCACAGGATCGTGCGCCTCGTAAGAGGGTGTCCTTTGCTTAGGCTTTGACGTATATTTTACATTTTTCTCGATCAATCAAGTGCAGTGACAATCAGCCCGAAGTGTCTTGCCGTCGCCGCTCGTTAGCAATATGGATTGGTACCGCTGATAAAAAAAGGTTGTATTCGGTGTGTGGCTGGCGCCATCAAGGAGCCGATGCTTGTTAGACTTAAATGTCTCCTGTATCGCTTCTATAACCGGTGAATATGGTTATGGGTCATGGCGTTCAGGACCGCTATATTTATCGCGATCGATGTAAACATAAATGCCGCCTTTAGTTAAACTGAAGTGGTTGTCTAAGTTTAAGTGAGAGCGAGAACACGGGATAATATTAATGCTAGAATATGGACAAGCCGAGACCCTACTGAACATCAATGTTGACTGTGCGCTGCGAAACTGTGCAACCTTGTTCCAACTTCACACATCTTCGTTGGGAATGGCCTTCAGGACTCTATTCTGGTGCACGTCTAGAACCGGGGGAGATGTTTTTAAATCCTGAATTTACCCAGACTGTAAAAATTAGATATTTGAGCTGAGTTCGAGCCCCGAGGGAGAACCGGGAATGGGCGTATGTAGGCATATTCGAGGTACAATTCCGGCGCCAACTTACAGGTAGTCTTACCTAACAACAGTTATCCCTTGGTGGGTGGTGGAGAGTTACAGAAACCTAACTCCACAACTCAGGCACCTACACACACCAATATCAGGCTGTCACTCACTGTCAGTGTCCGTTCCAGAACTTCCATTGTTTTGGATAAATTCTGACTCAGAGACTCTAGGACATGCGCTGGAGAGAATCGGGGCGATGATCAGCGAGTTATCTCGTAGATAACGAGCTCCGCTAAGGTAGACAGGTTGGGTCAGGGTTCAGTGCGAGAAATCGCGACCTCGGAGAAGTCGATATATTGAGCTCTTGGACACGCTGCCAAGGGTAACCTACCTGTGGGCCGTATAGGATAAACTAAGATGAGTCGCGGGACTCGCATTGATCGGTGCGCCACCGTGGCGGCGGCGTCAATTAACCATCCTTGAACAATCACTCGGGGACACATTGGAGGAATCATGAGTATTGATTGGAAGTTGTGTTTCATACTGACATGTTTGTTCCAGTATAATGAGGCGGTAAGGTGTGAGAGCTGCAAGGCTCACAATGAATCATAAAGGGTTATATGTGGCACTGTGCACAAACATCATGAGGCAACGCTGGTGATGCAAGAATACATCCGTGAGTATATTGGGCGGTGAGACGTGCTCACCCTGAGCAGTGTTCACGGGCAGATATCATGGTGCTTGTCTGTGCTGATGCGGCCTTGATCCTGATGAAGGAATGCTGCGGCATGACTGTGGCGGACTTGTGGCTCTATGGTGTGGATTTTCAAAGTCCGCTGGGTCGGATGCTTCCAGATGTGTGGTTCACCTTGCGCTTGCCGCCTCCAACTTGTCTTCAAACTTGCTAGCTGAGACACACCGAGCAAATACGACGACGCAACGCCGACAGGGAAAGATTTAAGGGAAAAATCAGTCTAGTCCCCTTCTGAATGTTTCTAGTCTAGGCGCACTCCTTAGTTTGTGATACTTTTACTACCGGACCGAATCAGTCTCACTAACATTAATCAGAACACTCAGTTTGACGGTGCTTTATAGTAGCAATGTCGCTTTATACACCAGTATTCCCACCGTCTCTCGAGCGCAGATCAACAGGGCGCAAAGGCGCGTCCTCATCCAATAAACACAATCAGCTGTCCACTACCGAGATTCTACGTGACATTCATCTTTTTCTTGCCACCAAACCTGAGGTACTTGCACCCTCTTCAAGATCCAGCTCTCCCTCTTTCGACGAAAAAGTTGAAAAGTTGAAACACTCTGTCCTCGAGGCAGTTGATGCTGCGAGAGGAGACGCAGGGGACAGAAAATGGACCCAGGTCAGCGCGAAGTTGAAGATGGGTTGTGTCAGGGGACGATATCGTATGACTGGGCTAAACCAACGTTGGCATCCAGCTGAGAACGCAGAATGGATACTACCAGATGACGAGGAAGCATGGTTGAAGCTAGAGAAAGAGAGGGCAGAGGCGAAAGGAAATGCCAAGCAATCTCGTCATCCCGACAAAGTGTCGACTGCAACAATCGCGCCATTCCGTGGATCAGATCTCGCTGCCAATCAGCCGCCAGTAGAAGCGCTAGCAACGGTCTCGCCCAAAACCATGCAGAATGTCAAGGAGAAGGTAGCAAATTGGCAAGCAACGATCTCCACACCTGAAGGCGCGTCGGTTACCGAAAAGAACGTATCCACTACCCCAGCGCTCAGGAGTGCCTCCAAGTCAGGAATGAAGCTAACAACATTGCCGAAAGATAAAAGCCAATCCTCGTCGCTTAGTTTCCCGGTCGTAAAGCGCAATGTTGCAACCGTGACTGGTAAGAAGAGTAATAAGGGACGCTCGGATAGACATGCTCCCCCTAATTTTCGGGTCCACGGAGATCCAAAAGGTGACCATACTCCAAGCGGCTCCAAATTACCAGCGGCACCTAGCGGTAATGAGCCGGAAAAAGCTAGCTCCAAGACCCCGGTGAGGTCCTTGCATGGGGATTTGCCCAAGATTACAGACTTTCCAGAAACGGTGAGTGCGAAAGTCGGATATTTTGTTCTTATCGAACTCATCAGCCTCTGTTTTACGTTGTCTTTAGCCGTATATTCCTCCATCCTTCCCATCAGAGCTTGAAACTTCAACTCCACAACCACGGCATGACGTCGCGGTGCCTGTCCGGACAAAGCCCCCGCCGATTTACCCTGTATGTCCATCATCATCTATTCCACATCCGTCAACTCCCAGAAATGGCGATCATAATCATATCGGTGAAGATCCTTATACTGTTGATATATCCCCTTCGCTTCCGCTACATTCCGACGGGCGACAAACAAACAAACGCTCTCAATCACCGTCTTCTCTGCATGATATAGTGTCTTCCACTTCCAAGAAGCAACGGTTACGGTCCCCCCCTGGAGAAAAATCAGCCTTCCGCTCTCGACCACCGACCCAATCGGCAAATGTGCCAGAGGTAACGTCGAAACGTGCAGTTATGCCAGCCTCCCCTCGCGCTGAAGGCAGACTTCCTACTCTCACTGAGTTGCTGGCAGCCACCCCTCAACCGAAGACACGCCAAAGGCCTCCTTTGGAAAATATACTTCGTGCCGAGAGTGAGCCTTCACCACATGCCACCAAGGAAAACCCTTCGCCTGCAAAGTCTTACTTCTCAACCCCGGGTTCGGGGCCGTCTGATTCCCCTACGTCCAATCATAACCTCCTTCTTCACTCGCCTGTCAGTCCAATGCGGTCATTCGCCCAAAATCCAGACGCATTTCTCCCGCAGTTTACCTCCACCCAGGCTGGAGGTTCGTGTCACAACGGGAAAAGTAGTGGCGTCTTTGGAGGGGGCTATCGCTCCCAGTTTGACGTGGAAAGACATGTTGACCGTGTTAGCGAATTATTAGAGAAGGACGTCGATTTTGGTGGATGGTTGCGCGATGTGCCGTCAGTGGAAGAACTGGAAGCCAGTCAGGAACAATGATTATCACAACATAGCCTCAGGCAATACCCGCGAACGTGCAAGCTGCTGACTAGTCGTACTCCACTCTTGTTTATTTTAGTCCCGACTTGTTGCTTTACTAGGAATAAAATCATAGTTTCAAATCGAGTCTGGGCCCTAGAAGGAAGGTTGAAGGGAAGAATGCACCCATCATTGCCTCGAGGCAAACTGAGATACCGAACTTCCATATTGGGGACGCGTCTTGATCACGTGGATGCGGTATTGTTCGATAACAGCGCGTGTTGGACCCAACCACGACCACGACCGGGACAGCCACAGAGCTTGTCCTCGTCGCCGCCCACGATGAGCAGGCGAGACTCACGCCTTTCCCTTAATGTCCGTCAGAACGATGCTCTCAGTGAATTTGAAAATTGTATGTCATTCATGTCGCCCTGGGTCCGACTGACGTCTGTGGCATTCAGTTAAGAAGAAATTCCTGCTTGCCAATAAGCACATCACCAAGTATGTTGCTCTGTCAAGTTTAACCTAATTCAGAAACATCTCACTGTATGATACCAGACTTAATTCGACTCTCAGCGTCCGTATCGAAGAGCTTAACGCTCAAATATCCACCCTATACGTCGAGAACCTCCGATTACGAGCATCCGAGATTGCGCTCGCGGCACAACTGAAGAAAGAGCAGGAAAAGTCGAGGAAAATAATGGCTGATGCTGATGCTGCGGTGAGTGTTTCATACCCCGAAGACCCACCTGCCGTCGCTGAGATTCAGCTAGACTGCTAATTTGGTCAAACATCTGACTTTTTTGCGGCAGTCATTTGGTATTGCTCCCGGGGTAGCTTCTCCCGCCAAAGAAGCCAGACCAGCAACTAGAGCTCGTCGACCGTTCGTAGATCCCAATGCGTCGCCACAAATGCCCAAGCTTTCGCGTGCGCCCAACGTACCAGGCATATACGAAGACGAAGAATTTACCTCTTCTCCGGAAGGAGATGAAGAGGAGGCAGAACATATACCTAGTCCTACTATTCGGCGAAAAACCAAGTCAAGACTTGCAGCATCCCGCCTGCCATTACCTGCCCGGGTTTCCTCGCCTCCGCCACTACCAACGCCACCGCAAGCTCCTGCAGAGGAACGAGGGTCGTCAAGCAAGAGGAAAACAGGGAGGAGGGAGAGCGGGCTTCTAAATGTAAGTACGGATGGTGGTGATGGGATAACTCCGCCGAGAGCTGCTAGTCCCGCCTTCGGGTCTCCTGCTCGTAGGGAGGCTGGTTTAGCTGAGGACGACGAGGAACGAGAAGCTGTCAGGAAATCGAGACTACCACCGGCTCAGGATGATGATTTGGACTACATACCACCAACAAAGAAAGAGAGGGAGAAAAAGATGAAGCAGATTGAACGAGAGCTACCATCAGAAGAGGGTGAGGCCACTACTTCCTCACGAGTGCAGGAGAGGAAACGACGAAGACACGAGGACCACTCGGGCCTCAAGGATGTCACAAACTCACCGAGAAGCCGTGCTATGTTACCACCGTTAGATACTAATGCATCAGGTACGGCGCACGTTTGGGCAACGCGCAATGCGGATGCATGCGATCGTATCTTCTCTGACTGATCGATTCGCAGATCGGGATCGACAGCACACGCCTGATACGGATGGAACAACGCCAATATCCGCAGTCACCTCGTTGGCAACAACCCGGAGCTTTTTGTCTACGCCAGCCACCACCCCTCCTCCAACGATATCTCAGATCTCGCAGTTACCGACACCTCGAACATCTTCTAGTCCAGTCCCTCCGCCATGTGCTTCTACTTCTGAAGAAGCCCCTGTGGGAGGGCGCGAACGTCGTACACGGAAAAGTGTCAACTACGCTGAGCCCAAGCTCAACACGTGAGCCCCATCCCTTGCATGATTTCGTTATGACTGACGGTTCAACCACTAGGAAAATGCGGAAACCTGATGGTCCACCGATGCAGCCTACAGCTGCTCTAGGGCTGAAGAAGAGATCGTCCACAACTAGTGTTCAAAATGATGATCCTGAGCGCAGACCGTCCTCAGAAGGCTCTTCACAGTCTAAGACTTCAATCCCTGTTGCTCGTTCTTCGTCCGGCACGACGAGTTCGTCATCCTCAGCTACCACAAATACTGCTGTGAAAAGGAAGAAGTCACGCCCTCACGTCGAAGTAGACGACGACGAAAGCGAAGGCGCCCAAGCTGATGCCGAATACGGAAACATCAATGGTTGGGTCAACGTTGAGGGGCGTCGACGGAGTGCACATCATAGTGCCGTCCGTCGTGCACTTGAAGCTGATGACGGCAGACGGCATAGCCTGGCCGTGTGATTTGGTTCTGGCTGGTGCGGTATACCCTTGGTTCTATTCATGGCACCCTTCCGCGTAGGATTATTCTAAGTATACTATTGATCATGACGATATGAAACACTCTGAAGTACAAACGAGCAGGCATGCCCACTATCATACAAATACCACATATTTTTCTGTAATTCTACGTTCCTGAGGATTGAGAAGATTTAGGTTTCGTGGACAGTGATTGAATCAGCAGGGTAACATTTACAAAGATACATTGCATAGGGTCAATCGCAACCCTTTGTTGTTTAGTGACAGTTACGATTCATATAACCACAACTATGTTTGTTTGACACGTCTCAATTTTCACAAACTTACACCTCAGCCGACTCACATGAGCTACCAGGAACTCGTGTCAAGTAAAGACAGCTCAGAAATATGCCTATAAACAATCATTAACGTGACAGGGCATATTTATGACGGGTACAGTACTCACGGCAGCGTTGGGAGGGCTCGCGGCGCCGCCAAGACTGAACAAGGAAAAAGACACTGATTTAAGCGATACAATTCCATACAGAAGGGAAACCGGCTGACATGTTCAAAGGCCAAGATGTGAAAAAGAACGTGTAGCGACTCGTCTCCTGGCACAGTTCTGAGAGAGCCTCAAGATCAAAGAATTCGCCTGTTTGGCAGAAATAAGAATTGGATTTTGACGCATAAGATTGTTATGAGGTACAGACCAATAGGCATTCCATAAAGGCTTGCATCCGCATTCATTGTCAGGGGTGAAAATATTTTGGGAAGGGCCGAAACTTACCCAAGAATTGTCTGCAAGACCGCAAGAATTCAGCGATAATGCTAATGGCTGAGACTTAGACTAACCTGATGGAGCTGCGTTCCCTTTGGCGTGGGCCAGCGCTATCACGCAATTAACTGGTCAGACTTACGATGACACCCGCGGGGTACACACCTCCAAAGATGGCTGATCAGATGCGATAGCAGCAAAGTGATTATTCCTGCAGGCACAATCAGGCCATCATTTGGTAACATCTGAGAATAACATACCAGAGGAAGCGCTTCATATCTTCACTTTGTTCTATTCCAGCGCTAATGATATTTTGCTTCGCTAAGCAAAAGGGGCGTCAGGATACGGATGGGGTTGCATACAATGTTTCCTTTTCTGAGCCGCCTCTCAAATCGGCCTTTGCTTCATTAGTGCTCGCGTAGTATCTTTGAGTAAACCCGACGCGCAGGAGGAGGATGTCGCCTTGTCGGAACTCAACCCCTTGCTTCTTCGCGATAGCCTCTAGTTCGGCAACAGTAATTGGATGACTCGTCCAGGGATCGTACGGTAAGGCCTCGCCATTGGCCGTGTAGTACCTTACCACATCCAGGAGAACGCCGCGGCCGCATATGCCATGATTAGCCCAGTCTAGAGGCAATACTCAGTCACAGTATACGGGGTAGCGGCTTGTAGACTTACTGTGCATCCCAAGTTTGACTTTCGAATAATCGATCTCACTCGGATCATGCAATTCCATTTCGCCTTCAGAGAGGGTTTCCGCGGGAGTGCTAACAAGGTCCGCGGTGAGTGCTATCGAAACTCTCAATGTACGAAATCAATATACTTGTTGTAGAACACATTGTGTTCGGTTAACCCATAGTGCTTCAAACCGTCCCACTGGGAACCTGATTGTGTGTTCTGCAAATTTAGTTAAGTGAAGTGCCATCCGTCAGACGGGCTTAAAGGGCACATACGATATGGATAATGTCATCACGGACAGGTATGGTGGGGCCGTACTTCCCGAAGGTAGTAATGGATGGAATCTTACGCCCGAAAACGGGCTGACAAGCGAAGATCAATGAACACTGAATGAAAACGCGGCGATCACAGATCCGCTTACCCTCGAGGGGAAGTGAATTGGCCTGGTTAGTAGTATTGTAAGGCACTAAACATTTCAGTCTTTACGCGGGAGCCATATTGCTCGCACCAATTCAATGAAACTGTGCGCCCTAGACTATCGTTGACAACAAAACACATTATTGGTTATCATTCATTTTGTCTCTTTTGAGATAAACGCACCGAATCTCCTCCTGAGCAGCTCGTGCTACTACCTCGGGAGTGAGCAGGTTAATCGTGCCTAGCTCATCATCCTTGCCCCATACGTCCCACGCGCATCCCTTGAAATCATGAAAACTTGGCAGTTCATCGAATGTCGGGAGCACTCCGACTATCCGCAGACTCAGCATTAGCGATCACCTCATCTCTCTCCACCCTTCTGAGAGAACATACGTTTCAAACGAGATGCCATGACTGTTACCGCGTGATTGGAGAAGTATCTACACATCGGTAAGTATATATACCCCTCATTTACGCGTGGAGTAATGAGGTTCCCTTATCGTCGTACCTTGTCACACCTGGACCAGCAGACGTATCAGAGGTGCAATTTATACTGATGAGAACAGGAAGAATATAAATACACGTCACGGGAACAACGTAGTACAGACCCGAGATAGGATGCTCATGGTAATCCTATCCCCTGATGAATGGATGAATTAACGCTTCCTTGGGAGTGATCCGCCTTGCTGGATCAAGTGCCATGCACTTGTCCAACAGATCGATGAATGAGGTGAGCAACTTCATCTCGTCGTCCTTCATCTTGACTGATGCAGGTGGCATGAGACGGGCTCGGAGGTCACGACTAGGTTTGGAGATGTGAACTTTGCGGACAACATTCTGGTAGAACAATCAGCTGACACGGAAGATTATTGATAAGAGATCACATTGACTCACGGCACCGGTGACACGGTCCGTCTCTACGCTTTCGAACCCGCCCATTTCATCGAAATACATTTCTCCGAACTTCGCCTTTTTGATCATTTTAGTGTTGAACCTTCCCTTGAGTTCCATCATGAGTAGAAGCATTTGATTGTTCGACCGGCCAGGGAAAAGGATTTTCCCCGTGTATAGTTCATACAGCGTGCACCCAATGGACCAGATATCGAGCGCTGGATCATACGGGACTCCGAGGACTAAATAAAATGACGTTAGTTTTTAACTTCGACAGTAGTATAAGCAACGTACTAATCTCAGGTGCGCGATAAAATCGACTAACAAGATAGGGGGTGATGTCATTTTCTGACGCGTCCGATGCTGAGCCTAAGTCGCATAGCTTCAATAACGTCTTCTGTTCATTAACCTGAATTTGTCGTTAGTGAATCGACAGCTGCCAGAGCTAAATTGAATTTCACCAATATGTTGTCAGGCTTGATGTCCGCATGCATGATGTTGACTTTCTTGAGAAGACTCAATGCAAGGAAAAGTTGGTGTGCATAAGCTCTGACGGCCTTGATATTCAGACCGACATCCTTTCCAAAGCGCTTCACAACATCCCGAAGGTTCATGCTAGAGGAATTTTTGTCAAATACCCAGGAGTGGAATTAAACAACCTCCAACCTCATGGACTCAAACACGAGACAAAGGTGTCCGCGGTGTTCAAAAGTTCTCTCTAGCCTGACGATGTGCTTCTTGTCTTCTGGGTCAGCCTGCTTTAGCTTGTTCAATATCTGCACTTCCTTCAGACCGGCACGATGCCTAGTGTTGCTTGAGCATTCTCAGAAGTATCACATGGAGAAAGTGTACGAACATAGATTCCTGACTCCTGATGATTTTGATGGCCACCTCTTTGTTGATTTCTGCATCTTGAAGAACGCGTGCCCGGACAACATTGGCAAACATTCCCTTTCCAAGCGAAGAGAAGACCTGGTATCGACCACCATCAAGTTGCTCACCAAGGATAACTTGGTAATAGCCCTCATGATCTGAGGCAGAGTCTAATGTCGTCGTGATAAGGGCGGGTGCTGCTTTTTTCTGCATACAGGGTCAGACATCGTTGACGGACAACATAGTAAGGGCATACAACGACTTTCTTGACTTTCTTTCGCTTCTTCTCGGTTACAGCTGCTGCGAACATGTCATCGACATCGTCTTCTTCTTCCTCTTCCTCCTCCTCTTCCTCCTCAATAGTTTCTACATTCATGGGTTCGTCTTTAAGGACTCGCCTTTGTTCGTCCTCTCGGCGATCTAGGCTGGGATCATAATCTGCAGCAGATATCTGATCCGGTGCACCATCTTGCATCTTCGCACGGACATCTTCATCGTCCTCGTCCTTAGCAAGTTCAAAGATACTGTCATCCGGTTGTGGAGATGCAGAGTCTCGTTTGCCTGCATGATATAATACATCAATCCACGCGAGACGTTTTTTTGGAGAGAAGCTTACTTATTGAATCATGCCTCGCTTTGGAGATGTCGGCTGTTGAACTTGCGGAAGTATCGACAGCACTGTGGGGCTGAGGTGTATCAGACACAGATGCAACAGGTTGCGGTTGGACCGCACTACTAGGCCCAGGGCTGGGGCTGACGCTCTTATTAGCACTGGCTATCCCGGAGTGTCTGGCTAAAATGGCTTGACGCCTTGCACGACGAGCGGCTCGAGCAGCTGCCTCTGCAGCGGCCGTGTCGATCTCGAGATCAAGTTCCGGATCAGGTTGTGGAGGAAGCAGTAGGTTGTGCCGGCTTCTGAATATGAGTAGCCTCTGATGGAGCTCGTGTGGATGGAGTCAGAGATGCTGCACGGGCGCTGCGCGCAGGAGAAATTCTTGACAGAAGAAAACAATGTGAAAGGGTATTCATACACTTGGATGCGTTGATACTCACTCGCCTTCTTCTTTGTCCGAGTAGTCTTTAGCTTGATGAGAATGTCCATTGGATGGTGCAGGTGAACGGCGATTCCGAGGTGGAGTTCGACGACGATGTTCATCTTTTCGATCGTCTTCTCTACGGCGATGTTCTCTGTCGCGATCACGGTCTCGTTCACGGTCACGATCCCGATCACGGCCGTCGCGTCTGTCTTTGTCTCTGTCCCAGTCTCGAGAATGGTCGCTAGGCCTCCTTGGGTCTTCTCTGGACCGTCCAGGCTCCCGCTTATCGATACTGTCTCGTCTGCTACTGTTAGATTTGCTACGCTTATCTGTGGGAGACTTTAGGTGTACATCCCGCCAGTCTCTAGGTTCGTCTCTGTGTCTCTTGTGCGAGTGGGATTCGGCTGCGTGACCCTCCCAAGACCGCTTTGATCCTGCGGATGCGTTAGTCATCTTCTTCGAAAGTAATTGGGTTTACGGGACACCGCACGATCAACAAGAAAACGTTGGGAAGGATGTGAAAGTGAGACAGAAAAAGGAACGAGCTTGTCGTCGTGCTTGCTGTCGAGGAATGTGGAGAGCAACAAACAGCCAATCAGGCACTCCGGATCCAGTAACTCCGGATGGTCCGTGCGCATAGCATCAATTGATTAGTGTGATAAGTGATATATAGACAACGTTGATTAATATTAATTCCCTCTCCTCTCTCGCAATCTAGCAATATTTGCCTTGGTGCCTGGAGAAGGGAAGGGACGAGCTTGGGCCGCGTGGCGTGTGACTCGAACTGCAGATGATCTGGTGGTCACCTTGTTTGAGGTACTCGGAAGACGAGTACGGAAGCCAGCAGCTGCCATCCTATTGAGCCGTTGTCCACTAGTACTATGTTGGAGACTCTTATGGGTCGCTGCATCATCAGAGTCGGAAGGATCTTCAGATGAGGAGTCCACTGTGAATTCTTGTTGTCCGGGAGAAGGCTCGTTAGATTGTTCAACGTCGATCATCAAGAGACTACTCCTTTCTTTCAGAAAGTAGTCTTCCACGTCCTGCTGCTCTTGCAATGTCTCGGTCTCCGGGCGGCGATTTGGAATCTGTGGTCCTCGCCTCGATGGCTCGCCCTGCTCGGCTGAATGCCCTTCATTTTCAGCCAATTCTAGCCCCCACTTCGCTCGAGACGGTCCAGAAACAGCTCGACTTTCCAACTCGACACCCTCATAAATGTGAGCTTGAGAGTCACCGCCTTCGACTACATTCCGTTCGGCATCTTCCTCAGGAAGCTCTTCCAGCTCCAGCTCTCTCGCTTTCCCCTTCGCCGAAACTACTCTCCGGCGCTTCGATGCCGGCGTAGGTTGTGGAGGCAGGTCAACTGATTGCGATCTTGCCCGAGTGTGGCGATATGGCGCGTCAGAAGCGGCCACAGCAGGTTGATGACTGCGAGATTTGCTCGACGTCCGTACACGTTTAACTTGTGAGTGACTTTCAGTGCCGGCAGCAGGGGTGCGCACTTCGGCAGCGAGGCTCTGTTCTCGCTGAGCTCGCCCACGGCGTGAAGGTGGCCTTCGCGCAGCTCGTAGGGGTCGTGCAACTGAAATAGCCTGTGAACTCATCGACGTCGCTTGAACAGCTATAGCAGTAGCTCGAGCATTTGGGGCCCGTCTTGATCGTACGTCAATGGGTGAATTGACTAAGGTTTGCTGCGTAGCCAGTGGTTCATCGGATTGACCTCCTGTAACGTCATGCTCAGGTGATCGCGGAACTGGTAACACATCGAATCTGCCCAGAATAAATAGAGCGAAATAACTAGTCAAACAGTCGTGATACATCACACAAAAATAAACTTACTGGGGTATTTGATCGATATCGAAACTAATCGCACCATCTAGCGCCCCCCGCGCGAAAGGCTCATCATTTCTTTCTTCCGGTGATCCTCCATCGGTCTCATTCGAAATTCGACCAGGACTGCCATGACCACTTCTCCGCCGTCCCTTCTCTAGAGGTCCTGGTGGTGTAGCCGGACTTGCCACACGCTGTCGCTTCTGAGGCGACTCCTCTTGGAAACTTGCACGCTGAGACGTATCAGGATCATCGCGACGCCGCCTACGCAATTGAACCTGTGCAGGACCGGGTTCATCATCGGAAATGTTGTCTTGAACCTGGTTGCGGGCTTGTAGAACGCCGTCGGGCACCCGGTGATCCAAGTCATCAGGTCCAGCGCCACCCTCTGCTTGTTGTTCTAGTTCCCGATCGCTCTCCTCCTCCTCTTCCTCCCGCTGTGCACTCCTTCCGCGTCTATAGCGACGCGAGCGCGGATCGTTACCGAAACCATGGGACACATTCTTAAGGTGCGCCGCATACCCTGCAATTATAGGATCAAAACGCACGCGATTCTTCCTGTAGCGCTCGCGCCAGGATTGCCACGTGTGCCTTTTCGCCCACGCTCTATATTCCGGCTCATCAGCCTTGGAAGAGTATTCTTGTGAATTAATACGCATATGCTCATGATTTAATCACGTACCAGCTGCTGTGTCAACTGCTCGTACACCAAATTCCCAGTGCGTCCCCCATCAGAAGGATCAGGATATACAGTCGCAATGTAAAACGCGAGATTTGCATCATCTTCTGCTGTAAAGGGTACGCGCCTGATGGGTGCATTAGCAAACGAGACGTAGGAGTGGACGGGAAATGTCATACGTGCGCCCAACCGAAGCACCGGGCATACCCTTCCTTGGCGGAGGGTGATGTTCATATTTTCCAGCTGTAATACATCGACGGATAAAATCCCTACGCTCAATATAGACGCGCTGCTGCCAGAGGACATTTGAGCGGTAGTAGCGCCGGCGGATATGCTCAATGTCGGCTTCTTCATCGACCAAAATCACGTTGGCTTGTTGCTCATCGTCACATACATCACCTCCATATCTCTACAAGAAACGAATTAGATCAGCAATTGGAGGCTTCCACATTAAACAAGATAAGTTGGTCGCATACCGTGATCTCCTGTTCGAGTATATCGCGTCCTTCCCTGACACTCTGATGAAAAAAGAAGGCCACAGGATATCTGTCTTTCACAAATATGACATCTTCAGTGTTGGCTGTAGCAGACCGGCTTCGTCGCGCAGCATCCGCGGAAGGCATGATGGTAGAAAGGATTCAAAGGAAGCAAAGCATTACCCGAAAGTGCATAAATCAACAAGCTGAGCTCGAAATTCGTAACCCCGCATTGTGGTTAGGGTTATAACCTAACCTATACCTAACCCTGCTGCCGTGACCGACGGTGGTCATAGGCTCGTGACCAGCCTGGCGTATACTACCACGGATACTCGAGTGGTCACCATCTCAAATTGACGCATAGTCAGACTGGTTACGAGTCTACTATCGAGTGGCGTTCGAACTTGTTGCTTTGTCTTTTTCATCACCAGTATGGTCTGACGTCGTCTGTGGTGGACAAACATGATCACTGCTCACCGCGGCAAACTTGTGGTGATATATGCTCATTTTCCATGTGGTGGATCACCGTTATTCACATACATGCTGTCTCACGCTCCACCAACTGTGGATTTTCAATGTAACGACTTGACAAACTAAATGTCAACTAAGATAGACAAAGTACACGAGTACCCCACCCCTCCGTTAGCCTTAGGTTGGCTTTCGATGCTCCACCACCCCAAACCCCCGTACGGGGTGCGAGCCAATGGTCCTCAATTACACCAACGCCAGAAAAACCAATAGAACGCCGTAGTATATAGCATGTAATGTCTACATCGGGCTTTGCCCTAAGAAGACATTAAATAGGATTTTTTTTTTAAAAAAAAAAAAAAGTACACGAGTATCCAACGTATATAGGGCATACAAAAAATCACTGTAAGGAAAAGTAAAAAAGACGTATGGTATCAAAGGACAGCCTTCTCGGGCTGGTCCTTACATTCAGGCCACGCCGTGCCATGAGCGACACAGCTCAAGTCCAGCTGCAAGGCATTGTTGGGTATCACCAACGCGTTGTCTCGGGCATACGTCGCCGGGTGGAGAGTGGGTGGGATCCAGAGGAGAAGCCGTCCTTCGGGACCTACAACCCATCCCTCCTCAGTTGGGCCTGAAGGGGCTGGGGCGTTTGAACCTTGAAGAAAGGAGGAGGCGGAATGAAGGGCATGATTTGGGTTGGATGAGAAACATATTGCAGGTGCTTCGAAGGTTTGGTCCTGGTTAAGAAAATCCTCTAGATCCCACACCCGAATGGAATTGTCGTCTGAACCAGACACGATGTATTTTCCATCAGGCGAGATTGAAACGGAATAAACAGGTCCAGTGTGTCCTCGGAAAGGGGCACCGACTGCCTCACCAGTCCCTATATCCCACACCCGGATCGTGTTGTCATCTGAGCCAGACACGAGGTGTTTCCCATCCGGCGAGATTACAACGGAGTTAACACTCTCAGTATGCCCTTGGAGAGGAACACCCAATGCCTTGCCCGTCATCATATCCCACATTTGAATTGTCTTGTCGTCTGAACCAGACACTATGCGATTTCCGTCTGGCGAGATTGCGATGGAGTAAACAAAATCAGAGTGCTGGAGGGGGGCAACCATTGCCGTGCTCGTTCCCATATCCCACACCTGAATTGTCTTGTCATCCGAACCAGATACTATATGATTTCCGTCCGGCGAGATTGCGACAGACTGAACACAATCAGTGTGCCCTGAGAGAGGGGCATCCAGTGCTTTTCCCGTACCCATATCCCACACCTGAATCGTCTTGTCATCCGAACCGGACACTATGTGATTTCCATCCGGCGAGATTGCGAGAGCACGAACAGCGTCAGAATGTCCTTTGAGAGGGTCACCCAACGCCTTTCCCATCTCCATATCCCACACCTGAATTGTGGTGTCATCTGAGCCAGACACTATGCGATTTCCATCCGGCGAAATTGCGACGGCCCGAACCCAGTCAGTGTGTCCTTGCAGAGGGACACCCTGTGCCTCGCCAGTCTTCATGTCCCACACCCGGACGGTCTGGTCACCTGAGCCAGACACGATGCGATAGTCCATTCGGCGAGATTGCAACAGAGTTAACGGAGCCAACGTGGCCTTGGAGAGCGGCACTCAATGCCTCGCTCGTAGTAGTGTTAACATCCCACACCCGAATCGTCGTGTCATACGAACCAGACACTATGCGGTTTCCATCCGGTGAGATTGCAACAGACACCACGGTGTCAGTGTGGCCCTGGAGAGGGGGTCCTAATGTCTTGCCAGTCTTCGTATCCCACACTCGGATTGTCTGGTCAAATGAACTAGACACGATGTGATTTCCATCCGACGAGATTGTGACCGATAGAACAGGGCCAGTGTGACCCTGGAGAGGGGCAACTAATGCCTCGCCAGTTTTCAGATCCCACACCCGGATCGTGTTGTCTTCCGAACCAGACACGATGTATTTTCCATCACTTGAGATTGCAACAGACTCTACCCCGTCAGTGTGCCCTTGAAGAGGGGCACCCAATGCCTCGCCACTCGCCACATCCCACACCCGGACAGTCGTATCGGATGAACCAGACACGATGAATTTACCATCCTGTGACATAGCAACAGACCAAACGCCGTCAGTGTGCCCTTGAAGAGGGGAACCTATTGCCTCGCCACTCTTCACATCCCACACCCGGATCGTGTTATCATCTGAGCCAGACACGAGGCGTTTCCCATCCGGCGAGATTGCAACAGAGTTAACACTCTCAGTATGGCCTTGGAGAGGAGCACCCAATGCCTTGCCGGTCCTCGTATCCCACACCCGGACTGTCTTATCATCTGAACCTGACACAATGCGATGTCCATCCGGCGAGAATACGAGAGAATTAACGCATTCAGTGTGACCTTCGAGAGGGGCGCCAGATACCTCGCCAGTTTCCATATCCCACAGCTGGATCGTTCCGTCTTCTAGACCACACGCGATACGTTTCCCGTCTTGCGACATTGCAAGTGAGTAAACCTCGGAACGCAGGTGGAGTATCTTTTCCATCTGAGGCCACTTTACAACGTGGCCAGCAGCGATGCGGGGGATGCGAGGAAATTTTTCGGCGAGCTGTTTGGATACTATCGACTGTGTTGGAGAAAACGGCAGAGCAGACAAATATAAGTGTGGAGTGCTGTGTAAAATGATGGCCCCAAAAGTTCGAACGAAGCGCTGGATGTCCCTGGCAGCGTCACTGATATGCGTATATTCGTTATGGCCCTATGAGCACCCCACCACTTGTAAGAATCCATTGAGCTTAAGAATGAGTTCGAGCCACGCACCGTAACCCAACTTGCGATGGACGAGAGGGTCCCTACCGAACCGCTGAGGCTTTTCATAAGAGACAGTGCTTCCAACCACCAAAGGAGGCGCTCTCCGTCAAAAAAAGCTTCAAATCCCTTAGCGAGCGATGGTTCGAAGGATGTAGCTGCTACATGAGTCCCCCAGAAACGACATGCATACGATAGCTCAGCCGGAATCGACTGTTTCACTCGTTTCTCCAAGTCAGAGACAGCAGAATTGGGTAAGTAAGAACTCTCTAAGGAGCAAATGTTGAAGCGAAGTTCGCACTCCATGACCCGAAGCGAGGCAAAAGCAAGGTCGCTTTGTACTGATGACACATCAACGAAGAAGTCACAGCTGCGTGATTTGTCTGTGAGAAAGTCGTAGAATGATGTGTGGAGGGGACGTATGGGAGTCTGAGGATCCGTGGTACCGGTGACGAGCGAGCCTAGGGACCTAATGACATCTTCCACATCGTAACGGTCATCGGCGCGTGGAAAATTAAGTCGCATTGCAGTTAACGCAGCCATGGAAAGTGGTTCTGACGATGCAAGGATTTGCCCCATCACAGAGTAAAACATGGGCATAGCTTCCCCGCGTCCCTTCTCGGGCATGCTGTCTGCTAATATGCGCACATACATATCATCTAACAGATGCGTTCCTTTTGCAGATGTTGTAGCAACCACGGCTTCGAAACGGCTCATAGGATTCCGCCGCACCGTGTTGGTCCCCTGGATGTATTCGCAGGCAAGACGAGCCCATTCAAATAGGCCGTCAGCCTTTCGAGCAAGCGTCTTGAAATGTCCGTCATCAAATGGATTGCGTGGGCTTTCTTTAAGCTTGGTGGAGATGTAGAGCTGGATATCAAGTTCCGTGGACTCGACCGGAATGTCATCCATGGAAATACGACGAACATACGACACGTTGTGCAGGGCATCCTCGATATCTTCGAGTGGACGGGAAGTGATGATGATACGGAAGTTTGCAGGAAGTTGGGATGGTTGGGAGGAAGAAGCGTTCGGATTGCCAGAAAGCAGACGGAGAATGCGTTCCCGGGATTTTGAGTCACCACTCTCATCCAACGCATCAATGACTATGAGGACGGGTGCAGTGATGGCTTTCGAGGCCTCGCTGATTGGTTTTACTATTAACTCTTGCCACTGTCTGGAGATGTCTATGGTGTGCCTAAGCTCGTTACGATCATGAACCGCACGTGCCAAAGCTCGCCGCATGGTCGGATAGCAATCAGCCAAGTCGCGTGCGATTGTAGTGAAAATCTTCTCGTAGCGACGGTCCGCTCCATGCGTGCGATCGAAGCAGAAACAGGCTCCCAGACCACCTTGCTCGTTAGACCAATTGGCTATTGTGTGAGCAATAGCCGATTTCCCCTTTCCTGCAGTCCCAGACAACCATAAGACGCGTTGCACGTCCTCCCCCGTGCTAAAGATCCAGGACTTGATCTCGGACAGAATGACTTCCCGAGTGCCTGGGAGACAACGCCTAGATGTATCAAAACCGGCACCATCCGAATACGCCATGCCATTGAAATCCAGATCCTCGCCTAGGCCGCGCGTCGTCGAACATCAGCATAACTTCAGAGTGAATCTGAAGTCAATTCTCACCGGCACGATGAAGGATGATCACAGCATCACGAGTCGCTTGATCTCGGAATTGCTGCATGAGACCGTCGAGAGCCACACTGTAGCTCTGAATCGTGGAATCTGTTTCATCGATGACATGCTTTCCAAGTCTTATCCCTATGCAAAGAGACAACATTGAGTCTCAGGGGACGAAGTGGTGTGATCAACTCACAGGCGCTCTTCGTCTCAGAATAATGGGCGATAAAATCAGCACAATCCAACGTCTGCTGAGCTATCATCCCATATACCGCTAGCATGGATTCAATCTTAGCTAATTCTTCCTTTTCCGTAATGAAAGTATAGACTTGAGAAATCTTCGAGAGCAGACGGGAAATAGCGACATCACGGTCTGCCTGATCGAGAATCATCTGTCAACGAGACCTTGTTAACCTGTGAAGGCGACGATATTGAAAGAAGCCCACCTTGGATGCGCAAGTGAAGATACTCAAAGCTACTTTCGCATACGGATGGAGCTACGCACGAAGGTAAGCCACATACAAAACAGAGAGAGAAACACGTACATCTGCAAGCCCGCTAACAACAGAGTTGAACACTTTTAAGGGGCCAATAAGTGGGGAAAGTGTGTCTATCGCATCGGAAACAGATTGTAGGTCGTTGGTTGCTGTATAAGTACTTTGGACAATTCCCGAGACGTGCCCGATGCCTGCAAGACCTTTGGTAGCATCAGCGATTCTTTCGTTCACAATTGTTGGATCTAATTGTTCGACCTAATAATGAAACTTAGTACATTATCGAAAGAGATAGATAAAGATGATCCGAACGGCGATGATCAAACTAACCTTCGCAACGCTCAAATTGGAAGACTGGTCAGGATTTTGTACGGGGGCGGGAGTGGTGAGTGGTGAAGGAACCTGCGGCTGTTAGATCACATACAAAATATGCCAAGAGTTAGACATACTTGGCTCGTTTGAGGATGCAAGATATCCCGTGCGCTGGCACTTACAGCTGCAGGTTCAGGGTTAACGGTACGCCTAACGCTGCGAGCCGAACGACTCTTGAAAATTCTACCCCACAACTCGCGAATTAACCCAGAAGATCGTCTACGAGATTCAGTCGGCGAAGATGAAAGAGAGGACGGCTGAAACTACATGTTTAGAAATAACGATTAGTTGTAAAGGCGATAGTCCATACATTACTTTGACTAGCTTTTCTCGCAACCCTCTCAGGCCGCGCCAAATGAGGGTCTGAACGACTTTTTTTCAGCCACCCCCAGCGCTTTTTCCTAGGAGGATTATCTTGATTCATCGAGGTTTGAAAAAACGGCCGAGTTATGAGTCTGGGCCGGTATTCAGTCTGACAAGGTGCAACGAGGACTGAAAGGGTGGTGGATGGCACGTACAATATATAGGCGGCTGTCGTATGGGCAGTGTGCAACAGCGAACATGCATTTGGAAGTATTTGATTGTCGTAAGCATGATGTACCGGACTTCAAATCTGGAAGACCGAAGCGAAGAGTCCTCCGGAGTCCGGAGTGATCAGGCAAATGTCCGTATCAGACTCTCACTCTTATACCATTGAATTTGTTATTCGCACTCACCTCATTCACTCAACTATGCATAGTGTTTACATATCGTTCACGATGTGTTTCATCTGTATATCACGTTAATCCTTCATTCAGCTCGGCCGTCTCATTCTGCCAAACCCAGATCGCTCTTGCGCGTCAATGGGAAGGTCCCCATTACACTGGCGGGGACACTCCGAAGGAAGTGTTTATCAAAGTACCTCAGGCTTCATAGGAAAGCAGAGGCAAAGCTTCATGACCGTCGACTCAAACACTCTCACGCATCTCAGTCGCAATACACTAGACGGCCACCATCCACGCTCAATAAGTGTGCCAGATCATGTGTGAAATCCCTCAATCGTGCTGATTTGAACTGCCAAGTACTTGATGTCAAGGTTGTCTCCGTCTGATTTCTACTCGTGTTATTGCTACAGGTATTTTCTTGACGAAGCGACGAGGCTGGATATACATAGCGTATGACGCGAACTTCGATAATTCTTGTATGTATGAAAGTTCTGTCGTCAACGGCTATCGACGTGTCAAACAAAATCAAGAGGTGAAGTAGTGCTTATTAATCGTAATGCGAGATGTCCATGGTCGTAATGAAACATACAATGGCTATAAGCCAGGGTACCAAAAAGCTGCAGATTTATGACCTAGAGGTCATCATTGTCGGTTGTCTGGCCGAGATCAATCTCCACCTCCGACTCCGTGTAGAAACTGGGGAAGATAGATACAACGTCCTCCAGATACCAGAAGCAATCGCGGGGATGCTTGCTGACGCGTGGAGTACCTTGATCAATAGAAGTGATGGAATTCTCCACATCTTCGCAGCGAGCCATTTGTACCCATGTGCCGCACAAGCCAAGGCCGACATGTAAACAATCTACGGACGATGGGTTGATGAGTATGGTCAGGTCGTCGCGGCAGGGGTTGTATGCATCAGAAGGGGATTGGGCATCAGACACATCAATGATGTCCGCGAACGGGTCCTTGATAACGGGTCCGCGACTGGAAGACGTGATGATAGGTCTTACGATATCAAGAAGTTCGTCTGTTGAGGTGCGAACCCAAGGTTCCAACACGACACGAGCGAAGCGACTTCCTAGCTCCTGCTCAATTGCGGCGGAGGGAGTATCCGGAATTGAGTTGGTAGCTTCTGGCAGCATTATTTCTTTCACTTTGCGCGTAGAGAACTCGACAACACCAGCAGTATGCGTCAAAGGTAATTGAGTTGGGCCGAGGAAGGTAAGCAGTGAGTCAACTTTGACATCAGTCCACGATACCGTAGTGTTCTGCCCTGCAGTAATAGCTGCAGCCCAAGGGTCATCCACTGGAGCAGGGGAAACATTCACGCCATCATCAACGCCGAAGGTGTCATCCAAAACCTCCTTCGCCATCAACGAGTCAAGGACAACATCTGAGGATACGATTTCAGCGTGATCAGCTTTGAGCGCCTCCTCAAATGTGCCAACCGCCGATGAAGCGGGCGTATCAGTGCTAGTGCAACCATCCTCGGAGTCAAGAGTGGTGGATATGTACATGCTGAGGCTTCCTTTGTATCCCCAGCACTCCTTGCACGCAGCATCGAACATGCCTGGTAAAACTCGTGCAACCCTAGCCGTCAAAGGAAGTTCCCTGAGAGCGAGCTCGGTGACAGCTACTGCACGGTTTAAGTTTTCGGTGTGAGTCTCGAATCCAACAAAAACCTCGTTGCGCTGCATGAAGCGAAGGAAAAAGTGGAGTACTGTGGGTGCAATGAAAAGATTGCGTTCCGACCTGCGTGACTCATGAATGCCAGACAACAGGTAAGGAAGTAGACAAACTTGCCAGATCAAACCTTTATCTCGCATGTATGAAGACATGAAAACCTTGATAGACTTTTCCATGTCTTCAAGGAAAGTTTCAAGTAAACGAGCCATGATATCCACTTCCCCTTCATTTGGCTCTAGCTGTTTGCCCGGATGGGCGATCTGTTCCAGTGGATCTTGAATGATATTGACGTTTACTTGTTTGGCTTTTGGAGTATCATCGTTATCCGAATCGTCACCGCCCCCTTCACAAGTCATGTCTGTATTGCCCTTAGATTTCTTGGCTTTGCGGTAGATCGGCAAGCTAGACAGAAGGCCAATGTACAGACGGAACTGCAGAAATCAATCAGAACACTCAAACAACACTGAAAATTCTGTACATGATCCCATAATGTTCTAACTCCGGAAGATATCGGCGGCCAAGTACGACCAATCCGGAAATCATCCGCAGCTTGGTGAACCCGATCGATGAGGCTTTTTTGCCTGGATGTTCGAAAATTAGTTGTTTCACATGTGAACAAAGAGAAGACAAGTACAGCTCTGTTGGTTCGCTCGTGGTACGCGAATTTTCACCCTCTTCCCATTCCTCCCACCAAGGCACAATTCTTCCTGTGGCATCCGCGCTCTGTCCCGCATTTCTGCGCCGTTTTCTGTCTTTATTTCTCTGAACGACCTCTTCCTCGGAGAGAACCTTCACCGTAGGCAAGCCACCAAAAGCATCAACTTCGATTTCTTCTCCAGTCTCTGTTTTAAGGCGTTTGTAGCCGTACGGCGTGAAATCTTTGAAAGGAATTATGGTGACACCGTGCGGTACTGCCGGAAACGGAGGAAAAGTTGGAGGTAGGCCTTTAGGACCTGACGACTTGCCGAAAGACACAGATTGTTTCTTGGACTCTGGGTTGATCGCCATAGTGAGAGTCTTGGTTCAAGAACAAAGGCCTTTGTTGCATTTGGTATTTACATGGATTTTTTGATTTATACTGTTCCGCGGCCTGAAGAGTGCGACTAAGCAGTAATACGATTTCAAACTCAGCGAATGCTGTAGTTCATATTACATAATAATAGATGAACGCTTCGCCGCAATACCTGCGTCGGACATGCATATCCAGTGGCAGGCACTGTCAGACGGTTATCATAACATTGTACCTAGCACTGTGGGGGTGGGTATTTTCGTTAGCGCTTACTTATCATATGGTCATAGTTAAAGCGCTGGCGTTGCTCTGTGCTCCAGTTGCCTCGAAGTCCCGAAATTGAAATTGTGGGGCAATCAGCGGTGAGTCACTCCATCTTTTGATGCCTCCAAGTCCTTAGGAGGGTTCTAGACTACCTACAGGAGTAACGGTACGTAAAACTAGAGCCAACCACAAGCGCCAAATCCACTGGTGATATGACTTTTCGGCTATCCTTGGCGAAAAAACGATCCACTCCAGACCACTTTCTCTTGCCCAGAGCATGCCATACACTACACCTCCGACACAGTCACACGTGATCGACCCTTCTGTGGAAGCAAAGCTACCACAACGGTTCGGAAAAATGTTGTTGGACAATCTCTTCACGTGGGCATCATTGATTGGCCTGCCAACCCCAATGACCGGCCCGCAGTGATGGTGGGGTCTAGGAGAATCGAGATGACAAAGACGGGACTATATACATCGTAAGAAGCTTACTTGGTGAAAATAAAAGTTCAGCGTTGACGGATTCCCAAGCAGTCCGGAGAAGTTTCAAGGCATTCGCGGCGAGTGGTATGAGTGGCAAATTCATGAGTGTCGAGCGCAAGTGAGTGTCTATGTTCATATGCGGCATGCGAACATTGGTTGATTACTGATCAATTGCAAATGAATAGCTCGTGCCATTAAAGGTTGCTCGCTCACAGACATACATTGCCACTTTTGTCACCACGTTCACGCAGGCACTGTTCAGACGCAAGGAGTCTGCTGCGCTTCTTATACCACCAGAGGCTGTACATATCTTGGATGATATTGTTGTCACTTTTATTTACTTCGAGAATCGGTGGCGAGAGAGAGAGCAAGCAAGATCTCGGTCGTGGGACCCAGGTTATTCTGCTGGTGCAGCTCTCTAATGGACCTTGTACTGATTAGATATTGTATATTTCTTATTGGCATCTAGTTGTACGTGACTATCAACCTGGGTGGGATACGGCTCTACTTTACAATGGGCCGCGTAGATCTTGCAATGAAAGCGTCGATCTTATCTATTGTTGGACGGTCCGTTGGAGAAACTGACAAGCAATGCTGGACGAATTCCACATGTCCCTCATGCATCTCCGTCCCGCAACGAACTGGACTCACGCCATTGTGTCGTGCAGAAACTACGCGCAGAACATCGTCCAGCCACCAGTATGGTAACTTTCCAGAGAGCACCTAAGAGGCATCAGCTGATGAAGTAAGAGTAATACATCAACTTAGCATACATGAAGCATGATGCATCCGAAAGAATAGATATCGATGCAATATCTTGACTCGTTATCGAGCTCTTGATCATCGTTGCTGATCATTTCCGGGGCCGTCCAGCGCAAAGCACCACAATGATAGGACTGAAAGAGTTCGCCACACATGGATACGACTGAAGACAGACCATAGTCCGCGAGACGGACGGTATGGCGATTATCAATGAGAACATTGTCCTGCTTCAGCTGTTAGTGGACTCCAACGGAATGACTTAGAATAGACTGACGCTACTGAGATTGCCGTGGATTATCTCATTGCTATGAACTGTTGATGAAGTCGATGAAGTTTATTTTATTGGAGGGATATCTCTGCACTTACGAAAGCGGAGCCCAGCTGCGACATTAAATAGCTGGATGCGAGTTGAGAAGTAAGAAACGCTTTTATTTTACGAGCTGAGAAACGCACAAGCGAGAATTTCGCAGCGCTTGTGAGAGTTTGATCCATGGCGCTTAGATAGCTGGTCAAGGATCCATTCTCCATCCAAGGCGAGACCAAACAGGGGAGGCTAGAACCAAACCCAGTAGTAGTACCGTAGACAGGCAATATATTTTCGTGCCGGAGAGACATCCAGCTTTGCACTTTCGCCATGATGATCTGATGTCTAAGGATTAGCATTGAAACGTTTTTCGGGATTGCTGAGGCTGACTTTGTGGGCCTCCTTAATGCTCCCTTCGTTGTCATCTCGTACCTTGATGGACTTGACAGCAACCTGGGAAAATATCAGTACTACAAAAAATATAAATATAAATTTACTTGATTACCTTCTCCTTTTTGAACGCCTTCTTCTGCAAGATGCACTGAAAAGTATTCCCAAGGCCCCCCGGAGCTACGGCAAAGTCTTCCACTATTTTCAGCGAACAGGCCTCAATAATAGCGCTAGGTTTTGAAAGGATACTGTAAGTCGTGCATGTGTAGGGGACACTGACAGAAAACCCACAAATGGCCGGTAGTTTCTTGTTCGATGTTTGCGCCTCGTGTTTTAATCTGTTTCGAATATTTTATTCGTGTTTTGCATTATGGAGTACATAATACAATCCTTACCGACTGTGCGTTGTTACGGCGGAAAACATTTAAACTAAACTTGCGCGCAGAGCCTTGCCCTTTGTCAGGAATATCAGGTATAAAGCTGGACGACGTGGATGCTATGTGTTGATTTGCAGCAATAATGGGACTTGTCCCGGAACCATGTGTCAGATGAGATGTGTTGACCGTAGTCTGAATGACCAGGAGTAAGCATTTCCTTAGGAACTTGGACACAGAATACATACTTTGTACCCGAAAGATATAGCTTCATTTCGATTGGCGAATTTGGTCGTTTGATTCACAGCCGACAATTTTTGATCTCCAGAATTGCGTTAGCTGACTGTTGAGGACACACTTTAATAAATACCTTCCGACTGTAATTCTGCTTCAAGAAACTTCAGAATGTCACGTGTGGACGGTCGAGCATCAGGTTGTAAGAAACATCGTTGTATTAGTCGCCAGTGTTCATCTAAAACCGGACTATGGGTAGGCCTCTGTTGTGTATGTCCATCTGTCACTTTGATAATGATAAATCTCCAATGTTTGACATCAGCCCAGGGCTCATTTCCCGAAAGGACCTATGATGATAAATTGTGGATATCAGCACTTCGAACAGTTACACACACATTGAAGTCACACTTTAAGCGCGAGACAGCCAAATGAGTAGACATCACTTCGAATGTCTGGTTGGATAGATGTGTCAGAGTCCGTCAAAATCAGAAGCTCGGGAGCGCTGTAGCGAATTGCTCCTGGTTGGGCACAAGACCGTTCAACATATGAGAAGCCCGTGATATCCCCAAGCATGGACGACAAGCCAAAGTCTGTGAGGACGGCCCTTTTGTCGTTATTCAGGAGCACGTTGTTCTGCGAGTGTGAGATGATGAGATACTGACAAATCTCCAAGATGACCCATCTTACCGGGGTTAAGTCACCGTGAACCATTGGGATACCATGCACTGCGCCAAACGTGCGTATGAATATATATATGAGCAAGATTCAGACTGAGGTATCGAATACACACAATAATGGAGACCAGATGTAACATCTTGAAGCTAATTATCAAACCATCAGTAAAATAGGTGTGTGCGTTATCAAGCAGAAAAGCTCACTAGGTGGAGGCGATCAAACACAGTAATACCCTTGTGTTGCTGGAGATAAGCTGCCAGTGAGCCATTTTCGCACCAAGGCGAGACCATAGATATAGAAGGGCTAAAATTTCGGGCAATGCCTAATAGTGGCAAGATATTTATATGGACAAGTATCTTCCACATTTCAAGTTCACGTCGCAGTGCCTTTGAATCCGATGAGTGAATAAGTCGGCAATGTGACGTTGCAAATTACCTTTTCGTGTGATGCACTGACCTCTCCAGATTGAAACCTGATCGCTTTGACTGCAACCTGGAAATATCTGAGATGTATGCTGGTTGTCAATGTGAGCAATCGTACCACATCCTGCGTTGCACCAGTTTGTAGCGCGCATCGCCAGATATCACCAAATCCTCCTCCAGCTGAACAAAAAGGACTGGTACGTGTGATACGATCTGTGAGGTCGACAAGATCGCTTGTCGACTGCTTGGACATGTACATTACTAGTGTGGGGGATTTGATGAGTATGGGGGTTGAAAGGTCCAGTGTCAAGATACACACCAAACCTGGTTCTATAATTCCCGTAAGGCAGTTTGAAAATAGATGTTACACACCTCGTGTTCACTGGATTACGAATCTCGAAGGGAGCTATACCTGGTGTTGCCTCAGCGTTCTCGATGTTTATGGTTTCACAGACCTGCCTTGCTAGCCGTCTGTGTTGGTACGCCCCACTTTGATTTCAGACGGGGATCTGCCATTGCCCACTAACAGAGAGTGTGAAAAACGGAGGGGAAATCCAATCCACTGGCCAGAAAGATGTCTATAGGTTTGGTAAGGGATGACATAACTTGAGTTTAGAATTGGCTAGCAGAGTTGCGTAGATGCTATGCTATAGGGATCTCATTTAATACTAGCCAGTAGGCTCGTGACATACTGTTACGGATGCTCGAGTGGGTAGCCATACAAGTCTTCAGCTGAACATCTCAAAAAGCGCGCGTAGGCAGACTCGGACTGGTTACGACTCGGAGTCTCACCACTGGCCACTGGCAGGCGCAGCCAGGCCCCAGTGGAAGATGAACATGGATTTGAGCGACTTGCCGAGTTAAATTTTCAGTGACACTAAACTCTATACTCCGCGAAGCAGAAAACAAAATCGCTGTGATCTTGCAATATTTTGGTGTGGGGCACCACGCTGGACCGCGTAATTTTCCACAGCATTTCCGAACTAAGAACTGAAGGGGAAAAATCTAACCTGATCAAACGAATTAGTAAGTAACGGTAATAAGCCAAACATCGACAAATAATGTTATCTCTACGCTGGATGTCGATGAACACCTGACGATCGCGTCTGCTACCAAATCCCCCGGGATCTGGAGGAGTCCACATAGGTCTCCTGCGACTCCCAGAACTTCAGATCTCAGATGCCGCTACTCCATGTTCTTTTACGCGTTTGGCAAAGCTTACTAACAAGTTTTGGGACCAACATTCAGAGGAATGATCATTTGTAAGCCACTGCCTTCTCGATCCTATAGATCACTTAATATTGTCAAGAAATGCTTCGCATTCGCATTTGCGCAACCTTACTTCGAAAATTCGAAAATTAAGATGGATTGGCGGAACTTCGTCGGCAAATGTATATGAGGCTGTATATTCTACCGCTACAACCTCTAAACAGGTTTGTGCTGGACACTTTACCCCATCTAGAGTATGTCCTTATGAAAAACAGATTGCTGTGAAATCGTTGAGGATAGAAATTTTCGGAAACAGGGGGCAATCCGAAGGCGAGGTTTGTAATGTCTCAAGGTAATTTCAGTGATAGATCATTTACGTTGATATTTTTCTAGGAGTTATTAATCCGAGCTAATGCCTGGATGACTTTGCAACACGATAATATTCTTGTTCCTATAGGATTTGCTGATGGATTTGGACCCCTTCCGTCGATTGTATACGATTGGATGCCTGGCGGGACATTGACCTCATACCTCGAAGAAAACTCTGACAGTCTAAGTGTTCTGCAAAGGTTTTACCTGGCAAGTCTTGTCCACTCTTTCTGTTTGAATACGTCTAATTTGGTAAAGTAGATCAAGCAAATAGCGTCTGGACTCTGTTACCGTGAGCACTATATAATTCCACTTCTGACATACATCCTGACTCGGGTTTCTGAAAATTACATGTAGTGCATCACAAGAATGTCGTTCATGGCAATCTACATGGAGTGAGCCACCTTTATTTGTTACTGTAATTCTGTATCTTATTACGATGCATTTAGAATAACGTCTTAATTGATGCTATGGGTGTTGCATATCTTGCAGATTACGACATTACTGCAACACACCGAGGGCAACATATTCCCCCATCTGTGAGATGGGCGGCGCCAGAGCGCTTTGACAGCCAAAATGTGGTTGCACCCACGACCAAGAGTGATGTCTACTCTCTTGGAAGTATCATATATCAGGTCCGTTACGCCTCTGATATTATACGCGTTGCTGTAAAATCTTGCAGATCCTTACTAGCCGTCAGCCCTATTATGAGGTCAAAAGCAGATCCAAGGTTTCTATCGAAATATTAAACGGAAATAGACCCTCGCGATCGCATGATACTCATATTGCTGATCATCACTGGCTATTCATGCAAAGATGTTGGTCCGTCCCAGAAAACCGCCCTTCTGCCGCTGAAGTGCTACGCTTTTCTCAAACGGAAGTCGAACTTCTCATCACATAGGCCTATGTGAGGAACTCATGTCCACTTGTTTATCCTTTTGCTTGTGATTCATACACTCGTCTCTAAATTCTCATTACTATGGACTTCATGGGGTCATGGCCACCGGCGTTGTTTCTCTGACAGCACGGGGCCCCATTATTCTGGATATCATACATGTCACATTTTATCAGTTACACAATGTTTTTCGTAGATGTGTATGATTCGAGAATCTTTCGGCACCCATAGTACTAACATCTATTTGTATTACATAATTGTATGTCTCCCTCTGCTATTTGATAATCGCAGCGCTCTACCGGCCCTCTACAGCATCAGGCCTCAGGCCTCAGGGTGAACATTAATATTTGTTTCAAAAACGTACAATCGGTACGAAATAGTACCCGATCGGATGCTCGAAACCAACTTATTTATAGCATTTGGTTTTACACAGCATATAAACAATATAAGTATACTGGTGCTCAGGCGCTTGGCAGGCTTCTGTTCACAGCATTCACCCAATGCCTAGTCGATGTGACTCCATGACACGTAGACGGGCAAGCGCTCATCCTTATTTAGTCGTCTTCTGGAAAACCAGGCCCTTGGATCCATTTCCAGCGCTTGCTTATCTCGCCCATATCACATCCCAACAGTCTGTCTGACTTTGTAACCCGCAGCATCGAGAGGTGCACAGCGATGTTACATATCTTTTGTCTGAAGGTGAGCATACATCCAAGCCAGCAAATCGATGTTTCTCAACGTTTCTGATCACGAAACAAACCTTTCATTCCATCAGACTGGTGGGATCACTGGACTGCAAACACTATGGCATTCTCTGTAAAACAAAACGTCTTGTCATGTTGGTCTGTTGGTCTAAAGAAGGCACTGTATAGGTCCGACATGATCCAGGTTAAATCAACAGAGATTCCTCGGTCATGTGTTTCCAGATATGATAGTTTTCCTCATTTCATCGGAGATTTGAGCGATGTCTACCGATGTACCATGGTTTTAAAGTCCCATGGAAAAATAGAGGTACCTCCTCCTTCTTTCATTCGTCACCGCCAACGATGTTCACAACAGGTGGCCATCAAATCCTTGAGGATCCTTGATTCGAGTGAAGAAGCGATAAGGGCATTGCGTAAGGTAGATGGCGACAACTCGCTCAATATTCATGCTCACAATGTCTCAGAGGATCTATGGCGAAGTGCGTGTGTGGGAAATGTTGCATCATAAGAATATCCTTCGCTTTTTTGGGACGATCTCAGGATTTGGACCGCTCCCCGCATTCGTAACTCCTTGGATGGAGCGTGGATCATTGACGAACTATCTGTCTCTCGAGTTTCTTAATCTATTGGATAGAGACAAGCTCATACTCGTGGGTCCTACTACTGCCAAGTGACTCGAGCTAATCGTCTTGACAACTACTCCCTGCAGCTTGAACAGATTACGAAAGCTATTCAGTACCGTTTGTGCTAGTTCATGCCTTTTTTCACAAGCAGCTTTGACAATTCCCACAGTTCATGACAAACATGTCATTCATGGGAACCTCAATGGGGTAAGGTTGCAGTTCTGGACGTGTTTTGACAAGCTAAACGAGTACAGCACAACATATTGATTGATTCCAGAGGAAACGCCTACGTAACAGACTTTGGACTGTCGTTGATCCTTGCGGAATGCGATAGCTTGTCGTGCGAAGCCTACTACCCAGGATCTATACGCTGGGCTGCGCCTGAATTGGTACATCTTACAGACGAAGAAGCTGGAAAGCCGACTACCTGCTCCGACGTTTACTCACTCGGTTCCGTAATACTTCAGGTACGCCGCTCCTTATTTTGCCTGCAGTACCTGCATTTTGAGTCCCAATCCAGGTGCTATCCGGAAAGCTCCCTTATCATTGGCTGGAAGACCCACTTCACATCATAGCTGCTAGACACAAGGGCATGCAACCCATGGCAGTAGACAGTTCAGTTGACAGGCGCCACGTACCCTTTCTTCAAGAATGCTGGTCAAGATCTTCTGACAGACCAACGATTGACCACGTTCTGAGTTATGTTCAAAGTGCATTACCACCGTAGTAATTGCAGGCAGTTACTCTGAGATCATGGAATTACACGACATCATCTTTTTACACATTGATCTTGCATTGGTCTTTTTATTTATGGCGCACTAGCTGCGCATGTCTTTCTAGTTATGTATTGTTACCCCACAAACGCTTGTTTTCTTGAAAATATTATGCAGTTACGTACCTTATGCTTAGATCCTAGGATTGTATGCTTTCTCCATGATATCGATATCAGCTGCTCTATTTGAATCAAAACTTGTTCCGAGAAATGTTTAATATATGGAGCGATGCTCACAAATCAAAACTCATCTCTCTTGACCCGTTGCTTCTTCTCAAGCAAAACCACATTAGACACCCCTCCCTCTTTCTTCAAAATGTCCAGTACAGCTGCAGCTCGTTCTCCGTCTTCCAGTCTATATACATGTTCGTTTGACATCAATCCGGTGCCCACAGCTTTAACGTAGGTGAGGCCTTGCAGCTCGGGATGTACACTTGGGAGGCGTGCGGGATCGGCGAAGAAAGGTGATGCATCGGATAACGTCAAAGCCAAATCGATGGGCACCGGATGTAGTTGGTTGGTTGACATCATGATGTTGTTGTGGCGGCGAAAACCGCGAGCCTCGAAGTATCTAGGAACTGATGGTCACCGCTTAGACAAGCACTGTGGAGTGATGGAGACGTAAGTTACTATCTCGGACAAAGTTGGCCGGTCCAATGTGAAATGTAATATACCAACTCACATGTTCAAGTTGGGATGAAGGCCGCCTGACAGTGATACGGTGTAAGGCAAGATTCAAGTGCAGGGACACGGACACTGAGCTTGCGCATTGAGCGGTTCCATGCAGTCAGTATATGATATCGATAGTAACCCACAGTATTTACAAAATTACCGTGCTTGATTCTGGGAACGCGTTTGAAATTGGCCGGTGAGAATACCAGTCATGTGAAAGTTTACACTCTTATGATCAGAGCACATGAACCACCTATGACAAGATCACGGATGCTTCACGCTCAGCTCTCAGAAGCGAGTGCTTGGAGTTGACCAGAATGCTATTCGGAGTATCCCACTAGCTCAGGTATGATTTACAAAAACCCACTCCTAGTCAGGGGAGCATAATCCAATCCTTCGCGTACTATATCCAGCTGAAAAGTGAAACCAACGGTTACGAAGACGAGTCAAGATAATCAACAACAACAATTTAACAATGTTATTGAGCATGCCTACCTTCAACAGCCTTCTCACTTGTAGGACTAAGTTGCCGATGAACTGGACTCATGGTGGGGCACATCCAGCCAATGATGCTTCGCATAAGAGACAAATGTAACAACAATGAAATCAATGACATTTATTCCAGCGGGGAATATTTCGAGGAAAGCTCGTCTTGATCGTGATATGATACCAAGTTTTGCTTGTCTATATCGTGCTAGAGGGATGGGTGCGTTACCAGACACAAACAGCTGGATTATGGTCAGAGATAGCGCGGACATCGATTGATCAATGACTTACCACCGGAGAACGGAACATAATTTGCCATGTGTACGGCTTGTCGTCTGGTCCATTAAAGGTCCAAGGTCTTTACAATCTCAAACTAACGTCAATGCATTAAATCTAGTGCCTTACCTGTCGACATTTTCGGTCTCCTCCGCGCCCGAAACCATCACAATTTCTATCGGGCTCTCGCCATCGAGCAACTTTAATCGGCCACTATCGACTTCGCCAACGACGCAAGATACCCGCCCAGTGCTCAAAAGTCGAGGGTGACTTTCAAGACGGCTTATCGTGGTAGTTTGTCCTAGTGCCGTGTTGACCTGGTACATGACTATGCCGTCCGGGGTCATGAGCAGGGTTTGCGTGGGGTCATTGTGTCGCAGGCAAAGTTCCATGAGGTGGTTATAGATAGAAAATATACTAGCATTAGCAAGACGCCACTTAGTTTTATAATGATCACTTCCGCCTTAAGGGGACCCAGGGATCAGAAGTGGGATCCTTGGGTGAAAGCGGTGGGCTAGAGTCTAGACCCAGGCCCATCAATGGGCGCTTGTACGAGCTCCCACAGTCTGTGTATATCATAAGTCCATGTGGTCTAGGCAAACTTTCATGTCCGTCATCGAAGAGTATGATCGATGAGCAAAACCAGGCAACTCAACTTAGGCGGTCCAAACTCCAACGTCACGGTCTCGACGAGTGTTGAGTAGTTAGCATTCAGAAAAATGGATCAAAGCTGACATAATCATAACCTCCAGCACAACCTTCCCAATTTAGCACACGCAGATGTGTCTCCTCAGGCCTCAAGGCTCGGTTGTGATAGAACGACGATCTACTCCACGTCTCATGCATAGATACCCTTAGATTCAACCAGAAATGCTTAATTTACTGCCCACTACTCTTCGCTTCCTGCTGGGCTCACTACTTTGGTTCGACTTCTCTCAACCACCTGCTGTCCTGCCAGCCCGCACCCCGTTGTCCTTCCAGCTGCGGCACAAGCATGCTATAACTAATGACTCTCGGGTGATCTTCTCCAACGCGGTTCCATCATTTTCCGCAGACTCGTATGTCACGAGCACATCGACCATTCAAACGTACAGACCTCAGTCGGCGAAGGCATTTCATAGCGCTCGACTACGCTCTATTAGACATGATCAGAGCGAACAGGTATTGTGGGATACAACCGATGTCCTCGGGCCGAACGTGGAAGAGAGAGAGACGTTACTCGCACTTGCGAAGATGACCGCTAATGCATATACATCACCCACTGCATCAGATTGGTACACGCAGGACGGCTGGAATAAGGTACGTTCATCTACCTTGATGATGATACATTTTACAATATGTTAACAAATAACAGACCACACCGTTTGGCTGGGAACCTGACGCAGATGGCATTCGAGGGCATATCTTTGTCTCGGACGACAACTCAACAGTAGTGCTTTCAATCAAGGGTACTTCCGCTGGCTGGATTACAGGTGGTGGCGGCCCGACTGTACGAAAGGATAAGCTAAACGATAACCTTTTATTTTCTTGCTGTTGTGCAAGAGTTGGTCCAACTTGGTCAACGGTCTGCGATTGCCACCAGGGTAGCTCTCGATGTGACCAAGAATGTCTGGAGAAGAGTTTGATGGAGGAGAGCTTATATTATTCTGTTGGAGTGGTATGTGCAAATTCAAAGCTTAATTTTTCCGATCTGATTCCGCTACAGAATTTATATAATAACGTCACATATTTATATCCCAATGCCAATATCTGGCTCATAGGTGTGTTTAAGCGCTATATCTTCTGAGTACTTCTCATCATCCACAAGGGCATTCCCTCGGTGGCTCCCTCGCCTCACTTATCGGTGTGACATTTGGAGCACCTGTCGTCGCATTTGAAGCGCCCTCTGAGAAATTAGCTGCGACGCGTTTGCACCTGCCTTCTCCAGTGAGTCTAAGTCTTTATTGCAATCATTTTCAAGTACTGATCCCTCGGACGACATGCAGCCCTCGACACAACACATCACCCACGTCTTCCATACAGCTGATCCTATCCCAATGGGCACCTGTACCGGTGTTACCTCGTCTTGTGGCATCGCAGGCTATGCCATGGAGACACGCTGCCATTTGGGCAAGGTCATCCGCTATGATACCGTCACACACCTCCGGTGGTCTGTTGATGTACGGACGCACTCGATCGTTCAAATCATTGATAGGTTGTTGAATGAGGATTGGACTCAGGAAGGACAGGAAGGCAGGACGGTGCCTGAGGCGAAGGCGGATGATGAGGATTGTGTTGTAAGTCTGTTTTAATTTTTGTTTTACCACTAGCGTTAATTGGGGTGCCAGGATTGCTTCAACTGGGAGTTTGGGAGCTTTCAGGGCAAGAGTTAATCTCTGGATGATAGAAGCTATGACATGAGAGAAACTTATACATACATATGACGAATGACTAATTTTCTTAGGCTTGAACAGCTGATGAACAGCCGTCCTGAGATTTGTGACACTTCTTCGACGGAGGCCGTAGATTACACTAAGACTGATTAGCAAGTGATGTAGATCATACAGCATGCAACTACCATCTTCAATGCAGAAAACTGAGACATTCATTAATCTGACTGCAAATCGCCCACATCCATCAGGCACGAGCCGCGAAGTTGGACGATGATCACTTCAAACGCAATCTATCTTGCCGGATCTGAAGCAGTCAAATAGTGGTGGTCTAGAGCACCGGAAATAAGAAATCTAGAGAATGTACACGATATATCCCGTACACAAAACCAAGGTACTAAGAACGTATCATAATTGATTGTGCTACCCTGCACCCCGAAACCGTCGGAAGAAATAAGTAGAAATAAGAACAAATAGTATCTACTAGTAGTTAGGGGATATAGAATGAAATAGGATAAACCAAAGCGAAAACATCTAATCGTCCACACCGGCGGGGGACAAGCAACCAACACACAGCCAAAAACGAGACCAAACATTGTCTTTCACCCTGACGGGCTTGTGCACTGCACTTTCCTGCTGGCCAGGCGGACGACTTTGACGGCCATGCGAAGAGTTTTCTCGAGCACTGTGACCGTGCCCCACTCCAACGGCACGTGTGCGTGAAAATGATCTCGGACGACTGAATGCCTAGTGGCAAGGTGTGTCACAACTCGACTAAATTATCAGATGAAGTGTGCGACAGACCTCCCCAGCGACTTGGCAGACAGTTCTGGTTGAGGAATTCGACTGCGCGATGCTACGCTCATCCCATGGTCTTGGATTGGGAGGCGACGGGTTCTACATGCAACAAGTGATAATGTCAAAACACAAATAGGCCAATGGAGATGATTGTGACGCACACGAATGTTTGTTGCCGCATCAAAAGGGCCTGGTAGTCTATGCGTGCTATCGGGCTGAGCTGGATGTGAGGTGTCAGATTGGATGGAGAAGCAAGGCACACCACATCGGTATCGCTGTGCCGTGGATCCTTTCGTCTGTTATTACTGGCGGGACAAGTACTTGCATCAATCTGTGGCCAACCCTTGTTTAGCGCAAGAGAGGACCATTGGTGTGTCACGTACATTGATCAGTGAGCGACCAGCTATAGACGTTCCCGGTGATGGTCCTGACTCGCTGACCGTAGCCTAGTGAACACGAGTTATGGTGTCAATGATCGCTTTGGGAGATATTGTAGCTTGGAAGCTTACATTGACATCTTTAAACAACGCCTGAAGATTCCAGATATACACGTTCTTGTCGACACCACTAGTGGCGAGCAGTCTGCTGTTTCTTGCGAAAGCTGCGCACCTCAAGCCACTAGGATGGTCCAAAGGCCGACCAACTGACTGGTTGGTTTTTGGATCCCATAGGGAGATGGTATTATCGAGAGAAGCGGTCGCCAATAAAAGCTCGTCTTGAGACAAGACCATGGCACAGATAGGACTAGTACGTTCGCCTAGACGGGCGACTTTCCCTTGAGCATTAGCTCTTGTCTGTACGATTCCATTACTACATCCCAGGAAAATTCTATCATATGAGGTCCAGATGACGCAGTGGACCTGCTGCGATGCATGACATGGTTCTACAAAGCGGAGCGCCTCTCTTGTCTTGACGTCCCAAAAAGTGATTGTGTTGTTATATCCGCTTGTGACGAGCGTTGTACCGTCGGATGAATAGTGTACTGCATATACATGTGGGTGGGCAGTTCTGATGGGATGTCCCACGATATCGCTTTGCTTGGTATCCCAGATGATCGCCGTTCCGTCTTCAGACCCACTGGCGATGTGTAACTCATCTGGACTCCAGCAGACAGACAAGATTGCGAGGCTGTGAGCTTGCTTCCATTTTCCGGTCATTTTCCCGGTGGCCACCGTCCACAGGCGTATCCTGCCATCCTGGCTGCCAGTCACGATTTCCATGTGATTTGGCGACACTGCCATGGCGTGGACAGCCCCACTTCCTGCATCTGTCCAGGGGCCACTCACTACTTGACCTGTGTCCACCTCCCGAACTTGGATAGAACCGTCTTCGGAGCAGGTGATGATGCGTCGATCTTCGTCTAGAAAGTCGAGGCATGAGATTGCGTCGGAGTGAGTTCCCCGGCCATCGAGACATATTGGTTTCTGTGTATAAGATTTGGCCGAAGTAGAGAGCATGGTAGAATGATGTCACAGAAATAAATATTCGCTACGACAAGGTAAGTCCAAGGCCAGGGGAATTAACAGATTCCGTAGCTGTCGGTTCGACTAGAAACTATGTATCGGCTTATTACGATTTGACTTGAGGGACTATTACTACTCACTAAATTAGGGAACGCGATTCGAGCTAGAGAAGCACGATCGACTTGAAATAGTACGAGATCCCAAGTACTGCAGATTCTCTGGATAGGCTACTGCCACTGATGAGGTCTGCAGGTAGAAAAGTGAAGGGATGGATACAATAGGACCTTGCGTGCAACACTTATGTAGTTCCTGAGTTGCACAGCAGCCGCCCGGGCCTGGCTGTGTACCACAAGAGGGGCTGGTTTGACTTGTCCAAGTTGCGCGCACTGCTGCCCCAGCCTCATCGCGGCTACTGCAGACACCGTAGCCCATTCGGAGGCGGGCTTCTCTATCTCAGGTATCGAAGACATTCCAGGAATGTCCATGTCAAGTCCAGGCTGTGCTTGTCATGCAGCGCCTACCAGCAAATTCAAATCAGCTATTTTTTGTTTCTTGTCCATACTGGCGCCTCCTATGCATTATGGCGAAGCAATATTTCAGAAATGATTAGAACTCACCTTGACGGACGGAAACATTGAATAACATGCTGATAAGAAAACATGAAAGACGTATGTATTTCGACTCTCGAGGAGACTCAGCCGCTAGCTGTGCCTGAACGATAAGATTAACGTAATTTACCAATAAGTTACAAATAAACATTAATATATCGTAATGAGGACCTCTTGGGGCATGAAGCTAAACTGGGGTAACTGCGCTAGTCTACTTACAGCCATGCTGTATACTAATTTGCATGGCGGGCACCGCCGCCGCCAGACCCAGGTCGGTCGAAAATCGATACTGATACCACCCGTACAACTCAGCATTGCTGCCCGCTAGGCTGCCCAATAGCCCCTCATCATCTCCCTTCCGCGCATACAACCACAACCACGATTATCGTAGCTTTGCATGAAATGTGAGTGAGAGGTACATGACATACGTTGAACAGCGCCCTCATAGTTCTTTGAAGGAATCCAGTGCATCCCGAACCAAACATACTGTTAGCATCCCAGACAGCTTTGGTGTGAATTTCCTGACTTACAACTAACTCAGCGCTGCTCATCTCATCAATCCAATATTAAGCGCATCTGGTGACTACAGTGACGTATACAAGTGCACACTGACGACCGGCCGCGAAAGCACTCTCGTTTGTGGTTGATTTCACTGTGGGATGAGCTCAGCTTCAATCTAACCTCGCTTTGCAGGTCGCAGTGAAGTTCGTCCGATTTGGCAAGCATAAAAAATACTATGATGTCGGTATTTTCTAATCCCCCACTACTAGTAGCTGCTGATTTCTAAATTCTAATGACGCCTCAGCGAATCTTGAGAGAGATCAACTTGCGCATGAAACTTGATCACACAAATATCATTCGGTTGTTAGGTACCACTAGAGAATTCCGAGGTGGCAGTTTCCCTTCGTTTGTGTTCCCTTGGATGCCAAGTGGAGACCTACATTGCTACATCGCGTACCACGGAGCGGGAATCGAGACGTCAATCAAGTTGTCCCTGGTAGATCAAGTAGATAATTGACTTGTCAAGTGATAACATGCTTCCCCAGGTTCGCGACATTGCATCTGGAGTCACTTATCGTCAGTCTTATTCCATCGAAATAGGCCTCACACTAACTGCCTGAATGCTCGCAGTCCACAAGTTGCATGTGGTTCATGGTAACCTAGAGAGTGTTCGTTCTCTACATCCCTCAGCCATACAAAATTTCTCAACATATTTTCAGAAAAATGTTCTCATAGGCCCAGAAAATCGGGCATATCTGACTGGTTTCTCCTTATCAACCGACCTTGATACCAGTCAAATCTTAGGAACACCCGAGCCCGGTGGAGTGCGATTTGCTGCTCCTGAATGCTTCGTTGACGAGGAAAGGAACAATTCCTTGCCTATCATCAACAGTGATATATACTCAATGGGCTGTGTCTTATTCCACGTGAGTCTGTACTTGCATATCGTGACTACTCTGAAGCTTGCCTTCAGGTTTTCTCCGGATGTTTGCCATGGCATGATTCAAAATCGAGTGACATCATCAACGAACTTCGACAGCGTCGTATGCCGTCACGTCCAGGGGGTGGCGGTATTGATGACTTCCTGTGGAACTTCATCACACGCTGCTGCTCCTTTACACCGCGCGACCGACCATCCGCAACACAGATCCTCGAATTCTTCGAACATCAGTACAAGCCTAGTAAGATTAATATCTCTCCAGATAACCTGACAAAGATGCTCTGCAATATCCCTCCCAATCCCACTGTCTCGGGAGGTTTTGCAGACATACGAAGGTGCATGCTGAAGAGGGACGGGAGAACCACGCAGGTCGGCCGATTCTCTGTAAAAATAAAAGGATATATGAATGATCCATACCCAGGTAGCTGTCAAATCGATTCGACCCCAAGGCGATGTCCCAGCTCAGAAACTGTGCGAGGTTCGGCATTCCATCCTCGTGCTTTGAGCCAACTCATGGTGCCTTGCGTCAGGGATACTTGCGTGAACTCAAGATCTGGGCAAGACTTATGCAAGAAAACATCGTACCTCTACTTGGAGTTGCGCGAAATCTTTACTCGGTTTCTGGCTGCGATGCATTGGTTTGCCCCTGGATGGAGAATGGCACACTCGCAAAGTACCTCAGCGGGCATCCGACTATGGAACTGCGACAGAAGTTAAAATTGGTATGTTTTAGGCGAATAGCAACTGCAGAAATCGACGTTTTAATCGAGTTACAGCTCTGCGATGTCGCCACTGGCCTTCGTTATCGTGCGTGCTATAGATTTATCATTTGCCTCATTTTGATTGCAAAAAATTGCAGTTCATTCCCAACACGTTGTACATGGAGATTTGACAAATGTGTGTGTAACGCTTTATGTCGACGTCTCGGACTAATGGGCGGACAGAACAACATTCTCGTGGATGTTAATGGACGCGCAGTGGTCGCTGATTTTGGCCTGTCTTTCCAAATATCGGAACTCACTGGGAGTTACCCCGTCACTGGGGCTGCGCAGTGGATGGCGCCAGAACTAGTGCAAGCGTTCAAACCGTCTATGTAAGAGCAGTCTCACGTCGTCTATGGATAGACCTCACCTCTTTTCTCCCTCTAGACACAGCGATATGTATTCCTTTGGCTCCATCATGAATTACGTATGTTCTATGTCAGTTGTGATGTCTGGAGTCGTTTGATATTGATCACACCTTTTTAGGTCATCTCTGGTGAACTTCCCTTTGCACATGAACCAGCAGTGTTTGCCGCCTTTCATAAAGGAAAGGCACCCTACACAATCCGAGGCAATGATGTATCTCAGGAGCATTGGAAATTCAGCCAACGGTGCTGGGAACCATTTAATTCTGATGACGGAACTTCTTCTCGCCCATCTGCCGAAGAAGCTTGTGGATTTCTGCGAAAGGAACTTGAATTCATGATCGCAATAGGTCCACATCTTTCTGAATCCTTGTGACATAATTACATGCTCCCTTTCTCCTGTGCGTAGGCTGTACTTTATAAATATGAGGTGAATTCATACCTAACCCGGCGGTGCCGTCTCGGCTCTCCACAGCCCTGTGAAGGAAAATGTCCCAAATAATGATCATAAGCTGTAGCAGCGCAATCTTCCGCAAATAGGCTGGGCTTATACCCTTCTGCCATAATGTGGTACGACTATCTCTAATAGGACCCTAAACTAAAAGCATTCAACACGGAAGCCACACTCGGTACACAGTGCAAAGTACTTACCCTTCACGTCAGTCCATCTGCTCGGGGTACTGAGGTATGCACCCCATGCGCAACAAGGCGTTGACCCAGCGAGTACGTCGCACAAGGACAGCTGCCTGTGTGGTCGGTTCATTTGTCGCTCCTGATTGCTGGTCGAATGCGACACGCGGAGCGCTACTGACTACTTGATACTGCCTATGGTTTTGTCGACTTTCTTGAACCCTACCTGAGGACGCGGTCGTCGTTAGCAGCATTTCAATCGGTGTGTCAGGTTGTGTTTGGGGTACCCTCAATACCTACAAATCGATTCAGTTCGATGGTGAATTTAGCGGGGATGGGATAGCATGGCGAACCTGTTGCATAAGTGACACAGCGACAACTTTGACAGTCCGAGATAAGGAAAATCGCTTGCTAACACTTGGAGTGGCAGTACTGGGAACTTCTACGACTGGAGCGCGCACGTCATCCTGCAGTTCAGACGTTATTTATGACCAGAAACAGCAAGTGACTGCGCTGCTTACAAAGAAATCCCGACCGTATGATATCGGTGGTCTACGAGTGTTGAGAGGCCGTCCTGGGAAGCTCGGGTCACCGTGTAGTCGTTGGGTTTTACGTTGGCGAGTAGGGATTGGCGAGTCAGGCTGTAGATTTGTGAGCTAGCACTCATGAACCATACACGCAAGCATCACATACGTTAAAGGGAGGCCTAATAGTAACAGTCGCGTCTCCGTCATGACCCTGATAGTGACACGGTGTCAGCACATGATAGGTGGATAGGATCTTATGTGAGTACCCACATTCACATCCTCCGTTGGCATTGCACTAGAGAGAAAATCTGCTATATCCCAAAGGTAGACCTCGCCATCGCAAGTACCGGTAGCTACTGAGTTTCCATTGGTTGCGAATGCTACACAGGTCGGATCCGCAGAGTGCGGGAGTGGTTGACCAATTGGTCGTTTGGCACCGAGATCCCAAAAGCGGAGGCTACGGTCATAAGAGGCGCTTGCAAGTACACGTTTGTCTGGAAGCAGAACGACGGCGCAGACGAGGTCGGAGTGACCCGGTCCCTCAAGCTCTAGCAGCCGACCTTCCGGGAGTTCAAGTATCTTGATCTTCCCGTCTGTTAAGCCAGTGACAATTGCATGCCTATCTGTAGTCACGGCCCATGTCGCGCTTGATACGTGTTCAGGATTGTTGCAAATTTTGATGACTTCATCTACCTCGACTTCCTGCGCTTTCTCGTCGATTGTCAATCTCGAAATTTCGCGGTCGTAACCGCTCACGAGGAGTTGTGTGCCGTCATGTGAATAGTTTATCGTGTGTATGTATCGGAGGCGGGTATCGTCGGTACTCATGGGGTTCTTGAGGCCCGATGCTACCGGCCAGACGGCTACCCTGCCGTCATCAAAGCCACTAGCGATGTGAGCGCCACCATCATGTCTACTCCAGCATACACAATTTGCTGCAGCACTGTGCTTCTCTGATTGGGCGATTATCTCCGCAGTTTTTCCATTCCACTTCCACACCTGTATTTTGCCATCTTTGCTGCCAGTCGCGACGCGCTCACCATCTGGTGATACGTCGACTGCACAAATTTGGCTTCTCTCTTTATCCTGCCACGGATCACCAACAAATTTACCACTTTTTGCCTCTATGACTTGGAGACAACCGTGAGAACAGGCGATGATGTGTCGGTCCCCGAAGAGAAATGCAATAGCCAGCACCCTTTGCTTGTCGCGATTGACCTCGGTGACTTTTTCTAGCACAGGCTTGTTGGCAAGAGAAGACATTCAATTCGAATGTCAGGGAGCTGTTGGATTCGGTCGGGGCGCACGGCCCGTGCTAGCGAGCAATTTGCGTTAGCTGATACGCCGATTATCATGCACATTCGTAAATGGCCCAGGTGGGACTCACAAAGAGACGAAAGTGAGGCGACGGCACTGTTGGTGAGTCTTGATTGTAGCGTTGGGAATAAAGTGCAGGATAACTTATAATGTGTAGGATGCGTACGAATCAATATTGCCAATGCCACTGGATTGACCCAATGTACCATAACCAGTACCACAGCAAGCATGGCCTGATTTTATTTCACACACCGCCTTTGTCAAAGGCTCAGCACCCTGCTCCACCAAGCGCTCAGATTCTTGTTCGGATCTTCGTGTGTGGCGTACGACCTCAGTTATTTTCAGGTGAAAATTCTGATACAGCCTGCCCTTCCAGTGCGTGGGACTCAGAAGTGCGTGTTATGGATGTGGTATAAATTCTTCGTGTTCTTCCGTATTCCTTTGTGTTTTTCGCATTGCATCAGACCAGTCTATCTTTCAGAATTAAATACTCACTCATATCCGCACGCCAGGAAATGTGAGTAACCCTGATTAAAGTATGGATGAACCACTGACTTACTTATCTGATCTATAGGAATACCACCATGTTCGTCCAAATCCTGGGCGCCCCTTGCGTCCATTTTTTGACTTGCAAAAAAGTCGCTGATTACAATTGCTCTTAGCTCTGAGACTTATAACATTTCAAGTCGAATATTGCCCCCCGAAGGACCATGTATTTCTGGAACATATACTGAGGTGAACCGATGCGATCTCAAAGATGGCAGGAAACTAGTAGGTTAGGTTCGTCTCGTGTGTCACTTCGTTAATTTGTGTTTCAGGTTGCAGTCAAGTCGTACAAGTCCATGTCCGGCGATCCACGCCAAAAATACTCAGAAGTCAGTGTACTAACTACTGGCATATGTCCGAGAGACTCAATACGATTGCCCTCATCATTAAGAAAATTCATCCGGAATTACATTTATTGTCATCATACCTTCTTCATCACAACAACGTGGTTCCATTCCTGGGCTTTAAGAAGGATGGGCTATCTCATTCTCTGGTCATGCCGTGGATGCCAGACGGCACTCTCACTTCATTCATTTGTACTCATAGAGCAGCCCTCGGAACAGCTGCCAAGGCAACTCTTGTGAGTTGCTTATAGACGGCGGAGTCGTACTCTAAAATCCTGCTCTTCAGTTGGACGACATTTCCTCTGGCCTCGAACACCGTACGTTGTCTTTTAAGCTATCAAACAACTGAAGCGAGCAGCCAGGTGCAAAGTTCATCTAAACTTCGTGGTTCATGGAAACCTAGAGAGTGTATGATTTTAATTGCCAGTGGTTTGGGAACATATGCTCAATCTTCCTTACAGGACAACGTACTCATTACTGAGCGACAGAGCGCTTGTCTTTCTGGCTTCCGCCAGTCAGTGAGGCTTTCCTCAAGGGATGCCGCATGCCCCCAGTCTCAGATGCCGCGCAAGCCCGCAATCCAGTTCGCTGGTCCGGAATGGTGCGTTCGGAGAGACGATGCAATATTTCAACATCTTCCCAAGACTCTTTTTAAAAGCGACACATACTCCCTCGGCTGTATCATGTTTTACGTAAGATCGAATACCGTTTTTCAGTGTTGAGTCAACAACTTCTTCCTCCAGGTTTTTACAGTACGCATGCCCTGGCATGATGCAACATCCGTGGAAATTTATAATCAGCTTCGGAAGCGCGTAACGCCGTCGCGACCCAAGGGTTCGATAGTCGATGACAAGCAATGGGCGCTTATAGGTCCGTGTTTGTCACTTCTTCCACAAGATCGGCCTTCCGCATCGCATATTTTGAAAAAGATCAAAAATTATCTCGTTTTTATCGGCCCTCCCGACCTTACCGAACAGATCAAAAGGCAGAGGGATTATGCCGATGCTCGCGGAGGGTGTGGGTCTGTCTATGAATCCATCTGGAACAGAAAGACTGGGGGCCAAGTCAAGGTTACTTTGTATGTATTTGCACATGTCGGTGGCTGATGATGAGTAGGGTCGCTGTTAAGGTCATGCATATCGAGGATTCCTCGCGAATAGACGAAGTAAAGAAGGTAATCGTAAAAGTCCGATACTGGCAGATATCCACGCGGTTAACTGTGTCTGTCCACAGAATTTGAAGCGTGAACTTGCAGCTTGGAGAAGGCTGTCTCACCCGAATATAGCTTATTTGTTAGGCACTACGACAGGCTTCGGTCATCTCGAAGGCATGGTTGGCTTGGTTTCCCTGTGGATGAAGAATGGATCACTCCATGGGTACATGGGTAACAGGAGTGATGTACCTCTATCACGGCGTCTTCTTTGGGTAAGTTTTTCTCATCTCTTACAGCGTCTCTTTTACTATGTTTAACAGGTGAAAGACATTGCTGAAGGGCTGAAATATCGTATGTCTGAGTTCCCGCTTATCTTCAAAAATCTCTAAAATATCGATAGTTCATAAGCATCCTATAGTCCACGGGGACCTCACCCCAGTAAGCCTCGTTTATTCATACAGAAAAATATATTAATTTTTCCCCCAAAGTTGAATGTTCTGATCGACGATGACGAAAGGGCCGTACTGACTGATTTTGGCCTCTCCGTTATATTAGGCGGCTTTACCAATTTGTCGGTCACATACAGCGATACAAAGATAGGAGCACAAGCCTGGGCGGCCCCGGAGTTATTGTTCGACCCCCCTGATGGTAAGGGGCCGAATCCAAGCCCATCAAGCGACGTGTACTCTTTCGCATGCCTAATGTATCTGGTACGAGACCCACCCACCACTAGTCTTGCTTTAGTTCTCATTTTCCTCAGATTTTTACCGGATACCACTTGTGGAAAATGACGGGGTTAAGCCTGAATGGCGCATTGTGCGTCGTGTAAAGGACGGTGATAGGCCTTCTAATCCTGGCACTATTGATACCCGATATTGGAGCTTGATTGAACGGTGCTGGGCTCAACAGCCAAGTTCACGTCCAAAGATCAGCGACGTTCTTGCTGTGGTTGTGAGATATCTGAACGATGATGGCCAGAAATATTGAAGGTTGTGGCTCAGCGAGTACGTATGGCTTAGCAATTCACTCTTTAATAAAGTTGACTTTGGTCTTGACCCAAGAAAGAGTTCCTACGCAATCTTTCTTTCAATACCTTCATATGTGTTGTGTACTCCTGCAATATAGATCTGAAGAATTTGCAGACGAATACTTGGCATATAGACGGAAATTACCCACTTCCACCGCTCAACAGTGTGAGCCATAACTTACTGAAACGCTCTCAGTCATTTGGGCGTTTTTGCATCGTTTCACACTCAGCTCGTACCGTCCTGTGTACATTGAGCATGGTATCACATTAATCTGTCTAGATGAGCTCTCCATCATCCTGATTGCAACCACATACCCATCGCTGGCTATGATTGGCGCCGTTAGGTCATATTGCGAATATCTATAACCAAATACTACTATACTGGAAATCCAAATTGGAGGGCCTGCAGCACGCATGCTATTTGATTCACAAGCATTTTATCATGTATTCCAGAGAGGAAGAGTTACGCGTAAAGTAATACAAAAGTAAGATGACAAAACAGGGTAAAAACAAACTGAGAAGTCATGATGCATCAAGGATCAGACGAAGGACTCCAGGTTAAGTAGCTGGACAATCGAAGAACCGCTCTAGTGTGACTTCCATGCAGTCAGGCAGACTAAACCGAAGGTCATGCAAGCTCCGCAAAACCAATTCTGGACTGTCCGACATCAAAGGCAGTGTACACGTTTCTCATGAAGACGTCTCCAAGAATCCATTGAAATTGACCTGAAGTTATGTCTCCAAGGTCATAACCTACAATACCACCAAAGCACATTTTTCCTGATGAATCAGTGGGGCCCATATTGAAGGTCTCCGCGGAAAGCGGAAACGACTTGCCCCCAAGAGTGATGGTCACGTTTGGCATGGCGTTACACGGTACTTGTAACATTGTTTAGAAACCATAATGTCAATGAAGCGATCGAGCTGCTTACACGCGTATACACCTTTATCAACTTCTGTCGCATTAATAGCTGCATACAACTGACTGACGTAGGTGAAATTGCCCAAGATCACTGTGGTCCCAGTGTCGACAATGGCGGAGAATCCCGTGACAATTTCTATCCCATTGATCTTAATGGCATCCCCAGAAATCTGCCAGAACCCCTGATAAATACGTGAGTGATGTTTGAGAAGCGCCACTTAAGCTTACGATTGAAGGCTCACCTTGTTGGTTACTGGAGTATAAGTGAACTCACCTTCATATAACGCAGAGCTCACGCCACCAATGCGAAGCTCAGAACCAGAGGATGCAAGTTTAAAAGCAAACACTGGTTCTGGGACAGCTTTTTGTGCAACCAGCGTCTCGAAAACAGAGTCTGCATAAAAATCGGAATTCGACCTGAGACCCATTCCCATTAGCCCGTCAGATTTGTCCTCTGAGAAACTGCTGGATGTATTTGAGGCCACACCAAGTGTTTGTGCAGTGGCCTATGACAGACTTCACGAATTGAGACGAAGGATTGCGAGAAAACGACGCACCTTGAAGCCAGCAAGCGAAACAGTATCCTTATATAGATTGCCTGTAACCGTGGCATTATCGGCATACGTCGTTTTGAACGCCTTTCCAAGAGACTCAGAGGAAGAACTACTATTAGGATTGTATAGTTTATGTCCGCTGCAACTGGCATCGCAACTTGATCCAGGTAGAAAGAGGTCCGAGGAACCAGTGTCAAACACAACTAGGCTCGCATTAATGCATCCTAATGACTCGATATGGAGGAACACAAACCGGAAAACGTCTGTGGCGGAGTACCGACTTGGATCGTTCCATACCAACTGTTGTTTGCGTCATCAATTAGGGGGTCAGACCTTAAAGTTCCCACACGCTTGGTTAGCGATGCTACACCAGTGTTTCTTTCGAATGCAGCAGCGCCCCGCTGTAACCTACTAAATATCTGATAAATGGGGGATAACACTGAATAATCAGAGTCGCGTACGCCTCTTTACTGGAAATATGAGCCCTGATTGAAGCAAGATCAACATATCCGTCAGCGATCTTGAGAGTAGATTTTTTCATTAATGGTATTGAAAGAGGCTGTGGCTGTGGTAAACCAACGACCAATGCCTGTAAGGCAGCGATCGAGGATAGCAATAAAGAACGCATTGCTGTGAGTGAAATAGAGCAAAGCAGTGGGTAGAGGGAGAAGAGGGTCTTGAAATTGTTTTATTTGTCAGTTTCTCCTAAAGTCTTCAAGCTCCTTTACCTTTTTCTCACTGTCGCACCATCATACGCATACTTGATGAGTTCGTGATGGCGCCTTGCCACATACCGTTGTTCCTGTTGGCGTTAGGTGTTTCGCTTGGTTGTCCGCGTATCGGCCAGTAGTTCGTAGATATCTTGACGGCTTATTACTAGGAAACCAGGCCTCTCGCGGCTTGACATTCTGTTATGTTAACTTCTCATAAAACGTAGACTGTGTCTTACCACATTTGATCACAGTCCCTTGAGGGCAAAGACTGTGACAAGGAGGACTTGTGAATATATAGTATCAGCCGGTTTGGGTTCCAGACAAGTAGTGGCAAGTGGTACCGTGCACAGTGCACACTGCACAGCACGCGAAACGCGAACTTTGGCGTGACTGTAAACGCAAGCCGAAGGAGACTATATATCATGATCATGAATACCGTGACTGTGGCCAACCCATTGGCCGAAATCTTGCTATACGATTTTGATACATGGATGTTGCAGTGAAATGTACAACTCGTGGTCGAATCAATGTTCTTGAAGGAGTTTTCCGGCCCTAGATCGTCTCTCTTCATGTATACAATCTTTCTTTCAATACTTACCTTCATTTGTATCATGTACTCCCGCAATAGATCTGATCAATGGATTCATAGACGAACACCTGACATATAGAAAAGTCGCGGCAATTAACCACTTCCACCGCTCAACGTTCAACAGTGAGCCATACTAACATTAAAGGTCTGAACTCACTTTACTATAGTTAATTACATTGGTAAATTCCAGCATTGTTTCGTTACAAAAAAAAGAAACACTGCGTACATGCTTAGATACTGAACGTTCTGAACTCCAATGCTATCGCAGCAGTTGCGCAACCCTTTTTTTCATGCCATGTTTTCCCAATCGCCTCTCAAGCATCTGGTGCATCCGAGCATTCCCCGAAAGGGGGATTATACCCTCATCCGCGTTCCAGGGCGGAGATACTGAACGTGTGCGGCGAACGTCCGACGAAGCACCATTCAATACCTCTTTCCCATTCTGGGCGGAATCCCCATGCGACCCGTAAAGTGAGGGTGGTGTCAGGCTTTCGTGCTTGATACGTATGGCACGAGGACGTTCTCGGAGTGAGAAATCGTGATGCCGGTCATCCTCATCAAGCTGCTCTGCATCATCGGGCGCAAGCTCGGGTTCATTTTCGGTGTCATACTCGGGATCATCCTGATCCTGAAGGTCCTCCAATGAAGATTCAGAAACGAGCTTCTCCACAACATTCTCCTCTTCTGCTTGTTTGACATCGTCGGTGCTTTCTTCATCTTCCTCTCCTGAGGCGGCTTCATCATCGCCCCCTTCACTACCAGTGTCGACAGTATTCTCTACCGCCTCATCCTCTACCTGATTAGTTCTGTAATGCCCTGTAACCGCCCTCCAGCTGGTACCCATACTGGCGCCTTCATCCATCGACGCTCGCTTCTTCAGCGCTGCCTGTTTCGTAGGTAGAGGCTTATATTCCAACTCATACAAACCAGGTTCATGCCGTACCCGCAGCCCATTCGGCAACCGCTGCTCTGGTAGAGCTTGCTGCAAGGATGGCCGATGACGAGAGCCACGAGGCGGTTTGTCGTCGCTATTATCGCTCTCTCTGCTCTCCCTGTCATTTGCCCCGCCATTCGAGGCTCTCCTGGCTCTACGCGCTTCCCTCTCTCTCTGCTCGAGTGCCGCTTCAATCCAGCTCTCAGAAGCGTCGCGCATGCCCCTTATACACTTCTCAGTCTCCTCCAAGCTTTCGACGCGCTTGTAAACCTCGAGCACGACGTCTGGTGAGTATCCATGCGCGGCAGCGATACGTGATATTATGGATCTGAATCCGACAGAGGCGGACAGGGGTAAGTCAACAGGCGTTATGAGCTCAAGTGGAACTGATGGAATCGCAGGTCCAGGCGTGATAAGGTAGCTGGAGAGGTCAGCTGGGATGGCCGATGGTGTGGAATGGACAGGGAGGGAGGGGCGGTGAGGTAAGCGAGATGCTGAGCTACTACCTCTAGAGCGAGAGATTCGGGAAGCCGACACTGCTGATAGAGTGCGAAGGTCCATGCGTGGCAGGTCACAGCCACCGACTGTCTTTCTCCGGTGTCGCTTTTGAGTACGATTGAGTAGACGCTGAGCATGTGTCACCGGAGGCTCGGCATCGTGCTGTTTCCCTTTCCCTTTGCCCTTGTCTGTATTGGAAAGTAGGAATGGTGAACCCGGTGTGGGAAGTGGCTGCATATTTGATCTATGAGGGACTGAACCAGGCGAATGTGAATTCCTTTCTTGTGGTAGGACAATTGAGTGAGCATCTAAGATGGGAGCAAAGTCTTCCCTCGATGGAACCTGTGTCTGTTGGACGGTAGCTATCGTACTCGAAGTAGATTCAGTGGAAATTTGAGCTAACGACGGTGCGTTCGGTAAGCGTGCCCTTTCCTTGCTCGTTGGTGTGGCAGAAGGCACAACGGCTGGCTGTCCATACGGTAGTTCAGCAGAGGATGTGAGACCCGAAGGCCCGGCAGCAGTGGTTAGTTTTGACGGCCCGGCCACAGGTTGGGCTATAACCGATGCTGGGCTCATAACGTTGTCTCGGTTTCTGTCCCACAGATTCTTAACGAGGTGGCCTACCCCGTTCGTCGAGCGATGCTTCAGAGGAGATTCAGCTTCATCTGCACCATTGGGATTACGTGGAGGATGAGGAGGGGGAAGGGGAGGAAGTGGGACTTGGCTGAAGGGGTGATGTTCAGACTCCATATGATGTAGTGGAAGAGGAGCTGGAGGTCGCTGAGATTCTGATTCGCGCTTTAGAGGCACTGCAGCTGGTGATGTCTGAGACTCGGATCCGTTGACGGGATGGCGTTCACGTTCCTGAACTGTTGGAGAAGTTAACACAGTTGGTACTTGCGCTACCTCTTTCTCTTTGCCCTTCTTGCCCCGAACGGGAGGCCAAGCCACTGTCTGTTTCTCCTCAGAGCGACCACCTAGTCGCACACGACCCAGCCGATCAGTGAGTGACGTTGTAAAGTGCCCTTCCACCATTTTGGGGAGGATTTTCGTCTTAAAAGGGGTAGAACGATCACATGTTGGCGAGAGGGAGCCGAAGATGGGAGAAACGGACTTGTGCTTCAAGACTCGTTTGGGCCGTGACGGCGGCTTTGGGGTGACTACCTGCTGTGAAGATGATGCAAGAGGCTGAGAACTTGGTGGGAGCTGGGACGAGATTGGTGGCAGGATCCTGACAGGAGAATTGGGTTGGGAAGATGGGACTGGCAAGGTATCTGAGCGAGAAGGGAGCGAAGGAATATTGAACGTGCTTGCTGATTTCGGGGAAGGCGGAGGCTCGTCGGACATAATGTCTGATGGCCCCTGGTAAGGGTGAGAACTACGAGCTTGGGCACTTGGTCCAACGGCGGGAATTTGGCGTGTCCCATTGGTCTTCACCAAGGGGGAGGGACTACTCCCAGCATCTGGCTGGTCTCTCTCCAGTCTCGCTCGCTTTACTTTCCGCTGCTCAGAACTGTCTTGGTCACCAGCCCGCTTTTTTCCTTTGCGTGCCTCTTTCGAATGGTCCCCCGCAGCTTCTTCTTCATCAGAAGACGGAAACTGAGGCTCCGTCCCCGATTGCTTCTTCGGGTTGATTCCTTTCTTCTTCTGATACTTCAATATCCTCCTATCAAATTCATCCATATTTTTCCTGTATCGGCACTGCCAGGACTGCCACGGGTGTGTCTTGGACCAGTTCCATTTGTTGTCGACCTATATCAGCGTTAGAACTTGTTTCACAAGAGAAACATGAGAGAAACTCGCGTTTGCCTCAAGGCGCTTGTACAAGACATTTCCGCTTCTGTTTTGCTTAGCAGGATTATATGTTGCAATGTATTTCATGAGAAGGGTGTCCTCGTCTGCTGTGAAGCTCATACGAACACTAAAAGAAACATGGCAAGTCAGCAACATTGATTGTGCAGATACAAGTACGGACCTTTTTGCTGGGGTTCGTGACATGCTTGCTGTTCAGTATATGCATATGTAGTAGTACTAGGTCAAGCCTAAGGTGAACGATGGAAGCAGGCGCGTCTCGCGTCGAAATCACGCGGATAATGTCACGTCACGCCGGGTGTGGGGTGTGGAACTCGGAAGAAACTTTACTATATGTGGACTGTTTGCTCTTATTATGGCCATGTGGCATGGTCACTTGATTGTGTGGACGATGGTGGACCACGTGTGGAGCTGTGTCGGTACCGTCGTAGCATTCAAGGCAATTGGCAGAACCTCACATGAAACATACTGACAGTGATTGTAAATCCAGGATTTCCGGAGAACAAAGATAATTTTCAAGTTCACTGTTCCCGTCTAGCATGTGCTAGATACAGGATGTTCAACGAAACAGTCCGATGACTCTCGATGCCTAAAGCAATAAAAAGAACACTATGTATGAAGTACAGGTAACAACTTCTTGATCGGAGGTAGAGGTCTTTAATACGGTGCGGCGTGAAGTTTGAACAGGTTCTGGTATTAAATTCTCGAGCGTGACAGACGGTCACCACTACGTAACGGGTCACAATTCGTTGGACGCAACACATACGAGCCACTGTCCGTTAATTTGAACGATGGTGAAGAGCTCAAAGTTGCGCATTGCTTTTATCCACCCTGACTTGGGAATCGGTGTGTATGTCATAATGAATTCGAATATAGAGCCCAACTCACATTATGACACGTAGGAGGAGCCGAAAGGCTGGTTGTAGATGCTGCATTGGGTTTACAATCCCTGGGTCACTCTGTGGATATATACACCTCTCATCGTGACCAGCACCACTGCTTTGACGAGACAAGAGACGGTACGTCAGGAAATCCTTGTTCAGTGACCACGTCATCATTATACAGCTCTCCTTTACAGGAAGATTGTCCGTCCATCATGTAATTCCACCGCTACCTCGGTCCATACAGGGAAAGTTTCATATCATATTTGCACATGCAAGGCAGCTACATCTCACAATACACCTCATGTGCACATCAGCGCGTCAATATGACGTCCTCTTCGTTGATCAACTCTCTACTTGCATACCCTTCCTCCGAATGTTTTGTGGGAAACGCGTTGTTTTCTACTGCCATTTCCGGACAAGCTTCTTGCGAACGGTGCCTACGTAGAGGATCAGCGGGGGAAGAATGTCAGTATCCTGAAATACATCTATCGTTTCCCAATGGATTGGCTAGAGGAGGCGACTACGAGTATGTGTACCACCGCTTGCACAGAATTCACATTTAACACAGATCTAGCACAGGCTGACCTGATTCTCGCCAACTCAAAGTTCACTGCACGAGTAACCAAGTCGCACTTCTCTTCCCTTAGACACCAGCTGAAAGTCGTCTATCCTGGTATTAATATCAGCAGCCTATATTTCACCAACCGACCCATCAGATCCCGATATCCGTCAGGTCGCCTCGTGAGTGTATTTTTTGTTTCTTTCATGCATCGATTATTCAAACACTCGGTGAAGACAACGGCGAACATTATTGTCCCTCAACCGGTTTGAAATGAAGAAGAATGCTGCTTTGGCAATAGAAGCGTTTGCGATACTGCGGAACAAGGATCCGAGTACATCAGACGTGAGGCTGGTTCTTGCTGGTCGGTTGGATAACAGTCATTACACGAGTTCGTCGCTGACTTTCTTCCGGGTGGCTATGATCCCCGCCTAGAGGATAATATACGCACCCTGAAATCTCTCATTGAGCTGGCGCAGTCCAATGATCTAACTTACAACGTCATCACCTCGTTACAGTCCCGCGTGTCAGTACCGTCGTTCCCGGAGATAACCCTGAATGAGCCGGATATATTGTTCCTCTTAACTTTACCACCGCGCAGCGTTCAGGTCTACTGCAGGCTCAATCTACACTCGCTCTATTATATACCCCAGCTAACGAACACTTCGGAATTGGACCAGTGGAAGGCATAGGGTATAGCACGGGTATGGGGGTCACGGGTATGGCGGGTACGGGTACGGTGTAGAGATGTGCTACCCGTGGTCATACCACACCCGTTTGCACGGTATACGGGTATGTTCACGGGTAGCCGCGCTATCTCCGAATTTTCTCCGCGGTGTTATATGTCGGACATGACAACGATTCGCCACTCACTACAATCCATATGTTTCGGAGGGTCGTTGACTGCAACAGTGACCTGCTGCTTCGATCCTACTAGTATTTCTCGCTCCTTCAATATTTATATTCTTCCGTCTCGGAGACACATTACTATTACTGATTACAACTCGGTGATTCAACAGTATAAAGTGAAGTATGCAGACTATTCCATCTTTATGGTTAATCAGTCTACTGCCAATGACACGGCCTCGCTCGCTGAGTCTACCTCAACACGTTCAGATGGTACGTGAACTTATTGCTCACGTTTGCACCTTGATTAATTTTCACTCACAGACGCACTCAAGAAAATTTGGCGGTCAGCAGTCTATTCGTTTTTTTAAGCTTGACGCTGTGACTGTCCAGTATCACGGTGGACGTCTAGTTCATTTCTTCCCTTGCGGGGCACACAAGTGCAAACTCCCTTCCAGAGGTGTCCGCTTCCAGTTGATCCGAGCGGATCAGTTTTCTCTGTTTTTGCACGAAAAGGACAACAACCTGTCCATCATACTTATCGAATGCACACGATAAGTCCCACTGAAATGGTGGGTCCATAATCAATAGACGTATCCGGATTTGCACCAGATGGCACTTGATTACCTTAGTATTCCTGGTAGGTTGTGCACCATCACTCTCGCTATGTAGCATCACAGCTTATGTGTTACACACCATAGCTACTTCGACTGCAGTCGAACGTGTATTTTCGCAAGGCCGGCACCTTCTACACTTCACTCAAAACCGCTTGTCTCCGTCATCGACGCGTGCATTTCTGTCTTGGCTCGTGGCTCCGCTGTGATCTGGTAGCACCCGAGGACCTTACTAAGATCATGAAGTCTCTGAAGAAAAGAAAACGAAAGGACGAGAGTGTTGGGTGAGGTTATTGGACTATTTCTTGTATGTGTACCCGCGGGTAAATGCAACACCGCGGGTAAGCTGCTATACCGTGGGTTAGTACGGGTACAATGTTAATCTCCCGACCCGCGGGTATACCCGTGCTATACCCTAGGAAGGCATGATATGTGGCCTGCCAGTACTTGCCTGCGACAGCGGTGGACCCACGGAGAGTATCGTTGACCAGCCAGCAGATCAAAGGACCGGATGGCTCTGCCGTCCCCAGCCATCGGTGTGGGCTGAAGCATTGAAGGAAATCTGTAATCTCTCAGAGACAGATAGGAAGGTGCTCTCACAGAGAAATTGGGATCGTGCCCAGATGATGTTTGGAATGGAGGCGATGGCGAAGTCCCTCGAGGAAGTTTTGGAAGAGGCGGTATCTATTGGACCAGTGTCAAGAACGGGGATGTGGCTCGTGATGTCTGCGGTTCTGGGGTTGCTGGTGGTTTTAATCTTTCGGTATCACCCAGTCAAAATCCGCAGGAAAATACACGCTATATTCCATTCAATGGTGATGCATAAAACTCCGCCCCACCTGGGGATTTGCTGGCAGGGTTGACGGAGTTTGCCGGGTAAACAAGCTGTAAGGCAGCGGTGAAGCCCGTAACGTTCGGTGTATTGATTGTGTTCTGTGACTCGATTATATCCTGTGCATACAGAGATCCTCCTGGTACAATGGCGAGTGCAGGGATACTGTCGATGATGGCGATATTCTGCTTCCCGCTGGGGAAGTGAGTGACGTTAAACGCGGATGAGTCTTTCACGTGTGCAGGAGCCGCCCATGCTGTCCGACCGCCCCACAATGTGCTGGTGGTGGTCACGGTTGTTGTTGCAGTTACACCTTCGACGACTGTAGTCGTAGCCGTGGGAGTGATTGCAATCGTAGGTGTCACGACGTCGGTGACTACGATTGTTGTGACGGCAGCTTGTGAAGGGATCGACAGGTCGGTTGTGCCGACAGTGATGGTCGTTGAAGCGGGACTATGGAAAGACTGGCTAACGGAGGGAGATATAATCGCAGGGGCCAGCTGGGCAGTTGTGCTGACACCCCCGGGCTCCGCAGGCGCAGTCAAAACAGTCGGCATAGCCAGCGCTATCAAACAAAGCAGGACCATTGATGCCATCCTACAGAGAATATCACTTTTCTAGAGAAGCATGCGCACGACATGCACCACGCAGACATGTTCAGACGAATTTAAATTTAAATCCTGCAGTCTAGAACAAAATCGCTGAGTTCATGAATCATGAGTGGACGAGATTCAAATGGTATTAATTTGAAGCTTTGCAGGCCCTGCAGAAAGACGATAGTCGCCTTAACAGTACGAGCTACGCTTTTTACGAATTCAGTTTCATCTCGTCGAGTCAATTGCTTAGCTTTACATTACATTCATTAGGAGGTGTAAGGATGCAATGCACGACATCATTGGAAAACGTCTTTCTCTCACACACAACGGGGATCTAGGTATAATTTGTTTTGTTATTCACCTATTGAAGGCGTGCCTATCTGTGTGCTGTCGACATCAGAACTTATAAATTTAAATATACATGGTTGAGGCTGTTGCAGGGGGGCCGCCATGAATGCAAACCAACAGCAAAAATGCGTGTCCGCATAGCCACATCTGCAATGAGACAGGTACCGCCCTGCCAAATCCCCGATAAACAGAATTATCATTGGACCAAACAATTCGACCAGCCCATAACGTTATTTTGATACATCCAGGGCTGTAGTTGACCACTAGTGGTCCAAGTGGTTATCTCAGGATGCACATTGCGCTGGTGGAGAATCAGCTGATTGGTGCTTGCCATAGTCTACACATACCGGTTCACGTTAACTGCCCGTTCCATCAAATCTACTTTGAATCTTCTTGATAATCGCGTTTAGCCACTTCCTGTTGAGCTGAGTGAGGAAAGTAACGCCACGGTGATGTGATGTAATGCGAGCAGATCTGCAACTATTCCAAATCGATAAGCCAGATTCCACTTTACAAACTCGGCACTTTTGTTTAGTTTTGTAGTGAAAAAAACAACCGCCTCCAGCCGTTTAACATGTATGTCCTGGTGACACGCTGTGTACTGGATGGGTGACGCTTCCTTTCTTAGCCGGGCGTCACCGTGACCTTCCTCAGACGGTAATCCGTCGTACACTGTAACATTTATGTCACATTTTTCTAAATTTGAGTACGATGAGTAACTCTTGGGCGACAGGACAGACCAAGGAATCGGCAGGAGGACATGTTGGAAAGGAACTGGTAGCCATAACGCGAATAAATGAATCTGCAAAAGAAGCGTAAGAACAGGGGATCTCGATCAACGTTCGATAACGGTGACTGAGATGACAAAGAACAACAAACAAAAGATAAAGAGTCCGGGATGATCGATGATCGGTGTTTCACTATTTTACACCCAGACCAGTACTAGTACCCTTATACTTAGGGTCGCGGAAGAACGTAATTACGATTTGCGTCCTATACAGCGAGGCGGTCCCACGTGCAAGTGATCCAAAGCTTCCATTATGACATAGGGTGACTCAGCGTTTATGTTATTAATATAATATACTTACTGAAGTTAAAGGCTGGCGCCGTGGTGGCGCAAGATCGTACATTGAAACTCCTTGTGAATTCTCTGCTGATTCCGAATGGGAACCCTCCCCAGCAGAAATTTGACCTGCATAAACCTTCATATCATGGTGCGCGTCACTTAGTCACCACTACTTTTGTGCAGAGGCCAAATTGATGGTTCAAATTCTGAAAAGGCCGAAATCTGAAGCTTCTTGGCCCGGTTAACGGCTGGGATGACAAAACTATGGAAGATAAGATATCCCTCTTGAAGATAGATACAGAACTCAGAAAGATGTCGTTTTAGCATAAAATCCATTTTTCACCGCTGGCCAGATTGATTACTTTTACCCCGGTACAAAATACCCTATATCTCAGTTTTGACTCAAATAAAAATCCCTCTGGAGAAAAGGTTCCATTTGGGGAAAGGATCATTTCTACTAGAGGGATAAAAAATCCGGGCTTTTCCTGGGGGGTTGCTTGCACAAAAGTAGCGGTGACTAAGTGACGCGCAGCATAGGACTGTCCCTGTGGGTCTATCATTATCCGCAGGAACATGCCATAGATGTAAAATTCCAAGATCATATCAAAATTGGCGCGATTCCGGAATGTCGTTCCGTCGATTTCATCGTTGGCAATCAAGGTGTCAGTACTTCAGTTACTGTACTCGAAAGATGGCCGCAGTTAACACAGCACAGTCTAGAGTAAGTGATTAAGTATGGATGATCACCGTGACTATCTGGCGATGCAACATAACACCAGCTACTAAACAGCAGGTCCATCGACAGGCGCTCGCTGATTCTCATCATGTGGCAAGCGAAGTTACCACTGTCATGGTATGCTCGACTGTTGTTTAATATGTAATGGTATGGTTGATTTCACAAGAATGGCAACCATCCCAATTGGTTTCGTTCACCGTTCAACTATGTCAGATTAACTATTTCTCCAGGCGACGTAAGACCGCGGACATTCTCCTTCGATTATTTCATGATAATGTTTTCAGAGATATCGTTGTTGGACATCTTTCATTTGCTGTGGTGGGGCATGGTATAAAAACACGGGGGAAACCCATTCTCTCCCCTAGGACAAGTTTGCCTTTCCTATTCCACAACTTGAAGATGTCTGCTTCAACACCACAAAATTCAACTACACTTGACAACTATGACTTTGCGCATAATCCACCAATCCCCCAAAGTAACCAGCATAATAGAGGTGTCAGCAGCTTCAGTCCTTCGGCGTTGACAAGCGCATTTCGAATGTATGCCCTCTGTCACCGTTTATTTTTCATATAATGAACCTCATACACAGGCTGGATCCAAACACCCACAGTTCATCTGTGTCCTCGCAACACATTGCGACCACATCGGATGTGCATGCCGTCATCCCTGCTCAGATGGCAAATCCCAAGTTAGTACACTCCATGTCGTCCTTACATAAATATAACGACATCAGTGGTGCCGTCCCATGGATGTCAGACAGCCCATCGAGCAGAAATGCTGTCCCGCATGGTTCCCCGCATACTTCACCAACCTCCGGTTACGCAGCTACGGGAAGGGTCTACTTGTCTCCGCATGCATCCCCAATGTATGCCTTCTGTCACTTGTTTGTTCATATTCGCCCTCACACTCATGCACAGGCCGAGACCAATCGGCCACACTTCGCCCGGGTCCTCGCAATGCGGCATGACCACCTCGGATGCGTATTCCGTCGTACCTATGATGGCAAACCCCACGTTAGTGCGCTCCTTGTCTTCCTTACACAAGTCATACAACACGAGTAGCGCTGCCTTGTGGACGCCAGACAATCCCGGGCCTGCTGTCTCACATGGCCCCTCGCAAAGTGTGCCATATCTCCACGATCTAGAAGGTACCAGGTCTGCCATCACACTTATTTTCTCATATGTGCCCTCACACTCATACACAGCCTGAGACCGATCGGCCACACTTTGCTCGCGTCCTCGCAACGCGGTATGACCGCCTCGGATATGCATTCTGCTGTTCCCATGATGGCAAATCCAAAGTAAGTATTATGCTCCCTATCTGCCTGACTTGAATCTGACAACACGAGCAGTGCTGTCTCGTGGACACCAGGCAATCTCAGGACTGCTGTCTCACATGACCCTTCGCAAAGTGTGCGATATCATCTTCATGATCTAGGAGGCATAAGCGCCAGTTTTCAGCTCCCTCCGGCCCAGTCGGGACTGCCGATGAGCCAGCCATCTCCCCTCCTCTGCCGGTGGGTACATAACAACGCACAATGTGAATATGAAGGAACCTTGGAGGATTTAAAACAGCATTGGCATGAGAGTCATCTTCCCGCATACCCAGGTGTGAAGATCAAATGCCGATGGGAACACTGCGATTATCACAAGAAAGGTGATCCCTCAATTAACGTCATGAACCGCTCCTGCGTGTGGCGGCATATATCTGAAGTTCATTTGATGCATCGGAGGAATAACTAGACATAACTGCGTTTTACTCCAGCCCATCATGACTTGGACAAGTTGCAGTTGCACGGGTATAACTCGCCTTATTGTTTTGTAACGAAATCACTATAGTAGACTAGCCTAACGCCGACAGGACGTTAACAATGTACTTATATATGACAAGCGGTGACCTTACTCGGAAGAAAATATGTGGACTGTTTGCTCTTATAATCGTCATGGTCACTTGATTGTGCAATAATTTGGGACGATGCTGGAGTGGAACTGTGTCGGTACCGTAGCAGCATTCAAGGCAATTGCCAGAACCTCACATGAAACATACTGACAGTGATTGTACTAAATCCGGGATTTGCGGAGAACTTGAACAAAAGATAATTTCCACTGTTCCCGTCTAGCATGTGTGCTGGACACAGGACGTTCAACTAAACAGTCCGATGACTCTCGATGCTTAATAAAAAGAACGCTATGCATGAAGTACAGGTAACAATTTCTTTAGAGGTCTTCGCCCTGTTTACCGTAGACGGTGCGGTTCTGACTATTCTCAAGCGTGACCCGTTGTCGGAAATTCCCATAGGTGCCTTGCAAGGCTTCTAAATTGAGACGTCATTTAACTGCATTGCATCCGTGATGGAAGACTTTTCCAAGGAAGCGTGACCTATTGAAAGCGTATTGAAAGCGAAGTGACCTATTCATAGCATATTGGAAGGAAAGTGACCTTCTTTTGGTAACTTGCCAGGGAAACAACTGTGTCTTGCAAGCGGCTTACACTATCAAGGTCAGATTTCAATCTCATACCACCTATCTTCCATCCATCGATGATTTCTTCCTGAACGATACCTTTGCTTATTTCATCTGTCTATACTGTTTCTATTTACCATCAATGGCTCCCCAAAGATCCACAGGAGGGCGCAAATACACCTGCTCTTCGGTATCATCTCTCAAGGTTGCTTGTCAGTATTGTAATGAACTGTACACATCCCGAGGCCTCAAATCACACGAACAAAGCTGCTTGCGACGGAAGGAAAAGAAGAAAGAGGATAGAGAGTTTTCACGGGCCGCAGCCAGGTCAATTTTGAAGGAAGGAAAACACAGTACGTCTCAATGTCGTCTAAATTACCTTCAATCACTGATTATATTCAAAATCATCAACTTTGATTCATCAGAACATCGCAGCAATAAAGGGCGCACTCATGAGGCTGCCCGAGATTACCACGCTAGTCATTCAAGAGGCTGGTTCAGCAGCTGATTCTCCATCCGCAGCGGATTCACATTACCATTATGATGACGCAGGTTTTGAAGGCCTTGATGATGTGCAAAGTGTCGGGAAAGACACACGGCTACGTATGTAATATTCTTTCTGTTTTGTTTTGACTCTATCTCAACATGATTCAGGTTCTGATTCTGATATCAGCATGGGTAATAACATTCCCACTCCAATTTCGGTAGCCACAGCAACTACCTCAGATCGTCTCAACACATTCAAGACTGAATATCACCCTCACAGTGGTCGCGCTCCGATCGTCGAGAGCTTTTCCATTTCAATAAGCCGGAGACCACACAATCACCTGTCATCGATGACGAGCCATGGCAGCCTTTCAGCTGTTGTGCAGACTTCGAGTTTGCTGAACTCGCCCACCGAGCTGCCTTGAGCAAAGACCAAACTAATGAACTACTCAAGTTCATCTGGAGAGTTGCGGATGGTCACACGAACTTTACTTTCAAAACTCACAATGATGTGTCAGCTGCATGGACGAGGGCATCCAGCCAACTGACTCCTGTAAGAGCGATAGCATAATGTCACATTTGCATATATATATGACCATATTGTAACAGTTTGAAAGACATGTTGTACCTGTTGAGTATAAGAAGGAAAACATCAAGTATGAAGTATATTCACAACCACTATGGGACTAGGCATTGGACCTCTTGGATAACCCCTTGCTAGCACCGCAGTTTGTTTGGGATGCCCAGCGACTGTACAAACATGACGGAACTGATTTTGAACGCTTCTTCCATGAGCCATGGACAGGAGACCACTGGTGGGACTTACAAGTGAGCTTTTCATTTTTCTTATGATGTTGTGACTAATTAAAGTGTACAATCAAGACATCTTTGCCCCATAATGGTGCGCCATTCGCATTTATACTGTATGCTGACAAAACGCACCTTTCGTCGGCCGGTGCTGTCAAGGCATACCCAGTAATCGCACACTGCGGGAATCTGCCTTTTGAAATCAGGAATGTTGATGGTCCTGGAGGAGGACACTTAGTGGGTTGGTTGCCAATAGTAAGTCTTTGCTGATACTTGAAGACATCAATTCACACTTAATCATTTTGCCCTTGTGGCAGGTTCCTGCAGACTCAGACGAGGATGGCAAGCTGTCCTATACAAATTTAAAGAAGGTTGTATGGCACAAATCATTCACGATTCTCCTCGAAACCCTCAGTCTCATCTCCAAAACTGGCTTCGCGCACCAATGCTATGATGGAATTCTACGCTGGTTATTTCCACTAATACTGATTTTATCGGCCGATTACGAAGAGCAGTACGTGATTAGTAGTTTCACATTGTTTCTGTTACTCACTACGTTATCAGGTGTGTGATGGCCCTGATACGAGGGTTCAACTCTGCATGTCCTTGCCCTATTTGCCTTGTCCCGAAGGACAAGCTCACCGACCATTCTACGATATACCCTACCCACGTCATTGATGATGCACAAGCTTGTGTCCGATTGTGGAACATGGACCGTACCGCTGGTGAGGCGGCACTAAAAAAGCAGAGTCTAAGGCCTGTCGATGTGAGTGATTCATTCAACTTTCTCACTCTCAAAACTAAATGGTCTCATAACCGTCAGAACTCTTTGTGGATTGTTGAACGGTCCAGCCCGCATGACGCACTCTCGCAAGATACCTTGCACGCTTACGACAGTGGTTTGTTTGGCGATCACATGTTCGAGGAAGTCAAGGCCCACCTGAAAACACTGGGACGTACTGCTGAGAAGACGACTGATGACCAGTGAGTCTCTTTACATCCTTATTTCATCCTCGTCTTGTATTTTGTTCATTCTATAGGTTCGCTGCGTTTCCGCGATGGCGAAACCTAAACCACTTTGACCACATTACAAACATCAGTTTTTCCGATGGCAACAAGTTCCTGGATATATCTAAGGTACGTTTTCGAGCGCTATATCATATTGAAGCTATAACTGACATATTTCTTGTGGTTTTGATAGCAAATATTGTATACAACACAGAACGTGCTCACACGCAAAGATGACGAAGCTGGTATGCACTTCTAAAGTGCATAGCCAGCTATCTCCATGCCTACATGTATATAACATTTGACGTTCACACAGAAAGCACTATTGCAGCTGGGGAGGCCGAGATTCTCGTTTTCCAGAAGTGCTTAGATGTAAGTCCTAGTATCTAGACCAACTTATGCGCTACTTGACACTAATACTTCAAACAGCAATATATTGAAGTTCTCGGTGATGAAGCAACAAAAAACTGGAATTTTCCGAAGGCGCACTCAATGAGGCACATATTTTCTGACATTAGGGCAAAAGGAGCTGCGCGAAACTTTAGTACGCGGCCAAACGAGAAGCATCATGGGCCGATCAAGAGGGCCTATAAACTGCAAACAAATGGCAAAGATATCGCAAACCAGGTATGTTTGATCACACTTCACATTAACTGACTCGTTGACTACCCCTGCTATCTAGATACTCAGGCTTGACCACACAACCTTCGTCTCTGTAGTCCTCCGCAACCGCATCGATCATTTCGATGATGAACAACGCAAGGCCATACTTTCGGAGAGAGAGCTTGAGACAGAGGACCTGGATGATCGGTCTTTTGGCGGACATATTCACCTTGGCGCTCCTCAGTCCGCAATAACCTTTGCACAGCTTGAAAATGACAATGTGTCCAACTGTGCCTTTGGGCAGTTCCGCAAAAAGCTCTCGACCTTCCTTAATCACGCTCTACCTGCATACAATATACCATTACCTGATGGCAAAACGTGGCTGACGCTTTCAGCACAAGATACGGTCAGTAACTCCATATTTCACTCCCACGAGTCACCGTTGTTCACAAACATGTCTCCAGGTTCAAGAACACCGATATCTCAAAGTCAATTACAAGTCTGTTGTGGACTGGAAGCTTACTACCGACCACCTGCGCTGCAACCCGAGCTTTCATGGCCGTGAACGACGTGACTGTGCCCTTGTTCGCACCCAGGACAAAGATGGGAATAATAAGAACATTTTTGTTCGCATTTTATTCATGTTCAAGCAATCAATTGGCAGTCAAACATTGGATCTCGCCCTAGTTCAACCTATGGATGCTCCGACAGGCCCACAACACGCTACAGATCAAGATTTGCGACTGAGACGTCTTCGTGCCTGACCACTTGCTTCGACGGAGTTTATTACGCTTCACTCGGTTATTCGTGGTGCATTACTTGTTCCAGACTTCGCTAGTACAAGGGGCGACTTTTTTCTCGTTGATTATGTGGACTCCGACATGTTCCTTCGTTCACAGAGATATATGTTCTAATTAATGGTATGTTCAACATTTACATTTATGACTATTGCAATAACAAGCCAGGATATGAGCAGCACTCTCCTTTGTATCTCACCTGTATCACCCATTTCACCTTCACCTCTATCACACAGCACTCTCCCATCCCATCCGCATCATCCATTTCACCTTCACATCTACCAAGACCGCTCTCCATAGCTCGTTACTGGACTTCCCATCTCATCTGCATCATCCATTTCACCTTCACCTCTATCTCACAGCGCTCTCCCATCTATCTGCATCATCCATTTCACCTTCACCTCTAACATACAGCGCTCCCCCCGTCCCATCTGTATCATCCATTTCACCTTCACCTCTACCAAGAGCGCTCTACATAGCTCGTCTCGTCACTGGACTCTCCATCTTCTCTGTATCATCCATTTCACCTTCACCTCTACCAAGAGCACTCTACATAGCTCATCTTGTCACTGGACTCTCCATCTCCTCCGTATCATCCATTTCACCTTCACCTCTATCACACACGGCGCTCTGAGACTCCCATCCCATCTGTATCATTAATTTCACCTTCACCTCTATCCAACGGCTTTCTCATCTTACTATACCCTAGGACTCTATTATTGTGCCTTGGATTCTGTTTTTTGTTCGCCTCCGCAACTCATATACTGACCAAACTCCAATTGTATTACCATCTTCGACGTAATAAGGATGCCCTGTCGACGTCGCATGCTTCGTATACATGGTGCGTCCCCATTAAGTAGTAGGTCCATTCTAATGCCACAGCTAATATTACTCATGTTCAGGTTTTGTACGTGTTGCAACATGCGGTACCCTCAAGGCCTAAATGTCTGTATCAGTGGTAAGCGAATTTTGACTGATATAATCACAATGTATCACTGACACTAATAATCCTAGTCTCCCAGCTCTATCCTGAGTTCAACTCGAAGTTGTCTGCCATCATGCCATCAGCACACCATTGCGCAGCAACTATAGAGTCGAGCTTGGGCACTGATCCAGAGTTCTCGTCGGATTCTGATTCAGACGACTCGGACGCAGAGCTCATCCAGGTCCGCGCTGCACTTGCTCCTGCACCTCCAGATGCGACATCTCAAGAGCTGCGCAAGGTAAGTCATTGTATTGCTAGAAAGTTCACATTTCTTACCACAGATTATTACTACTAGGCCCTCGAGATCTCGCAGAGACTATTGCTCGACTTGTGTGGTAAATGCCGTGAGGCTATAAAGAAGAATGCACTCCTTGAGGCTGCAGTACCTAAAGGCCGCAAGCGTCGTAACCTTACTTCGAATGATCTTGCGATGGCGGCCAAGGAAGACACCATACGAGCTCTTGGGAGGAAATACTCGATAACCCACTGCCTTTGGATCAACATCGAACTTTTCCCGCTGTCAGCTCGCACCTGTCCAGACATCGACCTCAATAGCAAGGAGCATTGGCTTACAGGAGTCTCGATGGAGGATGGTGTGAGGGCCGAGCTCTTCAAGTTCATTCCTGAAGAAGAACGTGAATTGATGAGCTATCAAAACTTCGGATCTCAGGTATGCCTATCCATTCTTACATTCCAATCATTTAATGACAATCAATGTAATAGTTTGGTAGGGGCGTCAGCAACGCTCATTCCAAAATGGCATCTGACGTCAAATCATGTGCAAGTGCAATCTTTGGTCTCAACGCAAGCATCTTCATACAAGGCTACAAACGAAATGAAGACCCTAACTGTCGCCCTCTTCTACTGAGTCCCCATGGAGAGTACACAAAGTTCGCACCTGTGCTTTTTCCTAGACCTGATAATCCAGTACCACATCAGTTGTTGAAAACTGCAAAGCTCGTGCAGGTACATCTCTTTTTGCTCGATACTTCAATACGGGCTAACACACTCATATATGATTATAGGTCTTGAAAGTATCGCTCTTCAGCAAGTCGTCATTGGCACCTACAGGCGCTGCGTCTTCTAGGACAAAAGCCAAGATCTGGAAATTGCGAGCTATAACGCCAGGTATGATTGCTGCTGCTGCTGTCGTGGTGAGTCCAAATCAGTTTTGTGTGGTTGTTAGAGTCGTGACTTATTCTCATACAAGGCAATCTTCCTACTCTCTGGTGATGCAGAACTCACTGAAATTGGTGACACTACGAAGATTCCGTACCGCGAATACCACAACTTCTACCGTCAGCGTTTACTGACTGGAGGTGCCTGGGCGCACCAGGTCATCACATTCTTCAATGATGCCCTTTTCTCAGGAACTTCGTCTTATGTTCCCCCTTCTACTGCTCTCAATGATGACGGACTGGGTCACACATGGGAAGAAGACTTCAATCGCGCAATAGAAGATGAACTAGAAGAACCGGTTGTTGATGACGGCACACCACCAATCCCGTCACGACATGCTAATGACAATACTAATAGCGGTAATGTCCAAGTCAATGAGCTACTACCTGTGTCTCACCATACTTCAGCTCCCTCAATTCCAGCTCCCTCAATTTCGGCTCCCCCTCAAGCTGTTGCAGCTCCCCCTATTGCAGCTCCCCCTGTAGTAACAGCTCCTCCTGTCATCAATATGGCTCGAAGTTCAGAATCTATCACTACTGCAATGGATGAACTCAATCTTAGGCATCAGGATCTTGCTGAATCTGACCTTCCTGCTCCAACTAAAGCATGCGCAAAACCGAAGGCACAGCGCAAAGGCAAGACAACTGCGGAGGGTGAAGATGAAGCTGTTGTTGTAAGGCGGTCAGGCCGGAAGGGCAAATGAAGCATCCTCACCGCTCTATCACCAAAATTAGCTTACATTAGTACAGACTTTCTATCAAACTACATGCTTTTGTCGACTGTGTATGGACTTCAAATGTGATTTCAACGATGTGTCTGATGACAGAAGGAACTTCCATTAATGGATATATTAATACAAGGCCAAACAAATGTTGAAGTTTGTCTTCGCTTAGGCTTGCAACACTTCGCTTCAACCACAATCATCTCTCGTTTGTCTTAGAATTCCATCTCCAGAATCTCTCTAGCTTCTCTCCAATTTAATAAAACTCCTCAGTGGTAGCGACACCCTAGCCACCCAACAATCAGCATGACATCTGAACCTGACATTGAGGTGCGTTTGAATTGTTGAACTCTTCAGCCAAGCTTAGTACTGACATTATGCATATTGATAGCTTGCCTCATTGGCCCATCAACAAAGCAATGAATCACTATTCACCATCAGATGTCTCTCATCTACATCCTCCGCCACTGCCACTCCCATTTCCTCGAACAAACGGCACCAGGATGACTGGGGAGTCCTATCAATAGCCGGTACCGATTCCGTTTATGTACTTGACGCTGAAACGGTGCATATCACTCTCGCCATGAATGCCCCGTGTCTCATGTCGGTCTATTAGAGGTGAGCTTGTCTATCTATTCACATTTATTGTACTTGACATGATTCTTCTGCAGGATTTAGAGCCGCTTTTGAAGGTTTTGACCTGGTGCAATGCCCCAGTAGAAGGTATGAAACATCAGAAAATCGGTATTTAGTAATTTGTACAACTTGTAATTCAAATCGCTACCTTAAAAGAATCAGACCGTCCTTACAAGTCCTCGAAATGCTTGGAATGATATCATGTGACTTGCAATGACCTTCCAATGAGGGGTGTTTTCAGTTGTTTTCAAAATTGTGACCTTGCGTTGGAATGGTCTTGGGACCGTCTTGGAAGAATGTCTGTATCGCTTGCAAGCAGCTTCCATAATTTTCGGGATCCCTTGCAACCGGACCGCAATGCCACTGACAAATTGGGACCTTGCACGCTATTTTAAGATATGCCAACCAAAATTAGGAATTTCCGACAATATACCGGAAAATTGGAAATGTCCGTCCGTCCTGTCCCATCCGTCCCATCCGTCCGTACCGTCCCATCCGTCCCACCCTAAATTTGGTTATCCGGGACGCCTCCGAAATCTCGGAATATATTCTCCGTTGGAAGTTGGGCTTTGGAAATTGGGTGTCGCTTTGCCGGTTGCGTATCACGCCTTGCTCGTTGCTCGTTGTTACTTGGCGTTGTTTATGCTAACGGACTTTCTGCTCTACCCTATGCTGGCAACAGGCCCGGAGGCATGGTTAGCTCCAAGGCGGCACTCCCTCGCTCACTGCTAGTTTATATGAATTCCTTTGGGTGCCGCTCAACTTACAGGCAGCCTTACTCTACTCGACTTCAGTGGCTCTGACTCAAATGTGACTTTTAATGTTAGGTCAAGGATACCTGCAACTCGAGACAATCAGCGGCACATTTCAACGTGGTCATCGTTTGCCGGATGATGCGGACAGAATAATTCAGATGGGACGGACGGAACGGACGGGACAGACGGGACGGGCCGGACGGGTGGGACAGAACTTTCGAACTTTCAGGTTCCCTTACTCATTGGGAAAGTGAGGTCGGTTAAATCACTCAGACCTGTCACCTGATGCACAGGCACACAGCTTCTGGGCACAAGAGTTGGTGTTTGAATTATAGGATGACGACGCGGGCGCTCAAACATTCGAGTCTGTGGCAAGCATGATTGTATAGTCGATGAACCGCCAGACTCACAGTACTGAACTCTAGGTCCTGTGTCTTTTTCAAGGCTCCAGAAAGCTGGAATGATTTATTCGCTCTAGAAGGGGATTCGTATGAGATCGTAATTAATTAATAAGTGGGGGCATCGGGCGTTATTAAATTTCCACTACTTCTTGCTGAGTGCTTGCAGCTGTACGAACTCGTAATAATCTCCTCTCCGCGCAAGAAGCTCATCGTGGGTTCCAGATTCGCTCACTCTGCCTTCCTTGATGAAATATCTGAAAAGTAATGAGAAAATAATCACGTGTGCCAGCTCTCGATTAACTCACATGCGATCAGCGTTCTGGATGGTCGAAAGGCGGTGGGCGATAGCAATGGTGGTACGACCTCTAGCAGCTTTGTCAAGAGCTTCTTGCACGACCTTCTCCGAGTTTGAATCAAGAGCTGATGTAGCTTCGTCGAGCAGAAGAACCTTTGGATTCCGAAGCAGTGCGCGAGCGATTGCTATACGTTCTGGATCGTGATTTCAGCACAAAGAAAAGCATCTTCAATGAATGATGCCCACGTTTTTGACCCCCCCGAAAGTTGGGATCCCTTCCCACCGACTTCGGTATTGAACCCACTGTTGTTATAATGTCAGTAAGCCTCGAGTGTGCGTAGAATTGAGGTCTCACTCTGGAAGTGATTGAATAAAATCTAGTATATTGGCATCACGGCAGGCAGCCTCGATCTCTTCTTGTGTGACCTCAGATTCTGGTTTGGAGGCACCGAGCAAGATATTGAAGCGGACAGTCCCGCGTATAAAGTCTGCAAGACAAGTAGTCAGCTCTCCACCAAAAGATTAACACCACAAGCGTATTCACAGGTTCTTGCGACACAAGTGAAAACTGCTGTCGATATGCCTGGACGTTAAATTCGTCGATAATCTCTCCATCGAGCGAGATCCGTCCGGAAAGTGGATCGTAGAAACGCTCTAGTAACTGGACACTAAATGAACTTTCAGATGCCTATTCGAATACGGTACAATGGTGAGACTTGCACTGTGCTTTTACCGCAGCCGCTAGAGCCGACTAGGGCAACATAAGTCCCAGGTTCGACGGTAAGCGAGAGGCCACGAAGAACCCGGAATCCGGGGCGAGTAGGATAACTGAAATGAATGTTCTCCAGCTGTATGCGGCCCTTGATAGTTTCGCTCGGAACACTTTTGCCTTCAGTTGACTCTGCATCAATCGCAGGAGTTGAATCAAGGAGCCTGATGATTGCGTCGGCCGCCCCTTTGGCCAGTGAGACATCAGGCACAAAGGCAAAGACGTTACCAGCCTGCATAGCGCCAAATACCGTACTCTGTCAAAGTTTTGTTCACTTCAAGGATATCCGGAGGTTGACAAAATGACTATACCATCAAAGCAATGAAGAATGATTCCGTGGAAACTTCCAGCCGCGAAACGAGATCCGCGCCATACCAGAAAACTAGAGCAATTACCCAGAACCCCATGGCTTGAGAGAGTGCGAACAGCATGTTACTCCAGAGCGCTGTCCTGATGGATTTTCTAACGGGTCCTTCCAAGCTCTGTCTGTAAAGATGAAGGCAGTGTTCCTCTCGGGTCAATGACGCAACAGTGCGAATAGCCGCAGCAGCTTCGCAGGCGATCTGAGCGGAGTTTTCATGCGCTAACTTGTTCTTTCGATCTTTCAGAACAACGACTTGCTAGAAAACGTTTAGCACAACGGGAGCATATTATGCAAGTCACGTACCAAACGTATAAAGCCGGTGGACACCGAGACAGGGAGACATGCTAAATACCGACGAAATTTATAAGAGGGAGGCACGAAATCGGGAAATAGGACGCACCCATGCCAACGAGAGCCAGCTTCCAAGCATATGCATAGCCAACGGCCAAACCAGCAAGTATAGTTGTGATAGATTGGACAATTCTAGCCAAAGTCAGTAATGTCGTTGCTTCAGGAGGACTCGTGATACTCACGTCCCCAGAGTTACACCAGCAAGACCATTGATCTTCTGGGGGTTTTCGCCCAAGCGTGACGTCAGAGCGCCAGTCTTACAGAGTCCGATGAGGGTTCTGCACGAGCTGCAGAGTTGTAGGACTCACGCTGTTCTTCTCGTCGTCAAAGTACTCGACTAGTTCCATGAGCGAAAAAATAAAATTGGCAATCAAGGCACTCACTGTCTTGTCGGAGGATGGCTTTGAAGCTCATTGAACGAAGCTTGGCAGTCAAGACAGCAGCAGCAGAGGCAAAAAAGTAGTTCTGAAAACCAGTACATATGCCGTACAGAATGGCAAGAATGAAAAACCTGGCTCGAGATAAGCACCAGCACGATTCCTAGAGAATATGTAAACTCAACCAGAGAGCATTCCGGTCACCTTGGTAGCGGCGCTCAGAATTTGTGGTGGCGGAAAAGCCGGAGATCGCTTGTCCTACCTACCAGGATAAATGGCATCCGTTTATTTGGCAACAGGACTTACCATAGATTATACCGGAAGCAGGATAAGCGGCACCATTGCCTGCGGAAACGTATGAGCGCAGCTGATAATATGTGCTTCGCGAACTTACATATGGCAAACAAAGATCCGATGAAGTATCGGTGAAGCCCTTCGCGGTAAAGACCAGCAATTCGTCCCATCAAATAGAATAGACCGTAAGTTTCCGCTGGAGCCTGGTCCCCTGCTTTCTCCTTTGATTGACTGACAACTTCGCTTCTGATGGAGCGAGTGGTGCTCTTGATATCGAGGTCTTCTGGCATAGGGTTCTCCAAATCTGTCTCGTCACTTGACATCACTGCATCCAGAGCTTCATGACCCTCGCGGAGAGTTTGAGCTGTGACGAGACGAAAGTATGCGCCGTTCTCGTCCGCTAGGAGTTCCGCATGAGTTCCTCGCTCCAGTACGAGTCCCTCGCCCATTACAAGGATGCAGTCAGCATCTTTGATCGTTGACAAGCGATGAGCAATGGTAATGGTAGTTCGACCAGCAGCTGCCTTGTCCAGAGCATCTTGTACAATCCCTTCCGAGCGAGTATCAAGGGCGCTCGTTGCTTCGTCAAGAAGCAAAATCCGCGGATCCGACACGATAGCTCGTGCAATGGCGATGCGCTGTTTCTGCCCTCCTGATAACAGAAAACCTCGCTCACCAACCATAGTGTCATATCCTTGTGGTAAGAGGCTGACAAAGCTATCTGCATTAGACTTGATGCAGGCTGCTTTGATGAGCTGGAACTTTTCCTCATCAGATGCATCCTCGTATGGTGTGCCAATGAGACCATGTGCGACGTTGCCTCTGATGGTTGTCGCGAAAAGTACGGGCTCTTGTGAGACTAGACCAATCTGAGAGCGTAACCATTTGATGTTCAGCTCCCGCAGGTCAGTTCCGTCAAGCAAAACAGAGCCAGCGAGTGGATCGTAGAAGCGTTCCGTAAGAGATACGATCGTAGATTTACCAGATCCAGATGCGCCGACGAGAGCAGTGGTCTTGCCAGCTGGGAAGGTGATGTTGATACCTTTGAGAATTGGGACATCTGCGCGAGATGGATAGTTGAATTTGACGTCCTCAAACGTAATCTCGCCAGTAATTTTTGCAGGCTTTAATCCTCCTGAGTTTTCAGAGTCGATATCAGGAACACGCTCGATCGTAGCGAATATTTTTGCGGCAGCACCACAACCACGTGTAATGGCTTAAACAAAAGATTGATGAGGGTTCCGAATCAAAAGTGGGTCCAAGATTACCTTGCAATTCAGGCGCAAGGAGGGCGAGAGAGAAAGATCCGATTAAGATGGACATGAAGACATTCACAACCTGTCCGGCGTTAGCTGCCAACTGATGTCAAATGTGGTTCCACGATACAGAAACATGAACGAACCCTCGCCCTCATTTATGAGGGTAGTTCCAAAATCGAACGCCAGTGCATATGCAGCGTAGATCACGAAGAAGAGGCCGCCTAACCCAGCACCGTGCCAAATACTCGCTTTGGAGTCGACGACGCGAGTTACATCGATATTCTTATCGTAAATTCCAGACAAAACTTTCTGTGTCCCGAAAGCCTGCGCGGTGCGAACCGTGGATATGACCTCTTCTGCAAGACTACCTGCCTCAGCAACATGCTTCAAGGACAATCTGGTATTGAAGGAAGATCAGAGCTTCAGGATGAGCTCAACAACAAGTACACTCACTGCGTGTATTTGGACACAAACGATTTCATGACACCGGCTATAATCATGATGCACGGAAGGATGGACGACAATGCAAGAGCGAGACGCCATGACCGGGCATATGCAAGGATAAAACCAACGGCGAATGCGCTGATGAAAGTGACTGCAAGGGTGACTTTTTCGGATATGCCTAGTTGTACCAAATCTATTTCAGAGCAAGGTGATGTCAACCATCCACGTTTGAAAAGTCCAGTACGACTTACGAGTGTCGGATTGGATTCGCGTCGCAACCTCTCCAGCGCCGACATCATCAAAATAGGCGATTTCTTGTCTAAGGATGGCCTGAAGATACCTCTCTCGTATTCTTTTCCCATTAAGCTCTGAAGTATAAACCCAGGTGTACATGTACAGATACGTGGTAACAAACATTGCGATACCTGGTACGTGTTGAGGTGGACTGGGGCTCATTCTTATCGAATCAAGAACTTACCAATATAAACGAGATAGGAAGCATCCTGGCTAGCGCTTTGACGGAAGCCGGATGCAGCAGCATCCAATGCAGCCTGCGCCTGCTCAATGACGTTCGGATCTTGAGACTGTAGGGATTGATAGTACTCGTTCTCTGCTAAACCAAATGTAACGAAATCTTCAGTCAGTCTGCCGAATATCAAAGTCATGAGAGGCTAAAATAGAACATTAGAAGATGTAGCTTGCAAATCTGAAAACTCACCTGCGAAGCGCCAGCAGCAACAGCACATATTACACCACAAATGTCCAATATTATTTCAAAGCGAGTTGAATACCTGTTTCGATGAACTACCACGCAAAGTCGGAAAAGTGGGATGATCTAACCGAAATAGCGATAAGAAAGACACAGGGACGACTGTGTCCGCTGTATTTGCGTTTTCAGCTTCGCTCTCCATTGTCTTGGGTTCTTTCTTTGGCCAGGGGAGATACGCTCGGATGCCTTTAGAATTTTTCTTCATTTCCAGAGCGACGTGTTCTGGGGTTGCGAGCTCGTTTGAAATGGCAGGATTCTTCTCGTCGGGAAGGCCCTCCAAGGTAGGTGGTGCAAGTGGGGCGGATTCTGCAGTCATGTTCTAGAGCAGTTTGGGCCGACAGCTGCAAGGAACCCATGCGTTTATCTAGGTCATTGCGGTTCCCGGCAGCCGACGGCGTCAGGCCACTTCCCACGCGCCAAGACAGTCATATGCGGTAGGAGCTGCGGAACACTTAGTGGACGTACGCGTCGTTGCGGCCTAGAGGATCCTCCTTCCACGTATGATCAAAACACATGCAGCGTGTAACTGATGCCCATTCCTTATTCACACGAATGTCAGGACACGGCTGATCATGAAGTAGCATGTTACTGCAAAGTTGTTTTTTTTTTTTTTTTGAATTTCCTAACCTACCGCGAAGTCCGCTACCAAGACATACCAGAAACGTCGACATTGACTTGATCAGACTCGGAGGCAAATTGAAGGCAAGTCAATGATTTGCCGGATTCCAATGGGATGCTTATGTTATTCCGTTGGATCCCTAGTAGCAAACTGTCAAGTAATGTTGAGGCTGAATGGATACAACCGCCTAAATTTAGAACATGTTCTCGATGATAACACAATTTCCAATACTGTCAGTACTTATAAAGTACTTTCGTCTGTCTATGATTCATTAATCATTTCTTATTGCCCTTACGTATGGGCGGCGAATTCAAGTAGGCTTGTTTCAGTGGTAAGCAGTGTCTCACTTGTATTTCTCATACCAAGTATCATTGTCTCAAAGTTCTCTTTCTGTCGCCAAGTACATGGCGGCTTGTCATCTCATACACTTGTGCATCAGGTCGACAACATCAATCGCCTTTTCCGATTTATCTCCTTTTGTACAGCTGTCATTATCCGCTCCGTGGGCTGTGCCCGGAGAGTTCTTAGGAGCAACCATTAAACGTCGCATAGCCCTCGGGCATACCATTGTAGCCGGTCAATTCACGGTATATACAAGGTAATGAACAGATAAGTTCAACTTCTTTACGCACCATAGTAATCACCCTCTTTTCTTCACAACCGCGCCTCTGGCCTGGCGGTCCTCGAGGCCCGTTGCATTCTACGCCTTGCTGTTTAACAACGCTCCTGGTAGAGCCGTTCGAATTCATCACTATGACATATAAGTTGTCGTATTTCTTTTGGACACCCCGGCATATTAAGATCCCAGGAGAGATCAAGCCGGTCAGGCGCCAGAGCTCTATAAATTTGTGAGCGACTCCGAGTGTTATTGGCTTGTCACAGAATTTGAATAGCTTCGTCCACATTTAGTGCTGATATTCCTTCCCCTTGGAATAATCACCTCTCAGCAATAAGAAGGTCGTTGGAGAATAATGAATGAGATCCCGCTATTTGGGCGCCCTGATGGGCTTCGGATAAATCTGGAGTGCTATCAGTCATGTATTGTTAGATTTTGCAGAACCTGATATCTTGGATGAGAATTATGTGTATAACAGGGGTCGCTGTGTCAATAGTGGAAGAGATAGTATGTAGTATCAAATCAACATAAATATTATGACGGGAACAAAATGCAATGTCAGTGAACTCTCCAAAAGATTAATGTAGTCAAAGTGTAACAACGGAAAAATCAAGTCCCAGTAAGCATAGAATACAGGTTCCACAAGGTCAGCGACTACCAAATGTCTGCGTCAAAGTGCTGATCTAGTAGTGTTAGCCATCAACTAGGGCTTGGAGTAGTTGGGAAACCTGATAAGTTGTCAACGGATGCGGATGCACTGTTGAACATCGCTTTTAGCGCCAACTCGTTCCTTCTCTGCCGCACTCTATCCACCTCTTCCGCTCCGCCTGTCATTCGCAGTTTCTTGCCACCCACAAATCCTGTCAGCTCCTCCTGAAATTCGTCAGACCGGCTCGCGAGTTCTCGTTCCCGGTTTTTCTGGTTGGCCTCGATTGCTTTCATCCGTCGCTCCGGGTCAACCGCGGCGCCCCGAATCTCCATCATCACAGTATTCAGGCCAGTATGCCCCTCCTCCGCTGGAAGAGGCTTGAATCCGCGGCCTCTGATATTGCGTCCGGGAGTGGCGCCGCGGATAGAAATGACCTTATCAACATGCCCAAACACGTCCACCAAAGCTTTGTGGTCTTCCAGAAGATCGGTCAAGAATTCTTCTTGATGACCGAGGAAGCCCTGTTCTTCTACAATGTTCTGCAGCTCCTCTTCCCACGTCTTCTTCCACATTGGTCTAACAGTGTCGATGTGCTCTTTGAGACTCGCCAGCTCTGTAGCAGTGGAAGCGATGTCCTCTTGAATCTGCTTCACTAGTTGAGGCTTGGGTGTCATGTGGCGCTTGAGAACGTCATCCCGCAGTGCCTCCACCGTGTCCTGCAACTCCTCTACCTTTGTCAGCACGTTCTGACTCCGAGAGTCCAACTTCGTCTTCCCCTGATCTATGAAGCCCCGTGCGCCGCCAACTTTGATAGAGGCTAACTGCTTCACGGACTGTGTCTGTGTCCGCAAAGCGCCCAATGAATCCTTTGTCGATTTCATGAACTCCGTGTACAGCTGCCTCATGATTCCTAGATCACGTCGTAGGTTCTGTACCTCGTCGAATTGCGTCTTCAAATCATCCACCACTCGATTGGAGTACTCGGACATCACCGAGGCCCCCGTCATTTGTGGCTGTAGTTGAAGGGACTGTCCAGTCATCTGAGGCAGCATGAATGGACTGCCGCCCGAACTCACGTCACCCACGATGCGTGATAGCCTACGTGCGACATTATGTAGTTGCCTTTCGGATGGTCGATCTGCCCTAGGTGTGCTCTCGACGAAGTCATGGGCAATGATAGGATTCACGTGGGACGATCGACGGTCGTTTGAAATTGCGGTGCGAAGTTCTTTGAGATCATTAGACAATGTTGATATCTGAGTGTCGATGTGTTGCTTGATTTGATCGAGCGCTGAATACAATATATCAGAATGAAAGCATAAAAATGAAACCGCGCTCACGTTCGATGTTGAGAGATAGTAGGCATTTCTCCTTCACCTCCTCGATATCCTCCAATTCATACTGCACGCCGCTAGAGGGGTCGCGTATGTATATCGCAGGAAAATTCTCCAGGCCCGGATTATACGAGAACTTGTCCACGAATAACATCCGCAACGACGAAAAGGACAAACCAGGTTCGATGGTGACCTTCTTGACTTCTCGTCCGACTTGTAAGAAAACTGAGAACGTGATCGGCGAAGTAGATCCAGGTATTTCTTCAAAGATCGTTGGCTGGTCTGTCATGTTGTCTGCTTTAGACAGCGTACGAGCTCGTTGAGAGCGTGCGGATTCTGTTAGTGGAGGCAGTGGAGGAACAGGAGGGGCTGTCTCCACCTCGGCTATGGGCGAGGGTGTTCGCGCGATCGATCTGTTAGACCGCGCGCTGCCGGTACGCTGGACGTCCTGTTCATCCACTTCTGTTAGAACCGCCAAGTCCCCTGGCGTCAGCAATGGCCCTGCTGCCATAGACCGCCGGTTACCTGACCGCTCCCGTGAACCTGTCATTTTCGTGATATTGTACGTCGAAAAGCGCTTCGACGCGCGCCGCTCGAGCACGTCACTCTTCTTCAATGCAGCCAGGGAGCTGGCAACTGCAGGTGCTTGCAGACTATCGATAGGAGGAGTTTGTGGTGAGGGGATTTCGGCAGGAGCGGGAGGAGCCTCATCTATCAGCACTGCAGGGAGTGGCGGAGGTGACAAGGAAACTGGTCTGTCGACGAGCGAATAACGTTTGACGGAGGCAGGCACGGGGATACTCTGAGGAGGTGTTTGTGGCAAATTCTTGTCCGACTCGCTAGGCGGGACATGATGTGGAGTTGCTGCTAAAGAAGGCGCGACCAAGGTTTCTGATGAGTCGCGCGAAGGCCCATCGGACTTGTACGTGTTTTGTGATTGTCGTGCTTGAGGCTGTGCTGAGCTTCGATTGGTATGCCCATTGACACTGTTCGTGATCGTCTTTTCATTAGGCGGTGTTTCATCGTCAGGTTCGCGGAATATGGGTGGCGGGGATGCTGGCGGGGGCGTCTGCGTCCTCGGGTCTTGTCGTCTTGCTGACGATCTTGTTGACTGTCTTGTCAAACTGTCCCTATCCCCCTCTCCTTCCTCCTCCAATACGCTACGCGAAAGCTGCGACCGATGTCTCGAATCGTCATCACGCCGTGAAGCTTTGTCAGACTTTGATGAGCGACTGTCCGTCCGCGAGTGGGATGAGCGATGTCGGCTCTGGTGCTCTGACACGATCCGACGGTACATGGACTGCTTACCGCGGAGACCCTGAAGGAGGTTGGTGATAATCTTGCGCACTGTGGGCAGATACACGTTGAGGTTGTCTGGTGTGGCCTCCTCTGCTAGGCAGGTTTCGAGGACCTCTCGTAGGTCTTCGGGCACGGACATTAGGTCTCTATTGGGTTATACTTAGCAGTTGAGGGTCATGTATACCTGCAGGCAAAGGCACGCACGACATATCGATATTAAATGCAGCAAACGCAGCCACAGCGGCGTTGAAGTCATTCCCGAGGCGGACGTAGACGTCGCTCACCTGGATCTCATCCATTTTGCCGGTGCTCCATTGGGTGAGGGATTCAAGAAGCTGTTTGATAGCCACGAGAAGGCGTGTGACAGCAGACTCGACTGCGGGCTACAACCTGGGTAAGACACTTATTACATTGCAGATAAGTGCGCTTACATGTGCGTGCGAACGACTGCTACGTGAAGAGGATGAACCTGAAGAATGAGTAGAGGCTACTGACTGGTGGTCACGCCGTGAGCTATGCCCTGCATAGGGCTGTGGTGGCGGCGTTGACCTCATTGAGGACATTTAGGAGCACAAAGGAGGTCAGTGCGCAGGTAGGCGCTTTATGCCAAGCAGCCAGGAGTATTCAGGTCAGGTCTTTCGCTACCCTTTTCTGCCATGAGAACATATTTCCAAATTAAGCCACTCAGTCGCCATCAATGATCAATGCAGTGGTGCTAGTGGTGCACGGCTGGAACATTGAGCTGAGATCTGAGAACGGATACTTTATGTAAAGAAATTTCATTGCGTAGAGCGGTGTTACATAGAACAAGACAAGTTATCTTAAAAGTCGCTGATTCTTACGCCCGATCACCGTATGAGTTCTTTAGAATCCAAGAGCTATAAATGTGAACAAGATCATACCAAATGTACATACCCGTGGCGAACACGAGAACATGGCCAGGCCACTAATTATAGCTTACATCGTACATGCCCTTTGCCCAATAATTCTACGATCGTGGGTTGAATAATGGTGCCCCTGGTCCAGCTAGGATATAGCTATTGAGGATCTCGTCTTTCTCTGTGCGTTTGTACGTCCGGATAGTTTCTCCATAATCGGAGACTTCGTATATTCGGAACCGCCGGTCAAACCTGAGAGTAGAGTAAGCCAAATGAAGACGCAGACACATAGATATTCAACCCACCCGACCCGCCCATACCCAGAGTACGACCTGCGTCATAAAATGAACACAACGACAGATAAAGACACGGTGCACCACTTACCCTCCACCTCCAAAACATAGCCATATATCATTGACACGTTTGCAGTCCTCCGTGACTAGGGCACTACATCAGATCCAAGATCAGGGAGACTATGCTGAAACTTACCGTGGCAGTGTCCATTTGCAACCACCTTCACTTCGGGTATGCCTCCACTCGTAACGTGCCCACTCTCCAGTGCTGTCTTTAAACCCTTGTCGAACATTCCATCACTCTTCTTCGCAGCACCGGATTCTTCCAGATCGTGCACACCGATGTCTAGCAGTTGGCCAGTACGCACGTCCCTGTCTGCTGTACCGTACGACTCTTGCCTAGGGAAAAAGTAATGTTACAAGTGACAAAAACGGCGTAACAATGAACCCACAAAGGAATGTGGAAGAACATAATAGCATTGGGCTTGGCTAATTTGCGCGTCGTGGGCGTGATCTGATCGGCCTGTCTGGTCCATATGGAACCAAAGTCCTTGCTGGTATCCGGAGTGAACGGACGCTCTATGGGTTGGATCTTGGAAGATTCTTGCAAAAACCAGTTAATTTGGTCCTTGAAAAATATGAGCGCAATTGACATAATGGTATCAAGGGACACCGACCTCGTGTATCCAGTCGTACTCTGTTGGGAAGAAGTACCCGAGCCAGTCCAAGTAACCGCTCGCGTAGGATCCAGAGTCCAGGAAGTACAGTGTCAATAGTGATGTCATGGAGCTATCAAAGGGGCTCAGCTTGTACTCTGACACCGTCAACCAGGACTACTCACGCATCGGCACTCTTGACGTTGAGAACGTAATTTCCAACACCGTGAATATCTTTCGGACCCCTCTGCACCATGGAATACGGAAGGGCCTCCATCATACGCAATTGCTCCTGCTTCACATCGCCGTTCTCCTCGTCATGATTGCCGAAGATAGCTGCCCAAGGTATCTTTCGATCTGTAGCTGCCACCGCAAACTTTGCTAGAACAGATTTGGGATCCCAAGACGTTCCTTGCCCATTAAGCTGGTCACCGGAGAAGACAATAAGGTCTGGCTTTTCTTCGTCCAGAACGTGTCCGAGAAGTGTATTGGTGAGATTATCGGAGTTGACGCAGGGATCAAGGTCAGTTTCCCGACAAACGCCCCTGGACACAGAGAAATGCAGGTCTGCGACTTGCAAAACCTTGAATTTTCCGTCCCGCGAGAAGTGTAAAGGATGTGCGCGAGGGACCGCTGCAGACCAAACTCAGTCCAGTATTGGCATAAAGGCTGTTCATGCTCACGCTGCACGCCGCGCCGGTACATCACATACACGCTCTCTAGTCGCCCCTCCTTCTCCGGAGTTACGGGAGGCTCTAGTTTCTCAAATCCGTACCAAGGTCTGTCCTCCCCGAAGAGTACGTCGACCTCGGTAATGAGATTGGCTTTCTCTTCCGTATTCATTTCATTCATCGTTTTACCCGGGAGGTACCAGAGGTACAATGGTTCCGCACGCATAATTCCATCACGTATGGAATGTTCTACTTTTACCCAGGGATCTGTGAGAGGTTCGGGGATTTCATTGGCAGGAAGCAGGCGCAAGTCGGTAATGAGAGGTATATCAAGACGGCGCGTCCGCCTGTAGTAGATGTTCTGAAGTAAATTTGGTGAGTCACGGAATATGTAACATGAAATAGTGGTGCGTGCATACCAGAGTCCAGAGTCCAGCTTGCTTGTTAAGATCCCGGTCCACTCGAACCCAGTTACCCTTGATGGCATCCTGCTCGACGGTTGTGGTGGGTGTGCAGAGGTCCCCGACAAGACTCGGTGGCATCATACAACGCGTGATGGCAATTTCAGACACTATACATAAAATTGAATTAAGTTCCTGACAAAATTGGCAAGCACACGTACGACCGGTATCGTGAGGTAACAGCGGAGCCCATACGTCAAGGGGGTAACTCTCTATATCATCGGTAGCATCCCAGGGCTGATTGGATGCGATTTCCCACCAGTCTGTCTCGTCATCGTTGCCCGGAATTGGTTGGGCCCCCTCTGGATCACCAGTGACTACTGGTGTAGAAGGTTCCTTATCGAAGTAGTCGACGGTGGCAACGGCATCCCAAGCTTGCCAGCCTAGACGCTGGGCAATCCCAGGTCCGACGGTGGGCTGGTATAATACGAAGAAATATGTCAGGAGGCATGAGAAGCCAATGACAGCTGCTGTGGGGAGCAATATGCCCCTCATAGATCGGCCAACGCGAGATAAAAACGGAGCCATTGTGGCCCGTCAAGTTCTAGATAAGTGAGCGACCACGGTCAATGGATTTAAAAGAATTAGTGAACAAATTACCTATATGAAGGTGCTGACCAGGAGCGGTCGTACTGAGAGCCTGCGTGTTCAATGTAGGAAATGAGGGGTCACATATCCAAATCGAGCAAATAATTGGGGTTAGGCTACAAATTATTACGGGGGTTTCCTCAGAAGGTTTCTTTTCCGTTCATTCCAATATTTTTCGCGAATGCAGGCTCTGTGTCGTGTAGCTCGTCGTCTCTACTCGACGCAACCACCAGAAAGGGCTGCCAGCGCCTTGCCAAAGCTTGCAGCCGCTGCCAGAGATGCCTCAGCTCCAATGGCCGTTCGTGAACGTCGCGAACGCAAACGGGCCTACCTTAAACCTCCCACCGACAGCGACCTCACCCCGTCAGAATACTCGGGCTACAGAAGAGCCCTTGCCAAAGGCGAGCTGATGGATCAGCAAGGGAGAGACATGACGGAAGCTCAATGGCTTGACGCCCTCAACGAACGGCGGACGCGTCTTCGCGGTCTGAAGGTCACAGACAATAATGGAGAGAAAGAATTGCAGGTGGTCGGTCAGAGAATTTATCTCCCGAACATTATATTCCGCATGGTGCGCAACCACACACCCACTGGAAAACCCTATAACCCCTACGAAGCCACTTTCCGAGTTCCAATGTCTGTCACGAAAACCGACGTACGCTCATATCTATCTGCCGTATATGGCGTTAAAACTACCTACATCCGAACTGCCAACTACTTCTCGCCATTATATCGCAAATATAATGGGGCAAAGGCGACGAGATCATACCGGACATACAAGCGTGCCATCGTCGGTCTTGTAGACCCATTCTACTATCCTGAAGCAATGGAAGACATGGCTGCAGAGGACAGAAAGAAACGAATGGAATGGTTGAACGAGAAGTTTGCATTAGATGCATTGAAGAGATGGAGGAGGCATGAACTGGTGCGAACGTCCTTGTCGGGGAGCAAGAACTGGCGCTTCACTGGTCATCTGCGGAGGGATAAGATTCTGAAGGCAGTCGCCAGGAGTCGTTCAAGAATGCTGCGAGAAGTTGAGGACGTGAAAGAGGAACTGGCAGATAAGCGGGCCAAGGGGATTCCCATCTTCTCTGACACTAAGAGGGGCTCTAAATGGAGGGAGGCGCTTCTTGCAAATTAGATCCAACAGTTCTACTACTGTGATATTTTTATTGCATTAGGCTCTGATTGTTTTGTTGTGAGCCTATCAGACCGTCTTCGAAGGAAGAAATCGCAAGGCCTAGGGCCTAGTGCATGCGGGATGCCAGACTAGCATGATAATCAATGATGTCACATTTTTGCCATTACACACCATATCGCCTTAGTAGCCGAAGGACTGCTTTCGTTCCTTGCCATCATGTTGTCACATTGACAACATATTGACAGCTTGAAATTATTCACACTCACTGCCATGATGTGATGATGGGCCCAGCCTGAGTCAGGGCCAGTCTTGCCCAGTCATTGACTGGTGACAGATACTGAAGAATTGAAGTAGTCAAGGTCGGATTCAATCCTCGTGAGGGCCGTCTTTGGTCTTTTGTGCTGACTCCCAGTGCACCGTCAGACAGTTGCCCAGCATAACCAGGATTCACGACTAGATGTTCACGACAATTGGGCTTTCCATTACGACTATTTTTGCTCGTGGCTGTTCTCAGAGCAACCGAACCTGTGGATCGCTCATGCGCGCAGTACTGATTGGAGCATGAAACTTGTTATAATGCTCAAAAGGGAGCTGCATAGGTCCACTGCTTCCCATCCTTTTTTCTTCCGCTATCAACTCGCGGGCTCGAGTCATTAATACTTCTTTTCTCCCCCAGACTGCAGGCAGTCTGTCTTTTTAATTGATTTGTAAATTTGCTTTCTAGAGCGTTATGTTTGCTTCAGTTAGCCTCACGACCCTTTTGTTCCTTCTGCTATCCCAGGATGCATCGGGAGCACCAACAACATCAACGGCTGTCGTAGGGCGGAGCATGCCTATCCGCAGGCTTAACCCTTCTTCACAGAACTTCACACTGGTGGCTCAGCAAGCAAAAGACCAAAGAGATGTGCTTGTTGTGAAGTATAGTGGCCAGTCGCTTCAGCAGAGGGGTACTGGGTATAACCTGTGTGTAAAATCTTTCATGTCCCAAGTGTTTCATCCTCAACGCCACGCGTATAGCATCGTCAATCAGGGAATTGATACCGGGTGCGCAGAAAGCTCTGTCATCCAGCACGCTTTTGTAATCAGACATTTTCAATAGCTACTACGGAACCATAGCAATTGGGACGCCGCCAGTGTCCTATGATGTGATTCTCGACACCGGTTCGTCGTGAGTACAATAGTGAATTTCTCGGCGCAAATCGCTTAGAACAAGTTTCTCCAGCGATCTCTGGCTGACTAGCTCTACTTGCGGAGCAGGCTGCGGAACTAGCCCTACGTATGATCCTGCGAAATCGTCTACTTTCCAAAATCTCTCGACACCATTTGAGATTCAATATGGCTCTGGCGCAGTGGCTGGTTATGTTGCTGAGGAAACTGTTCAGATGGCTGGTTTCTCGGTGGCAAAACAAGGCTTTGGTACGTTGCCATGCACACCGAGTGCTTGACATACATGTGACAGAACTTGTTAGGCGTTGTCAATGCTCTTTCGTCAGCCTTCAACACGAACCCTGTATCAGGAATAATGGGTCTTGCCTGGAGTACACTTTCTTCCACGCAACAGACGCCCTTCTGGCAAACTCTAGCTAGCGGTGGAAGTTGGGATTCTGCGTTATTCGGGGTACAGCTCACACGGTATGTGGAGACTGACTAATTTCACTATGTTTCCCTGACTCGTAGCTGGTAAGCTATGGCAATGTGTCTGGTGCAGCTCAAAACGAGCCAGGAGGAGTTATTGACATGGGTGGGTACATTCCTCCCACGTTATGCTCTCCAGTCTAACGTGACCATTTGACAGGTTACACCAACAGCAGTCTCTACACGGGATCAATTGAATACCATAACCTTGTCGGAACACCGCAATACTGGGAGATTAACATGAACAGTAAGTAGAATTCAAAATATATATTACAGCTAACTGACGTGTTTGATAACCTAGCATTGACTGTACAGGGAAAGTCCATTGATATCGCAGGGATCTCGACTGCTATCATCGACACTGGAACCACCAACATTGCAGGCCCCGCCAGTGCTATTGCGAGTATCTACGCACAGATCCCTGGATCACAAGCAGGAACGGGCCAATTGGAAGGATATTACACTTATCGTAAGCGTCAAAACTGTCATGCAGTTTGTTAGTTGACAGGACAACTTCAAAACTAGCCTGCAGTACGACGGTGAATGTACAGTTCAATTTTGGTGGCAACGATTGGTCAATGAGCTCCGCGGACTTCACGCACTCCCAGGCCAGCACCACGGAGTGCCTTGGGGCTTTCTTCGTATCCTCAATCGGCCAAGGAGGCCCTTCATGGATTATTGGCGACGCATTCCTTGTGAGTTTCCATCACTGGTTCTACGTTCTCTGGACAGCGTCTGATTGATACACAGAAAAACGTTTACTCTGTCTTCAAGTACAGTCCCGCCTCTGTTGGTTTTGCTGCGCTGTCAGAGACTGCTATCGCTCAGGATGGTATCAAAGGTGCTGTACCATCCCCGACAATCGGCGCTGTGACGGTTGCCACAAACACTGGTGCTGCGTCAAGTACTGTGTCAGGAGCCGTGCCAAGTGGTTCTTTGAGTATATTGCTATGTTTCTGGCTAGCCTCTGCATCGATAGCTTTTTTGTCCTGGTGATTTTGTTGATACGGACATCTGACATAATTACAGGTTGTGTTAATACGGACATTTTACATGATTATCCATTCGTTGCAAGAGAACTTATGCTGGAGTCATACTGACCAGATCAACGCGAGTGCCGTGAACCTTACTGGCACGCTTGCCGCCGCCGCCGCATCTGGTGACAGCATGCCCGCCTCTGGCGACTCCCAGGTCGATAAACCATTGCCATATTCGATCACTCTTACCGGGTGCAAGCTCCGCGATTGGTAGCTCGCCTTAGACGACCATTCGGCGCGTTTTTAGAAGATAATCGGAATCGCTTCGGATCATGATGATATCATTGCCCAAGTCAAGGACAGGGCTTTTGTTCCCCAAAGGACAATAAACAAGGACAAAAAAAGGCTTTTGTTCACGACATGATGGACGTCATGACCCTAGAGACATTGTAGTATGCATTTCAACTTTTCAAGAATAATGAATGTTAATGAGTCACGATCCCCCGCATCTCGGTGACATTCCCTCCATCTTCCCCTGATACAGAGCGTCTAGAGAGTATTTATATCTGGAGTCTTCCACTGTCAGGATTTCTCTTATGGCGGCTATAGGTTTCAAGTTCGACATACATTCCATGTCTAGTAGCAAATTGAGCCACCCAATGTAAGGATAATGCAACAAAGCCCTATGCCGGTCTTATCTCATCTATCTCGTCCTGCATACCTTGAATCTTCGTCCAAACATTCTGGAGTGGGCACTCATTGATGCCCTAAGTTCGGCCTCACTTAACTTCACAGCCTCCTCAGGCTTCGCAACTATGTCACTTAAGCGTGACGCCAAGTTGTTCAGCGTATTTCATGTTCGGCTTCGAAAGGATATTGAAGTTGTCTGTCAGTTTGCACAAACACGCTAAACTTGTCCGCGACAACACCAAATTAGTGTGCAATTACTACTTGAGATATCCCACAAATTCGAAGCAGTAACGACCTACATTTCTTGGAGATATGGCACGAGAGACTTTGAGGAGACTCGTGGCATGTTCATCTATGTCTACGCGTGACTGTCACAAAGACACAGCTCATAGGCACAAAGTAGCGATCTAAATATTCAAGGCAAATCCTCAGGCCTGCGCATTAGTGCCCAGTGTATATCAATTACTTGCAAAGGGTCCACAGCCAACTCTGATCAGTGATAAACCTACAAAAAAGGTGCAGCTATCTAGCCGTTTCTTGAACTTTCTTCGTCTTTCATCAGGCCGCTACTAGCGCTGGCTCAGCGCTAGCCTGACCGTAGCCCTGGGGTGTGAGGGGAAGAACTGTAACTTCAGCATGGCTGAATGTCCTAACTCCAGTCCTCGAGATTCTCAACCTAGACTTGCAATTTGGGTCGGGACAAGCAACTTCGGCATCCGTGCTCATCCAATCATTTGGGTGGGTGACGCGCTGCTTAGCTGCTAGAAGCGGTAGAAACAGCACCTAATTACACTCTGGTGAGTAATGGTAATGAAACTGAAAGAAGTAACAATCAGGATACTTACTGAGCGAGTAAATTGAAAATGCTTGTCCAGGTGGGAGATGAAGCATCTCTCCTTCGAGGATAAAATGATCACCCTCTTTCGCTCCACATAGTATACGTTCCCCTGGCGGGCATATAACCTCGACACGGAGATCATACAGCTGGAACGTATCAACTGGCGGGGATGATCTGAAGTTGCCCATTTGACGGAAGCGTTCGGGACAACAGCTGAACGGATGCAATGGTGGGCGCTTGATGCAGATCAGTTTCGCGGCAACTTTACCAGTCCATAGATTACCGACATGCTGCCAGGTTGATCGTGATCATTCTCGTACGATGAGATCGACAGTGGAGTGAAAGCAGGCGTGTAATATCAGGTGACCACGCAGGTGACAAGTTGAATATAAATATTAATTCATATGGACACGAGGTCAAGGGAGTGAGCGCTAAAGTTTACTTACCGCTCCCACTTTAGACGTTGCAAGGCCCTGAAATCCAAATTAGGAATTTGCGACAACACAGTGTCACTCACTCAAACACGGCAACTCTCCCTATGCATTGCCTGCACTAAGTCTCAATAGGTCCATCCTACCCGGCCCAATCAACTCACGAGTCTGCGGAGGTCTGCGGAGATACGCAGTACGTCCACTTCGGAAGCCTCCTCCATATTTATTTGTCCCTTTTTTTTGTCATCCAGATTGTCCTACCGATGGGGTGAGCCAATCGCAGGTACCCGTACCCATACTTACTACCCGACCACAATTAGACCGCGGGCAAGCCTCCAGCGCCTCAGTCCTAACAGGCGGTCTCTTAGGAGCGTGATTCCAATACAGTTGTCTATGCCATAATGTATATGCCCTTAGTGTATATTTTCAATACTGTATCGAGTTTTCAATGGTCCCACTGTGGGACAGTGAGAAAATCGATGCATAATGTATATTGTATAATGTATTGACCTCGCATGCCTATTATACATTATCAGACGGCACTTTTGGAGGTGGGGACCATTGTCAGTGCCAGCTATTGTCCACACATCATATGAAAACCCCATGTATACATTTTTGGTAAACCACTATCCTTAGACGAGCTGCTCGAGCCGGCTGAGGAAAAACAAATCGGGGATTCCCTTGGGTTCGACTTGAATGGTGAGGACATGGCCATTGTTGTTGCAGTCAGTCGAGAGATCGCTGAGAACCAGGGTGAGGTGATTGAAGCTGATTCTGATGACGACTCGGAAGAAGATCATGATGCGGCCCCAGAGGTTTCCCGTGTAGAAGCACTAGCGCTATGTCAGCGGCTCGAGGGAGCATGCCTTCAGCATGGACATTCTCAGGACTCAACACACACACTTGATTTGTTAAAGCAAATCCGTCGTTTCCGTGCCCAATTACAACGCGAGGAGCTATTCCATGCGAGGCAGACGACGTTAGATTCGTTTTTTAAGTAGATATGTACTCTAGCACCTTTGAATTTCGACGCTGTTGAACGGTGTCACATGTGTTCGTCACGTTTAGTCACAATGTGTGACATCGGTCCTTCTGTATAACTTTGATAATGTATAGGTGTGAGGTGGGTCCTCGACGTTATACGTTATGGGATAGACAACTGTAGTTCCGAAGTTCTAATATCTTCAAATGAGTTTTTTTTTGAATCCTTGTTTATTGTCCGTTGGGGCGATGCCCTATGTTGGACGCTACGTGCTATGTGATGCTACATTATGCGTTCCTCGTTCGTAATTTGATGTCTGTGTTCTACAGTGGTTCTCGCCTGCGCGAGAACTGTGAGGCCTTCTTCAAGTAGGACGCCGAATATGGTAAGGGGTGGTTGCTTCCTTCGAACCGGCTAGCTCGTTTTCCTTCTCCTTTTCTTTTTTTCTTCTTTTTTTTTTTTTTTTTTTTGGGGGGGGGGGGGGGGCGGCGTCTCCAAACACCGACTCTAGTCTCCTCGTTCTTGCGATGTACGTGAGTGTTGCTCTCATTCCTTTTCGTTCGCTTAGAAGGTAGCTGATATTGCATTGGCGGGAGCCGACTTCTCTTGTTTTCAAATGGGATGATATTCAATCTCATATTGAATAGACAGCCATGCCCGTACGTATCGATATGTGACCATCGTTAACTCAGCTTTGGCGCTACTAGATAGGAACTCATGCCCATCGCTTCGAAAGCTGTATCTGGTGAAACAAAATGGTATCAAGCCACGTCACTTGCTTACAGGAACCTCATGGGTATCTGGTACGTATGTAAATAAAATTCAACAAAAATCACCGTTGTGGCGCATTCCAAAGAGGAACGTCGATTTTGCGGCGCGTTTCTTGCACTATGTATGGAGAACGCGGCAGGTGCATTAAATTGTAAGCCCGAACCACGTATAGAAGCAGTCATCAACTCAGTCTCAATAGGTCCATGCTACCCGACCCTCTCCATATTCATTTGTTTCTCTACTTCGACATGCAGGTTGTCCTGCCTGTACGGGTCAGCCAATCACAGGTACCCGTACCCGTACCCGTACCACCCAACCCACGATTCGACCGCGTGGGTACCCGGGTAAGCCTCGCCTGTGTCCCTATCAGGGATTGCCGAGTGATAGTAACATGGTACCATGAACTCAAATTTAGTTTTCCGTGTCGTGCTACAGGGAAAAAAAATCAAGCATCAACGTAATGATCGGTTTGTGCACATCTTCCCATTGCACGCCATGTGATCCAGCGTGTAATGTTGTGGAATGCTTGCTATCCGGCTGCAGGAAGAGTGAACCACCTGTTCATATGTTGCTGGATATTACAGCAAGAGCTGAGCTAATATCAAATATTCTCACTGAGAGCTCTCAGCCTGGGCCTCTCTCAGGACATACTAATACAGATTGAGAATAGCACAACATCCGACGGACCAATGACTGTGATTCATATTGAGACCTTAACCGTTATATTCTCGAGATGAAATTTTGCCATTTTATATTCCTGATAGATCATAATTTCTATAGTAATACAGCAAAGTTGTACATAGTATCTCGGACGACTCCATGAGCAGATCCACGACTGTTATGATGGGATTAGATATTCACGACATGGGCCATGTACTTGGAGATCTTGCTGTTGGCATCAGCTCTGGCCCGCGATCCTGAACTCTATGAGCATAGTATCTACAAGATCATAAACCTGGGTGAGTGCTAGACCAGCGGCGGCCCTGTCCACCACCATTAGCCAATCATCGAATAGATCTATCAGGAACTTGCCCAATGATCTCCAGCTCTTCCAAGGTTCGTTCCTTGCTATTGAAAGCGAACCACATAGTCAGGTCTGTTTGGTACGTGTTGTGACTGCCTGCCCCGAAGTTCGGCAACATGGGTTCAGGGGCCTTGGGGATCATGAATTCAGAAATACGTCAGGCTGCATTCCGAGACTCACAACGCTCGATCCTTTAGTTCCTACACCAGGTCTTTGCAATGTGTGAAACATCACGCAATCGTCTAGCACGACATAATGGTTTTGGAGTAAATATCACATTGAACCGCAGATAGCACTCACGGATTAGCACTCGGCTGTTTGGTCCCATTGCCTTGCGAATGTTACGGAGGATCGTCGTTGCCTCAGCGTCCGGCCAATTGTGGAGAATGTGCCTCAACTACGCAATAAGACCATCAAATTACCGGCGACGAATAGAAACGAAATTAGGCACCTACATAGTAGACATCTTTCCCAACAACAGGTGCGTCCTCGAGAAAATTAATTGGGATGAACTCCACGCGGCCGTCAAGCAATGTCTCAGGAGCATTCTTCTCCCATGCCTAATCAGATATCAACGATGTGCCCGCTGGAATACCTATGTGTACTGGATATCTGAACTCACATTTTGTGCTTGTGCCATGACTTTCGGGAGATCTTGATTGATTATTCTAAGGTGAGGGAACATTTTCGCTAGAGGAGTGGAAAATGTTCCAATGCCAGATCCGACATCCATCACAGACGATATATCGTTCCAAGGATAGTCTTACGACCTGCCTCTCAGACATGTTAATGATTCGAAAATTGCGATGGCTTACGGTGTAGCACTGCAGAAGCGCCCAACACCTCACTCTGGCCAAGCATGGCTTTGTGGAACACCTATAAATAGCATCATGAGCCATCACTCGAGGTCCGAGGATGACTATACACACATCACGTTTCTCTTGCTGAAATGTGTCAAGGTACCGAAGGGGTAGTGTGATGACGAAAACTCACATTATTCTCCATCGCTTCGTAGTAGGGATCCTTCATGCCCTCCTTTCTGAAGGCACATACCCGGGGCGCTTTGTCGAGCTCATGCGATCTTGAAAATTCTTCGTCGATCATAGTTTCATACACAACTTCGGCAAATTTCGGACCATCCTGGCTATGAAGTTTCGTATAACACCCAACGTTGTTCGCTGACTTGAGTATGAGGGATAGTCGGTTGTTTGCGAAAATGTCTCGCTCGACTGTTTGACGCACTACCTGTTTCAGAGACAATCCTCAACCAACAGTATGAATATAACCTTCTTTAAAGCAGCCCATGAGGGTCAAAGCTCGTAAGACGCGTGCAGTCTTGACCTTGTCGAGGTTGACCGCTTCAGCCAGCTTATCCACGCTAAGGCCTTCCGGATGTTGGTGCAGAACATCTGCAAGACGCGCTCGGAAGGCAACGCCTGTGCACGCCCAGTTGTAATTGAAAACAAGCTAAGGAAATTAACAACAGCCTGAGAGCAGAGATCATTTGCACACGACACTCACATTCATCACCGTGTGCTGGGGGGGCGCTAGTATTGAGCTCAGTTGATGGTATGCGCCTTCGAGCAGTCTGATCGCCTTTTTGAGGGCAAGTGTATCTGTCGTCAGGTCGAGGGAGTGGAAGGTTGTTGCATCAGCACTGGGGACGCCATGTCCGGTTTTCTTGTACTCTGCGATTGCTTGGTGCGCGGAGGAGTTGATGATGTCCAAAAGAGCTTCAAGCTTAGCCTCCGGCTCATTGAAGTCTGTCATCTTTCCGGGGGTGACGATACTATGGTGAAATAATATTTGTTATCACAATATATATACTTACAGAGTTCATGGTCATTCGGATCCTAAGCCCGGTTCCTAGTGTTGTGGGCAGAACTATTTGCGGGCAGTTCTGCTGGCAGAACCGGCAGAAACATGGCAGAACCCTAGTTCTGCCATGGCAAAACTAGGCAAAGGTAAATTATTTGTCGACTACTACAAGAAACCATTGGTTGACATTAATGATGCAACACCCCAACCGCCCTTGCACCATGATCAATCACCGAGAACTCTTCATCAATAGATTTTGGCACCATACCGGCCTCAACTCGTGCGAGTTCGTCGAAGTTATACACATTACCTTCCAATATCTCGAGTCCATCAATATCAACATCTTCAAAACTCTCAACGACATCCTGCTTCTCGAGTGCATCAAATTCTGCATCAATCGCGTCAACTGAAATGTCTTCCGGGCCAGCAGGCAGGTCGTCGATGTTGTTACTTTGGATTGTAAGTGGTGGCTCGAATGCAAATGTATTTTCGAGGTTACGTGCTGTATCAAGGTCGATATCAGGCTCATCTCGGGTGTGCAGAAATTACGTGCGGCTTCGTGCTCTCCAGGCGGACAGTTAGGGCATTGTGCGGCGTCGGTAAGGTGTTTCGGCAGGTTGTTGTCGCGGTTCTCGATATGAGTGCCAGGGGAATTAAGCGGACAGTGTTTACACTTGAAATAAGATCTATTAGATGAGTTGGGGACATCTTCGAGGCGGTCAAAATTGTCTTCGACAACCTTGGGAAAGAGGGCGCCCTCCAGACTTAGCCATGGAAAACATGTAGTGGTAGTAATGTTCATTTACTGGTAGATACAGAAAGGATTTGCATTGTTGTTGCATTGACAACTATACAGTTTATCATACATTCGTCCTCACGCATCCTCCGGTACCTTTTGTACTTCTGCCAAGTTCTGCCACGGCGAATGGCAGAACGGCAGTAATCTGCCAACAACACTACCGGTTCCTTCGAACAACTGAGCAAACCGTGACAAAATCCCGACCTCCGTGACGGCATTCGCAATAGTGCTGCTCAATTCTAAGGTCCTGTTTGGACAGCAAGATACAAAATTCAGAATTCGAAATTCGTATCATGTGACTCACCCGTGAGAGTTGCCAGCTCATCCGGGAAACACCGGGTCAAGGCAACAATAACATGGTAAGGCGTATTAGTTCTGATAATATCTATTATCATTGTCCCCTATATCATCAGTGAATTCACGAGTCCTTGAGATTGTAGCCATGTGAACTATAGAAGAATACAATTCTGCTCCTGCTAAATATAACTATTTATACTGCGAGAAATTTGAGTCGTTGGTACATGGCCATGGATGCTTGTGAATGTAGACTACAATGAAGAGTTTGTGACAAGATCACGACATTGGACCATCATGCCCGGCTAGGGATAGTGAGTACTTACGTTAACCTTGTTGGATATTCTCATTTTCTGTTATTAGTGTTTTGAGTTACAGGGCTATCAAAGACTTTGTCGTGGAAAGTGGCATTAGCACCATTCATTGAGTCTAAATAAGCATAGGAGTTTACAGCAAGATTGAGATATCGCATCATCAGCGTAATTGTGTCCCACTTTGTTGAGTAGTCTCATTCTCTTTCTGCAGTCTCATTTACCATTACAAATGCTTTGAACTACCAGACTATTTACATTACAACAATTTGAGCTGTCTGCATATAGCCATGAATGCCTGCAAATGTAGACTGCGATGAGGGAGTTCATGCAAAATTTATCACACTGCACAACCACAGCTAGTAAAGGATGGTTGGTACTCATGTACCAGTCTCCTCAAGCTGACATAACAGAAATATATGACGGTCATTATATTTCAATATATAAGGTTGTCCCACGAGTGCTCTATGCCAAATGTAACTAGACTAGAATACCCTGGCGGTATTTGACAAACTGGAGGATCCCGTAGTGGTTCACTGATGAATGTGGCCTTGATGCAGTTCCAGTCAAACTGAGTGTTTTGGTGGTTGTAAAGCAGGGGATCAAAATACAACCGAAATTCATCCGCATCTAGTTCATTGTATGTCATGCGATCCATGATGGTCAACTGGTGCTGGTCAGGCCAGACCAGCAGTGAGAGAGCCAGACATGTCACAGGCTAACTTATACGAGAGAGGAAATAAAAAGGAGACTGGATTACTATGCATTGCTAACAGGACCCATGGCGGTTTCCCTCTGTTTCTTCTTGACGTCATGGAAGCACTATTGCATCAGGACAACAGTTCTGGCATTGTCATGAATGTTGTGTAGTACGCGTATGGAGATCTGCTATATATCCAAGCCCTCATCCGGATCATCTGAATCATTGATATCATCGGCAGAATCAGGATCACATAGAATCGCCCCAGCTGATGTAACAGGGTTGCCTGAAGTCAAGATTAAAATGATGTTCGGAAACATAGATAAATGGAGTACCACCTTTGGGTACATAAGGTAGGGGGACTTGAGCTTGCAATTTTTCCTGCAACGGCATGAGCTTTATATTGAACGATACATTCTGCATTGGATCTGGTCGAGCCTATAGTTTGGTCAGGTATAAGATTTCATGATAAGGTAGCGTTCGCGCTCACATCCTCCGATTTTTTCCTGATCCAAATACTTTTCAGGTTTTCAAGAGCTCGCAGCTTGCACGGGACATCTGCTTTCCAGCCCTCGACAGTCCTTTCTACACCGCGCTAACTCCCACCCCTTATGAGGACCCCCACGACGAATTCCTTCATGCCCTTGCTCACCCACACACCAGCACTCGTCCCATTTCCGTCAAGGTCATAAACCAGGCATTCATTTTCATGTGTACACTCAGGGAAGGGGATGGAGACACCCCAGAATTTCTCTGCTGGACCAGCTGGTGGAGGATGCACAGTCAGATGCATAAGCATCAGTGGTAGGGAAATTTGAGTCAGTAGTTCGAGAAGAGGGCCGGGCTGGAGGTGTAATGCGAGGATCAAAGGTACTTGAGAAAGATAAGCAGGTACATGGACACCAATCGTGCTGTAAACACACCAGAACACGTTGTGACTAGCCTGAAAAGTGTCTGAATGAACTTATAAGCTTTTGGTGTAGATCCGAGGTCAAATGTCAGTGTGTCCACCAAGTCAATGATCACATTCAGTGATTCCAGAGGTACTACAAGGTTTTATCAATCTGATAATTATGCTCACCAAACACGCTGATACTGACCAGAATTGATACGAGCTAGTATCAAAAGGTTCGTGGCATGTTGGAGGATTCCGTAGATGTGGGCGTGATTTGGGAAGGTTATGTTGAGGGAGAGAGATTCGGGGCCTGTGTGCATCGGAGGTCGTAGTCTCAGTATTGATGGTGCCAGTGAATGTGGGATATACCTTTTTGCATCTGGGGCGTGTGCTCTGTGACAGAAACCAGACTGGGAGCATGTTTTTGAAGTCAGATGGTTTGAAGGCAAGGGCTGTTGTGAGGAGAAGGAGGAGTAGGAGGAGTAGGAAGGTCCCTCAGGGACCACATTTTCTTGGTTGTGATGGATGAGTGGTATGACTTCTTGCAGTGTGAAGACATGTGAGCAGAAGGTCAGTTGATTACATAAGAATGATGCGCGCTTATCATATGCATTTCGAAAGTTCGAGATCGGACTTGGTCACTTTGTCTACACTTATGGTGTTAATGACAAGGCTGAAGCAGCGACCTCCCCAGCCACAATGGTCTCGTGTTCAAAGTGTATGGCAAGATAAATCAGAACATGAGATAGGGAGAGCCGAATATGCTGGCAAAGCCTACTAGTAACAGAGTGACTTTAGTCTTTCTCCGAGTCTGTGTAGCTCCCTTGCTTGCTTAGCATTTTGAATTTGCAAGGCAAACAGGTGACCGTCCACCAGACTGACAAACCCCCAATCAACATAACAGCAGCAGGGACTTCCTTGCCAGCACCATCCTCATCACCCTCAAAACATCACCCATAGTATCTCCCACCTGCGCAGAGTCTATCCATTTGAGCATCCAGAACATCATACCAGCGATCAAAGATGGTGTGAACAACAGCAGGATAAACGTTGCAGCGAGACCAGAGTCCGATTTCGAGATGTTGAGTATGTGCCAGACGACGCGGGGAACTGTGATACCAACAGGGAATGTGAGGAGTGCTGTGAGTGGCAGGGCTGACGATGACTCAGACGCGTAAAAGGTGATAACGGTGCAGAATGGATGTTGCTCCTACCTGCAGATGGTGTCCATAGCCACAAGTCATGTGCATATAGCGAAGAGAGCGGAAAAGCCTAGTATGCGACTAGTAGCACAGCCGCAAGGTGGGAGATGCTCAGTCTGTGATGACAAGATTGAACTTGAAGCGTCGAGGGCTTTGTGCATTGACTAGTAGTAGTAGGAGTGGTTGGATATGTTGGATGAGCTTGATGCATAGACGAAGCAATGATTGGACAACCCAGGCATTGATGGTATCACCAGATGGTCAAATAATAGCAAGCTGTGGTGATATGTCAAGTTGTAGCCTATAGATGCCTGTGAGAGAAAATCTGAGTCAGTACCACCGCTGATGCTGCAGATATCACAAAAACTCACCTGTATTCAATTGCCTGACCCACCGGACTACTAGAAAGCTAGCAATGATTGCGCATATATGCACCTGGTCCTGAGTCAGTCTGAGTATTGTTTACAAAACTTACATTGAGAAGATATTCAAGTTGCGGCTGAAGGCAAAGTCACTTGGGTGCTACTATTGAGGAAACTTTAAGTGTTAAGGACAGGAATGCAGAATTCACGCAAAGTCTGCGCAAAGTGCATGCAAAGTTTGCATACACTGTGTTACTGTGACTATCACATGTTCTCACACGCTCCTGCAACATCCAATATTCTTAACCCTTGTGTGATCGAAAAAGATCTACAACCACTGATACACTCTTCAAGTTGAAGATTGAAGATGGACCCAGTGGATCCTGTAAGTACTTGTTGTGCAGTATCCAGCAATCACTAAAGATCTGTAGATATTAGTGTGCATTGCGAGCCACAAACAAAAGCCCCAACAGATATACTCATGAGCATGCGAATGGCCTCCCCCAGAGTTGGCAACTGTGCCAGAGGCAACGAGATCAGAAGCAGAGGTGCCGTTGGGGTTTTGGAGGAAGGTCTTGAGGTTCTTTAAGCGGAGGAATCGAGGCGGGACACATTGGTCGAACCTTGCCGCATGAATTGGTGAGTACAACATTTGGCTACTGATAATCTGCGAGCTTACCTATTGTCATCTTGTTCATGACCTTAAGAGAAACGATGGTGGGCATTGGAAACAGAAGCTGGTTAGCATGGACGTTAGCTAGGAAGGATGTTGGCCACTGTGGATAGATAGACATACATATGCCTCGGTTAGCTCCTCGAACGAAGATGTGCCTATGGTGATACACCCCAATCTGCACAGACACAGCTCGCTACTGTTCCAGCTCAGAACAGGCCACATACCACTCAAAAAACACCTGCCATCAAAAGAACGAATCGGTGTGACAATCATACTGGCGCTAGGCGCGTATGAATGTCATAGGCATATTTTGACTTGCCTAGAAGAAAAGAGTAAGACGCTAGTCACCAGCGCTATTCAGCTCCCAAGCTATCCGCTTTGGTACCACCTTTCCCCATAGCGCGCTACCCCGGTCCGACGTCTAGGTGTGCCGCCCTCCCATGTCCTGCCTATGTCCACCTACCTCCGCTGGTGCGTTATATTTCCTTAAATGTCGCTACTCATCAGTCGCAGGTCTTATTACATTTGTCCTCATGTTCCGCAGCGCTGCATGTTCTATTACCTGTTGCTACATCGTGCCCTCACCAGTGTCGCCACTATACTCGCCTACGCATCCCGAACCCCTATGCAGTATGATAAAATGACCCATCCTACATACAGTACAGTACTTCCCTTCCCCGGACCTTTGCTGGTATCGGAGTCACTTTAGTCGCTATATCCTAGTTTTGGTGCAATCGATTCTGCTCTTGCCAATCTCTCTGATCGTGTGTCGCTTGACTTGCTTCGAGTGCGCGTCGCTAAAGTTCCTTCATAAGTTTGATCTTCGCAACGTCGGGATCGCTGTCGGTAGTCGAGCTATAATCTAGTCGCTATCAGGCATTCCACTTGCACTATCATACCTTATCCCTCGCTTTCCCTTCTTTTGATTTCTTCTCGCTGTCGCTAGTCGGACGTCACATAGCGCTATCGCATAGGACAACTTGCATAGCGCTAAACACTTCTGCATGTTTCTCTGTCAGAACTCACTTGCCACTAGTCACTGATCGCTACAGCGCTACTCATTGGTTTTTGGTCTTAGGTCGCTATAGGTTATCAGCCCTTCGCATCATCGCTACCCTTGCATATTTGAAGGGAGTTGCTTCAATAGCAGTCCTCTTGGGTCGAATATTACACTCGCGCCTGTTTGGATAAATAGCGCTAGTTTCTAACCAGCCTAGTCGCTATTACTCTTTCACACTGGGGAAGGGAAGTACTGTACTGTATGTAGGATGGGTCATTTTATCATACTGCATAGGGGTTCGGGATGCGTAGGCGAGTATAGTGGCGACACTGGTGAGGGCACGATGTAGCAACAGGTAATAGAACATGCAGCGCTGCGGAACATGAGGACAAATGTAATAAGACCTGCGACTGATGAGTAGCGACATTTAAGGAAATATAACGCACCAGCGGAGGTAGGTGGACATAGGCAGGACATGGGAGGGCGGCACACCTAGACGTCGGACCGGGGTAGCGCGCTATGGGGAAAGGTGGTACCAAAGCGGATAGCTTGGGAGCTGAATAGCGCTGGTGACTAGCGTCTTACTCTTTTCTTCTAGGCAAGTCAAAATATGCCTATGACATTCATACGCGCCTAGCGCCGGTATGATTGTCACACCGGACCTTTGCTGGTGTCGGAGTCACTTTAGTCGCTATATCTTAGTTTTGGTCCAATTGATTCCGCTCTTGCCAATCTCTCTGATCGCGTGTTGCTTGACTTGCTTTAAGTGCGCGTCGCTAAAGTTGCCTCATAAGTTTGATTTTCGCAACGTCGGGATCACTATCAGTAGTCGAGCTATAATCTAGTCGCTATCGGGCATTCTACTTGCACTATCATACCTTATCCCTCGCTTTCCCTTCTTTTGATTTCTTCTCGCTGTCGCTAGTCGGACGTCGCATAGCGCTATCGCATAGGACAACTTGCATAGCGCTAAACACTTCTGCATGTTTCTCTGTCAGAACTCACTTGCCACTAGTCGCTGATCGCTACAGCGCTACTCATTGGTTTTTGGTCTTAGGTCGCTATAGGTTATTTAGCCCTTCGCATCATCGCTACCCTTGCATATTTGAAGGGAGTTGCTTCAATAGCAGTCCTCTTGGGTCGAATATTACACTCGCGCCTGTTTGGATAAATAGCGCTAGTTTCTAACCAGCCTAGTCGCTATTACTCTTTCACATTGGTATACCATTTCATACTAGAATACCCAGCACACACTTGTCCCTGCAATGCTATGCGAGCATCCTTAGACACGCGCGCCTGCACTCTCACGAACCTACTCAATGAGCAAAAACATGCCAAACAGCTGCTTACCATCATTGCCCAAACCAAACACTTTGCATCCACGTTCAGAGACATCACCCCACCTGCAGACCGCAGAGAAGCCAGATAACCAAAGGCCAGCCCCACCCCCGCCCACCACATCCCAAATGCCTTAAGAAGGCATTTCACGTCCCCGCACACGCCGGGACCATCACTTCAGTAATATCTGTACACAATACACATAGTTAGAATAAACACATGTATGTACTGTCCAGCACAGGGCTTCGCCCCACCGGACAATAAACAAGCATTCAAAAAAAGGGAAACACCCCGATCTGAGAATGTACAACTGGACAACGAATCAGCCTGCAGTTGAAGGCAAGCTCCAGTCGTCTTTCCACCAATGAAATAAGATTCTTCTTTGAAGTAGTGGCCGTGGTACCTGTATGTTGCAATTGAAAGTGGACAAGTGACATCACTACTTCACCAGTCTCAAGAGTATATAGACCCCATGAAGATGACTATGAATGAGGCACAGTTCAGTTCACAGCAGGCTGTGGAGATGGTCAGATGCACTGGATATGACAGCGACTGGTCAGGAGGAAGTTTATCCACCTTTGCTATGAACTTCATGCGTTCAGAATCCCGACCGCTGTCTTGCTACTTAAGGGTCTTATGTACAATGCGTGTATAGTGACAACACAACTATACAGGATAAGACTGCTTGCCAGTCCTTAAGTACACGGTCTACGACTTTTCTAGTTTTCGTGGTAGATAATGT